TGGTGGTACAGTGATTAAAGCACTCAGCTGCTAACCAAAGGTTCACAGTTCAAACCTACCAGCCACTCTGTGGGAGAAAGATGTGGCAACCTGCTTCCATAAAAATTACGTTCTTGGAAATCCTCTGGGGCAGTTCTACTCTGTCCTATAGGGTTGCTATGAGTCAGAATCGACTCAACAGCAATGGGTTTAACATAGTAAGGAGATCATTTTACCAGGTAACATGAGAATTTCCATGAACCAAATTTTCGGTAATATTAGGTGTCGCATTCTTACCCCAAATGACATTCTTTTGCCCCACCCCTTTCTTTCTGACTGCAGTGCTTCTTAAAGTGGGGCCAGGGGTCATCAGCATCAGAATCAAGAGGGAAGCTGCTTTAAAATTCAGGTTCCCAGGCGCCTCCCCAGCCCTGCAGGATCATTCTTTGAACTTTGAACACCTGCCCCAGGTGACTGAGATGCACCACAGATGTTGGGAACATTCCCCTATACACTGGTTCTCAGCAGGGCTGCATGTTGAATTACTGATATTCAGATCCATGAGAAAGAGAGCTGTAGCAGAGAAGTTTTAGAGTTGGGGCTCCAGGCACTGGTCTTTTTATAATGCTCTCTGGGTGATTGTGTCAAGCAATGAGGGTTGAGAGCACCTCCCATAATGCACATAGAGCTCTCCTGCCACAACCAGTGGAAACAAACATTTCTTCTGGGTGCTTAGTGAAGAAGCTGAGGGGTGTTTTGTCACCAGGAGGAAGACTCATGTGTAGCTCATGGTCTTCCGTGACAAGATTTTGACTTTTCTTCCTGCAAAGTTTTATTTCCAAGTTTAAAATCTTTGACCATTCAGGATGGTCAAATGATTTGGGGCTACAGAGAGGGTGTCCAAATGGGCAGGTTACAGGGGCCCCCTGCTCTTTTCCCATCTCTGAACAGAAAAGGCACATCTGCCCATGCCCACCCCCACCCATCTCTCTTTATCGATCTGGACTGGATTCATGAATAGCTAGGGTCCCTGAGCTGAGACATCGGAATAATGGTCTTAAATCTGTTGTATTTCCGTGACATTTGCTCCCACTGATAGAAGCTAATGAGACCCTCTGTGTACAACATTTGTTAATGGGGTCTTTCGGCATTTAGGATTGAATGGCGGAAGGAGTGGGCATCCTGGTGAGGAGGCTGCCGTGTGGGTTTGCAGATGGTGGGCAAATCCACAGCTCTTATTTTCCAAGAGGAGGCAGGAAAGGCTTCTAAGTTTCCTTAACAAAACACACTGCAGTTTGCAATGGGATCATCTACTCTGCATTCTCTTCCTGAGCTTGACTAGAGGCAGGAGGCCACAGGGGTTTCACAAAAAACAAAGATGATTTACTGACGCTCAGGACTAGATTTTAGCCCTGGCTGAGTGACCCCAGACAAGCCTCTCACCCTGTTTGTGCCTCAGGACCCCAATGGCAGGATGAGAAGAACAAAATCTGACCATTTCTGAAAAAGGCAGCAAACGAAGGCGAAAATAGGCGAGAGCAAGGTGTGAACAGAAAAAATGCCACCATGCAATTGCCATCCACTGCCTCCTTTAGCTCACCTCATTATCTCTCATTTTCATCTGTAGCATTGAAACCAAAAACCAAACCGTTGTTGTCAAGTCAATTCCAACTCATAGTGACCCTATAGGACAGAGTAGAACTGCCTCATCTGGTTTCCTAGGAGCAGCTGGTGGATTTGAACTGCTAAGCTTTTGGTTAGCAGCCAGGCTCTTAACCACTGTGCTACCAGGGCTGTATAGTATTGAAAGGCACCCTGAAGTTTATCTGCTCCAGTCAATTTCTAACTGCTTTTTTAAACCATGGAACCAACTTTCCAAAGGAAACCTAGTTCAGTAGCCCAAACGAAAGACATAAATGCAGACATGCTCTGGATGAAATTGGGTGTGGAAGCCCCTCAGAATCACTCCCACCATGCCACTAAATTGGGCTGCCATTAAATGGACTGTGTGGAACCCCTGGAGTTCCATGAAGCACAGTTTGACAACCACTGGTCTAGCTTAACATCTCCTGTCTTACAGATGAAGAAATTGAAGCCCAGAGAGGCAGAAGCCAGGGCTAAAATCCAGATTTCCTAACCCCATATTGAAGATTCTTTAGGAAAGCAAGATGATGGGGCTGCTGCTGGGTGTCTTGTCCCAGCGTCAGGGAGGTGAGAGGCAGATGGGAGAGAACTAGCGAGAGTGACTGTGCGTATGTGTGCACTTTGGTATTTGCCAATGAATGGGTGTCCTTTGGTATGGGAGAGGTGGGGGACTCAAATACGGTAGAGATCAGACTGATCTAGAAGATCCCATGGGTCTGCTTGACACATAGCTAAGTAGGTGGCCGTGTGGTGTAGCAGTTAGGACTCGGGAGCCAGCTAACTGGATGTGAATCCTGCCTTTAACCACTTCCTAGCTGTGTGACTCAGGTAAATCACTTAACTCTCTGTGCCTCCGTGTCCTCATCTGGGAAATGGAGACAAGAATCATCCTTAGCTTGTATTGCTGCTGGAAGGATGCATTAAGAATGTCCACGTGGAGTGCTTATCTCTGTACCTGGCACATAGTAAGTGCTCAATAAAAATCAGCTACTGTGATTCTGGGAGCCCTGGTGGCACAATGGTTAAGTGTTCAGCAGCTAACTGAAAGGTCAGTGGTTAGAACCTACCAGCGGCTCTGTGGGAGAAAAGACCTGGCCATCTGCTCCTGTAAAGATTACAGCCTGGGAAACCCTATGGGGCAGTTCTGCTCTGTCACATGGGGTCACTGTAAGTAGGAATTGACGGCAAGGAACAACTGTGATTCTAGGTTGCTGAGAGCATGGACTGGGGGCTCTCTACTGGTGAGTGCCTCCTCCCATCATCCTACAGAGACAATTTCTAGGGAAGACACCAGAGGAGAGGAGAAGGTGTGGCGGGGGAGGGGAGGAGGCAGGCGGGCTGCCTTCAGCTCTGCATCTCCGGCCTCCTTAAGCAGTTCTGGCCAATCTGGGTCACAGCAGAGGCTCTGGAGCCCACAGGCTGCTTTCAGCGCTTCGTTTGCCAAAGCAATTCCTCTCCTGAATGGCACACAAAACGAGAAGCTGCTATTTATAACACTGCAAGTCAGAGCGCCTGTGACGGAATGGCAGGAGCAGGAGGGCCTGTGGGGAGAGCCAGCCTCAGGTGGCTGCCAGTCGGGGCTTCCAGGGACCCAGGGGAGGGTTTGGGCCCAAGCCCCATTCCATCGGGTCTCCTACACTGATATCCACAGCTGGGCCGCAGCCTCTGGAGGGGCGGACAGATCCTGCTCCATCTGGATCCACTGGCTGGCCTGGAATGGGAATGATAGGCCTCCTTGGAGGGAAGGGCAAGGAGAGGATTTCAAACTGGTAGGGAGTATCTAAAACAAAACAGTACACCTGAAATCTAAACAGGGAGCCCCACAGGCAAAATCATTGCATAGCCTTGCTACTCATTGTGGCCCGGGACTAGTAGCATTGCATGGCATCTCCTGGGAGCTTCTTAGAAATACAGCAGCTCAGGCCCCACCTTCATTTTCACAAGATCCCCATGCCATTTGTGTGCACATTAGCTGAGGCTCAGTGGCACTCGTGGTACAGAGGGGGAACCAGAGGTGGTCTCACAGTCAGCTAAGTATGTCATGATGGTAATCTCACAGTGACTTACAAATGTGGCAAGTGCTCTGAAGGAGCAGTACAGGGTTGCTATTACAGTAAATAAAACAGATGGTCAGGGAGGGCTTCCAAGAGGAAGTGATATTTCAACTGGGATTTGAAGGATGAGGGGAATTTAGCCAGGAAAATTATAAAGTGGGTGTGTGTGAGTGAGTGTGTGTGTGTGAGAGGAAGAGAGGTCACAAATATGTGGGGTGTGGGAACGGAGGGAAGTGTACTCCAGGCACAAAGAACAGAATGTACAAAAGTACTGAGGCAGCTAGAAGAACTGGGACTGAAAGAAGACCAGTGTAACTAGAGCAGTGGTTCTCATCAGAATCACCTGGAGGGTTTGTTACAGCACCGATTGCTAGGCCCCACTCCCCAGAGCTTATAATTCAGCTGGTCTGCAGTGGGGCCCTAGAATTTGCATTTCTAACAAGTTCCCAGGTGATGCTGCTGCTGCTCTCTGGAGAACCACTGAACAAGAGCATTGAAAGCAAGACCAAGAGGGAGAAGAGATTTGAAGTTTCAGCTGAGACCAGACGATATAGAGACACGGAGGTCGCATGTAATGGGAACCAACTAAAGGTTTCAATGGGAAGGGGATTAGATGATCAGATCTATGTTTCAGAAATCACCACAGCTGTGGAGGGGAGAACAGATTGTAGAAGGACATGAATGAAGCAGGGAGACCTACTGGGCAATTCTTACAGTCAGCGAGGAGAGGGATGATGGTAGCTTGGTTGAGTTGGAGATGAAGAGAAGTGGATGGAGTCCCGAAATGTTAAGGAGGTGGACTCAATAGAATTTGATGATTTGGTTGGATCATTGAATGTTAAGAGAAGACGGAGTCAATTAAGATGGCCCAGGTTTCTGGCTTGAGCAAGTTAGTGGATGATAGTGGCATTTGCTGAGAATGGGGAGCAGGTTTGTAGAGGCAGGAATGGAGAGAAGTCAAGATGAAGAGTTAAGTTTGAAAACGTAAGTCTGAGATGCCAATAAAGACACCCAAGTGAAGACACCACGTAGACAATTAGATAACAGATCAGGCAGCTTCCCTGGAGGAGGTGAGGAGAGAGAGAAAGGACTAGATAAGGTTCTTAATCTGAAGTCAGGAGAATAGATGGAATTTGAGGGGTGTGAGAAGGAGTCTGTGATGCTCTGAAAAATGTATCAGAATGTTATGTGGGGAAGGGTCCACAGCCATCATCAGATACTCAAGAGTCTATGACCTAAAGACGATTAAGACCCTCTGATACTAAAGGAAGTGCTGGTGGTCCCCGTTCTATGAGGTCCTTATTACCCTGTCTCTGCTTCCAGGCGCCTGGTGGACCGCCTGGAGAACATGAGGAAGAATGTGGCTGGGGATGGCGTGAACCGCTGCATACTGTGTGGAGAACAGCTGGGGATGCTGGGCTCTGCCTGTGTCGTGTGTGAGGACTGTAAAAAGGTACCGCTGCCCTTCCCTCCACCCTCCTACTCAGCACCTGCAGGGGGGCCAGAGTCTGAGCTTGAGCCTTGGGGGGTCCTAGGTCTTAGAGATAGAGCTGGGACCAGAATAGTTACCAGAATGATTCCCTCTAGAATGCCCCCATGCCCAGCTGTCCTCAGAGGTTACCCAGATGCTGCTTCCTCCCCCAGAAGTCACTCTACCCCTCTGTCCCTTTGGAACTGAACTCTATCCAGGATGAACTTGGAACGTGAGGTAGGACACGAGCCGTACTTAAGCCTGCAAGTATCCTGGTTGTGGCTTAGCAGGTTATGTGTCAGCCTGAAGAGCATACTGGGCACGTGTATACACGTGTATATGTGGAAGGTTTCCCCAGCATTCCCTTGCCTTGGGTTATGGTACAGGAGACTTAGAAAGCCCTTCCCCAGCCAAATTAGAATTATTGAGCTTCAAGAGCATGTGCTCTGGAAGGGGAATCTCCCTGTGCTCTCTCACCCTCCCCCTCTTTCCTTAAGCAGTCTTCTTCTTGACAGTTCCAGGGAAGAAATACACCTGTCCTTGGGTCTGCTGAATTCCCAGGAAAGGAGTTCAGGGGAACAACTCAGCTGGAGACATCCATAATGTCACTTAGCATTTAGAATTGAATATTGGGGAAATTTTATCTATTCTGAAAAGCATATTCATTGCAGTCAACCAGATAGTGAGAATTTTGTGACCTATTTGATTTTCCTGTTTGTCTTGACTGCCAGGAAACTCAGCCAAAAATATAATGTTCCATCACACAGTCAAGGCATTTACTAAGATAACTTCCTTCTCCTTGGGTATTTGAACTTCTAGTTATAGTCTGTGTTGCTTCAGATCCCTTTTGGAAAGAAAGAGGGAATAAATTAATAAAATCCTTTTAAAAGATCATGTCAGTGATTCTTGTGTGTGGCTGCTGAACCCTCAGACCCCACAGGGACTGTCGGAGAATTCCTTCACCCAGTGCTTGGGAATGATTCAGATTCTTGTTTTTGGAAATCGAGACTCAAATGGGAACTTTATGATTTGATGATTTGGTTGGGTCATTGAATGTCAGGAGGGGAGGAAGTCAAATTGGAACTTTATTCTAACTGGCCATGCTCATAGAAGGAAGTGTGAGGAAAGGGTGAGAGTTCTAGCTCTTTCAGTCCGCCAAGAGGGAATGGGTCTCCATGGCCACCCTATCCAGCCTCTGTCCCCAGCCCCTGGAAGCTCAGAGTGTGCACTGGGCTGTGTTTTGTCCACAGAACGTCTGCACCAAGTGTGGGGTAGAGACCTCCAACAACCGCCTGCATCCCGTGTGGCTTTGCAAAATCTGCATCGAGCAGAGAGAGGTGAGTAGCCTGATCCCAACTGATTCTGGGGTACCCTCCCTTCTTTGCCCAGCTCCACACTCCTGCCCCCCAGAATCAAGGAAACAGGATGGCAGTTAGAGGCTGGAAGACCTGGTTGATTCTCGTGTCATAAAGGATTGGTGTGAAGGGAACCAGGTCACTGTGAACACTGGTGGAATAGCCCCAAAGTGTTTGGATGAATTTCATTTCTCCCTTCCTCTGCTGATAATGTTCTCTTCCTTCTCATGGACTCTATTCTTCCCGATTTCTCACCTTCGGAATCTTCCTCTTCTACCATCTTTTCTTTGTCTTTCCCTCTATTCCACTTCTGGTGTTCTTTTTCTTTTTTTTTAACTTTCCTCACATTCTTTCTCTTTGGAGCTCGTTTCTCCCTCTCGTCCTTACTTCCTTCTCATCCCGATTTCTCATTCTCTCTTCATATTTTACTTGTCACACTTCTTTCCTGCACTTTCTTTCTCTTTACTTTGTTTCTTTCTCCCATGGAATCCTTCTCTTCCTCAGCCTTGCAATTGACTTTTTATTACTCGTTTTATCCCAGTTAAGTCCTTTCTAAGCAGCCCTGGTGGCACAGTGGTTAAAGTGCTCGGCTGCTAACTGGAAGGTTAGCAATTTGAACCCACCAGCCGCTTCTTGGGAGAAAGATGTGACATTCTGCTTCCGTAAAGATTACAGCCTTGGAAACTCTATGGGGCAATTCTCCTGTATCCTGTAGGGTCACTATGAGTTGAAATTGACTCTGTGGCAGTGAGTTTGTTTGTTTTTTGTTTGTTTGTTTAAATCCTTTCTCCTTCCCTCAATTTCCTCCCCAATCACCTCTGTAGTAGCTTCCTACCTTTGAGACTTCGTCCCAGTGACACAGTCATTATCAGTCAGGGTCCTGGCAGGAAACAGATAACATGCTCCAATAGGACAATCAAGAAGAGTTTAATAATCTTGCAGTTTACAAAGGGTTAAGGGAAATCAGCAAGGAGTGATGAAATACCCAGGAACAGCAGTAGTAGGGGAGCTGCTATACTCCTGGGGTGAAGAAGTGGAGGAGGGAAGACTGGAAGGCAGGGGTAGCCTAACAGGCACTATGTTTGGTAGAGGAATGCCATCACTGCCCCCTGAGGGGAGCCAGCGGAATAAACACCCTGACCTCACTTGCCTCCTGCTTCCAGTCTCCTGCTGGTGCTTTGCTTGACCACATCCACCTGGGAAATAGAGGGCAAGGAAGTCCAGTGACTACAGTCCAGACTGGTCAGCCTCCTGGGGCCCAGAGCAGGGTGGAGAAAGGTAGAAAACTGATTTGAAGGGGCGTTAGAAGATGGCCAGCATACTATCCTAGGTGGAGCAGTGACCCACAAGGCTGGGATGAAAGCCAGAGGCCTTGAGGAAGTCGTGGGTAGATCACCCTCTTTAGAGAAGCTAGTACAGTACAGAGCACAGCAGATTTGAGAGATGGAAGTCTTGGTGTCTAGTTCTTGTTCTGCCACTCACTGGCTATGTAATCTTGGACCAGTTCTTAACCTTTCTGACATTCAACTCTCTCCATCAAGAAAATGAGCCTATTTAGATAAGTCTATTGCGTTTTTAAGCCTTTGATTTATTTATTTTTATTGAAGTAAATATACGTGTAAGGAAATATTTGCCATTTCAGCATTCTTCACATGTACAATTCAGTGACGTTAATTGTGTTCATCATGTTATGCAACCATTACCATTATACATTTCTAAATTTTTTCTATTGAGTTTTCAGTGCTGTTGTGCAGAACTAAATATCAACTGTGAAAGGCTTTGTGATGGTCATTGTATCAGTATACTGAGGGTGGGAAGCAAAGTTAAAAACTTAGCACTCACGAAGGCAGGAGCAGTAGTGCTTGACTGCCCAGTCTTCATCTCCTCCTTCTCCCCAAGGTGTGGAAGCGTTCTGGAGCATGGTTCTTCAAGGGCTTCCCCAAACAGGTCCTCCCACAGCCCATGCCTATAAAGAAGACCAAACCCCAGCAGCCTGTCAGCGAGCCTGCAGCCCCTGAGCAGCCCACCCCTGAGCCCAAGCACGCTGCCCGGGCTCCAGCTCGAGGTAAGACAGCACAACTTCTCATTTCAGGACCAAGCACAGTTCTTGGCTAACAGGTCTACTTGGAGAATGTTCTGACTTCTTGTCTGCATTTCTACCCAGTTGATTGGCAGTCAGCCTCTCAGTTTGGTCTGGGACTCCTATGCCACCATGAACCCTTACCAGAAGGGTAGCCCAGGGACTTTCCAGCAATGCCAGGCTGCCAAGAGGCTTTGTTTTCATCCCTAGAGGTGTGAGAGAGGGAAATTAAATTAGGACTGAGAGAGACTCCACCACCACCCAAATACACACTGGAGATAAGCCTGGGGGTATTTGGGGCTTACCAAGAAGGCCTTCCTGGCCCCTAATGTTTCTTCTATCATCCATCAACAAACTTGATATGGAACTAATTAAAAGTGAAAGATGAATAAAAAGGAAATTAGTTTAAGAACATTACTACTACTATTATCATTCTTATTCAAGCATTATTATTAATTATTAAAATGATGATTAAAAGGGAGAGGCAAACAGTAATAATAATAATAATAAGGTAACCACAGTAAAAACACATTTTAATTGGATGAGACCACCAGGACTGACCAGATAAGGCCCTTTCAACAATTTCAGTTAACACTAAGCAATAAAATCTGCCCAGGATTATAATTCTAGCGTTGAGTACAGGCAGTGCTTCAGAAAGGAAGATCATAGTTGAAGGTTTCAGAAACTGGAGTGCCCAACTATGTCTCCCTTAAGATTACTTATCACGGTACCCAACACAGTGCCTGACACTCAGGAGGCATTCAACAATGCTTTATTCTTGACAAGGCGTAAGCAATTTTTACCTTGCCAAAAACAGCCAATTGTCAGCATACACCACATCCCTAAGGAGTCCGTGCTTTCCACCCCTAGAGCATCCTTCTTCTGGGTTAAGCATTACTCCCTCTAGGCTGAGAAGACTATATAGCATAACTGTCAAGAGCTTGGATAGCTGAAGACATGAGGACCTGAGTTTGAATGCCAGTTCTGCCACTTACTAGCTGTGTGAGCTTGGGAAAGTGGCCTAACCTCTCTGAGACACTGTTTAGTCATTAATAGTATGGGTTTAACAACTCATTGGGTTATTTTGAGAATGAATGAGATACTGCATGTAAAAGGCTTTGTAGAGTGGAGCCCTTGTAAACATGGGCTAATATTATATAATGTTAATCGCTTATACACAAACACATACAAACAGAAAGGGTATGACTTTAGCTTAGCAGATAAACTCTGGACAAAGCAAATAGCTGTGAAAATATGGTTTATCTAGTATCTGTCCCTCTCACTAGAAAGAAGCAACGATATCAGCATTGCATAGTGACACCTAAGAATAATTATTGGTAATAACATAACATAATAACTCACATGCTGGTGAGTGTGTGGGGAAAGGGTTATTGTATAAACTTTCGGTAGGACTGTAAGTCATCTCAACCTTTTTGCTAAGTAACAAGGCACAATTTATTAAAATTTGAAGTGTATATACCATTTGATCCAGCAGTTCCTCTCTGGGAGTATATCTGACATCAGTAAAAGTACCAGTGTAAAAAGATATATATAAGTACATTTACTGCATCATTTATAGTAGCAAAAACATTGGAATAACCTAAATGTTCATTAATAGAGAAATCGTTGAATGGAATGTGATATATCTATACCATGATATAGTAAGCATCTTTTAAAATGGAAACGATGTAAAGGTGTATTACAGATTTGCAATGATGTTCATGATATACTCCTTCAATATTCTTTTAACAAGCATTTGCTGAGCCACCTAATAAGTTCCAGGCCTTGTTCTATGCCCTAGGGATACAGTGATGAGCAAAACAGTCAAAATCCCTGTCCACATGCCGCTAAAATTCTAGTGGGGAAACAAATGCTCAGTAAACAGCAAATACAAATATAACATAATGTTAGATAATACTACATGCTGGGAAGAAAAATAAAGCAGGGAGAAAGGGACAGATAGTGATAGGTGGCTCCATTTTGGATAGAATGGCCAGAGAAGGCCTGTCTGAGGAGATGACATTTGGAGAAACACCTGACTGAAGTGATAGAGAGGAAAAACCAAAACCAATCCCACTGCCGTCAAGTCGATTCCAACTCATAGAGACCTTGTAGGACAGAGTAGAACTGCCCAGTAGGGTTTCCAAGGCTGTAAATCTTTATGGAAGCAGACTGCCACAGCTTTCTCCCACGGAGCAGCTGGTGGGTTCGAACTGCCCACCGTTCAGAACCGAGTGCTTAACCACTGGGCCACCAGGGCTCCTTGATAGAGAGGACCAGCAGAATATTTGGGAACATCATGTGTAAAGGGCCTGAGGTTGAGCATGCTTCGTGGGCCCTGGGAAAAATCAAAGAGTGAACAAAGTTCATGCTAGCACAATATGTAGCCAGTGATACCATTTTGTTCTTTTTCAAGTCTGTATACATTCATATGTGTTTGTATATGCAAAGTAAATAGTATGAAATTGTAAATGGGAACTACATCAGAGGGCAGTTGGGAGGGGAAATTTTTAATTAAAAAAAAAAAAGGTATTGGGAGTGGTGGATGGGCCCCTTTGGGGGCTCCTTGAGTAATGGCTTCCAGACACCAGAAAACCAGTGCTCCCCATCATATTTCTCTCTCTCCAGGTGACACTGAAGACAGGAGGGGCCCAGGTCAGAAGCCAGGTGGGTTCTGCTGAATCTGTCTTCTACTTTGGAACAGGAGTCCTTTGACCCCATTCCTTCCTTCCCTTTTCTCCATTCAATTCATGTTTCTCCTTCCAGGCGCTGACCTGGCCTCTGCTCCTGGGCAGGGAAGCTATGGGCCTCCTGTACGCAGGGCCTCCGAGGCACGAATGAGCTCAGCTGGCCGGAATTCAGAGAGCTGGAACCACGGGCCCGGTGGGGCTGCTGGTGACTCCAGCCAGAGCCCAGGAGGTGAGAGAGATGGGCAAATCCAGACAGACCTCCAGGAGGAGGAGAGCTAGAAGGGGCTGGTGGGGGGAGTTATCATTTATTCATTCAGTATTTATTGAGTCCCGGCTGTGTACCATGTTCTGTTCTAGATGCTGGTTCTAGTCCATAGTAGAAGAAAGACAGGGTTCAGAAACAATTCTGACTCCAGACATCTATAATTTAGGTTATGTCCTGTTCTTGATCTAGTGCCATATGCACAAAAAACACCTGAAGTTCTTGCCCTCCTCCCAGGAAACCACCTGGGGAAAATGCCCTTTGGCTGTGAACAAAGCAAGGACGTGTCACTGTCAGATCCAACTAAGTTCTTCCCTTGGCAAGTGGCCTCTGGTGTCCTGAGATCGGGTGGATCAGTGTGGCCAGGATGTCGCTCATGGATACTCATCAGGTGCCCAGCTCTTCCGGCTTCACTCCCAATGGATTTATTTGACAAGAGTGCCCACTGGTGGGAGTCCTTGATTTCTGGACTTTGAAAGAAATACCTACTAGATGGGGAGCTTTATATCCCATAACCTCCTGTGTGAGACCTCGAAGCAGCTTCATGTCTTTTGTAGAGGATGAGTCTAAGTCAGATGGGCTGAATGTTTAGGTCCCATGTTGACCTCTTGCCTTTTCTTCCTAATTTGTGGGTTTGTATGTCTTAACACTTCAGTCCCTTTTCTTCTCGGTGAGAAGGCTTGAGCACATACCTTGTACTTAATCTGCTGCTCAGACCCCCTAATTCACCTAAGGTTCTGATGGACAGAGAAAGATGGATTTCTCAGATCTGCAACATCACAGAATTGGATATGTACTATATGCCAGGTGCTGTTCCAAGCTCTTCATATACATTGTCTCATTTAATCCTTGCCACACCCCGTAAATCCATGTATGAGACTTTTATTCTCCTCATTTTACAGATGAAGAAACTGAGGCTCAGAAAGGTGAAACCACTTGCCCTAGGTCACACAACCAATAGTTGGTTAGAATGGGACTAAAACCCATATCTGTCCAACTCCAAAGCCTGTGCTCTTAGCCTCTGTATTATTTTGTTTCCTGAAGAAAAGGACAGTTACACAAAATCCATGAATAGGATGTTGCCCCTCCAGAGTCAATGTAATGTTCCTTTCATCCACAAAGCTTCTAGCATCCACCAGGGCTGAGTTAATTCCTTCTTCTCTGAGTTCCCAGAGTACTGACACACAGCCCTAATGCAGCATTTATCATGTCTAACACATATTACAGCCTGAATCTCTCTTCCCGGTCTGACATCAGGGACATGGCTCACTCTGTTAATTCATTATGTCTCCAAATATTTACTGAGTACCTTAGACATAATTTTAGCCCTTTCTCCTCATTTCCCAGCCTATAATAAGGTTCCTGGTTAATTGTAGGCTCTTAAAAGTTTACAGATTTGAATTAATAGTTAATAACAGTGATAGTAGCTCAAGTTTACTGAGCACCTACTTTGCACGAGGCACTTGGCATATACTATCTCATGTAACCCTCACGACAGCTCTTTGAGGGTAGGTACTACCCTAATCATCCTCATTTAATAGATGTGTGTTGTTGTATGCCATCGAGGCAATTCTGACTCATAGTGACCCTATATGACAGAGTAGAACTGCCCCATAGAGTTTCCTAGGATGTAATCTTTGTGGGAAAAGATCACCAGGTCTTTTCTCCCACGAGCTGCTACGCGGGTTTGAACCACAGGCCTTTCAGATAGCAGCCGAACACTTAACCACTGCACCACCAGGGCTCTAGATGAGGCATAACCCATTGTTGCTGAGTCAGTTTTCAACTCATAGTGACCCTATAGGACAGAGTAGAACTGCCCCATAGGGTTTTCTAAGCTGTAATCTTTATGGGAGAACATAGCCAGGTCTTTTCCCCTGCAGAGCCGCTGGGTGGGTTCAAACCACTGACCTTTCCGTTAGCAGCCAAGCGCTTAACAATTGCACCACCAGGGCTCCATAGATGAGACATAGACAGGTAAAAAAAAAACTTGCCCAAAATCAGACAAAAGTAATAGCAGGGCTGGTATTCAGACCCAGGCAGTCCATGTACAAACTCTGTGCTCCCAACTGGTCTGCTATAACTCCCACTTCAGGAGCTGAGAGCAACTCAGTGTGACAAATTCCCAGTAAAACTCCTCTGCCCTAGGACTTAATCCTGGAATCATACCCAGTGCAGAAACCCCTACAGAGCTTCTCTGAGAGGGGCTTGATCGTCCTCTGCTCATACACTCTCTGAAATGGGGAACTCACTATGTCACCAAACAGCCCATCCCATTGCTGATGGACTCCAGCTGTCGTTTACACATTGTTCATTCAACAAGTACTTATTAAACACCTACTACATGCCAAGTCTTATATTAAATGCTGGAGATAAAGTCCCTATGGCACAGTGGTTAAGAGCTACCTCTGCTAACCAAAAGGTCGGCAGTTCGAATCCACCAGCCACTCCTTGGAAACCCTATGGAGCAGTTCTGCTCTGTCCTGTATGGTCACTATGAGTTGAAATCGACTCAACAGCATTGGGTTTGGTTTTGGTTATATGCCTGCCCGTGACGGAGGCAGGATCACGGAACCTGAGCTTTTAGCATCCAGGCCACTGCTGTGATTTGCCCAGGGTGTCTGAGCACTGAAAAGAGAACTCGTGGAGGGGAGGAGAAGAGTGCCTGAAAGAGCTGAGAAGATACAGGGGCTGCTGCATTTGGTCCGCCTGCCTGCTGGTGGATCCCAAGCTTGTTTCTGCTTTTTCTCTCGATCTGAAACATGACGAGCTGCTTCCTTCTTTCCTCCTACAGGTTTGAGACTGGCCAACTCAGTCCAGGCCTCCAGACCTGTCCCTGCCTCAGTGCAGAGCCCAGCACCTGCTCAGCCTGGGCAGCCAGGTACCTGTGATTCAACTCTGCATGTATTATCTCATGTAACCCTCACAACAGCTCTTTGGGTGTAGGTGCTATCATAATCATCCTCATTTAATAGATGAGGCATGTTGTTGTGTGCCATCGAGGCAGTTATGACTCATAGCGACCCTATAGGACAGAGTAGAAGTGCCCCATAGGGTTTCTAAAGCTGTCGTCTTTATGGGAGCAGATCACCAGGTCTTTTCTCCCATGGACCTGCTGGGAGGGTTTGAGCTCACCCAGGCTGTCACTCAACTGTGATCTCAATACCTCCATCCCTGTTTGCAGAGCCCACTGGGCTTTCTGTAAAGCTGTAGACACTACTAAATCCTAAGCTCTGGTAAGACCCTCCAGGTGAGCAATTCTCTGGGCTTGGAAGCTTGGATGTGTGTCTTATCTACCAAAATGCGAGAAGTGACAGTTCTTCATTGGTCAGTGTTTCCACCTTCAGACATTGTCATTCCACATCCACAATCTGTAGCCATATGCACTACCCTCTTACCTCCTTAACATTGCTCTTCAAGTTGACTCACTTTAACAAATACAATTGAGAGAAGTTACTATCAAAAACTGTCTCTCAAGGAAATTTTAAGGAATTGGACTTTAATAAAAAGACAAATGTTTCCAGAAGGATAGTGTGAGATTAAAAGAAGTGGTGAGCAAAGAAATTGGTAACAACATGGGAAAAGTCAAAGCAAATATGGATTATGTGCAACAATAGAAACAATCTCTAATTCGTACAGTTGTAATTTCATTAAGTTATTTTACAAGAAACCTATAATAGTGGCATAAATGGGAAGCCAGTATTCCTTAGCATAAAGAGAGGGTAATTATAAAAATAAATGTAACAAAAATACGACAATACAATGAAACGCTAGGTACTCTGGCCTGCTAGGTTCTAGGTTCCAGACCTGAAATCTGCTCTGTCTTTGTTCAAAAGAGAAATTTGCAAAGGTGAGAGAGGTGTCAAAGACAAGGTAGCATCCAAATGAGACTTTCTCCGTGAAGAGTCAGTCTTGAAAAGCAATGGAAACCCAAATGACTTTCTCACTGTGTAACTAAATGTTACTTAATGCCCATCCCTGTGGCTCCCTCAAGTCCCATACTTTGGGAAATGTAGTTGTAAAGAATCCAGCTGGACCAGTAATGACCCTGCAGCCATGGTGAACCCAAAGCATAAACTTGCCTGTCATCTCACAAGTAGTCAATTCCTACTCCATTTGTTCATCAACCTCATAACTCCCTGTGAAACATGAAGAGCAGGCATTGCCATCCCCATTCCACAGATAAGGAGGCTGAGGCTCAGGAAGGTCCTACAGTGCGGGGGCTTGCACCTTGGCCTTTTTGACCTCAGAATCCTCAAATAGGGCTGTCCCTGCAGGCCCAGCTACCTCTGCACATCTCCTGTTGCCGCGGGCCTGTGCCCACACCCGGGAAATGAGGGGAGAGAGTGGTGAGCACACACTAATGTCGCTTCCTCTTCTCTGGCCATCTTTCTCTCTTCTCCCACTTAGGACCTCCAGGAGGCAGCAGACCTGGCCCCGGGCCTGCAGTACGCTTTCCAGATCAGAGGCCAGGCAAGTGTTTGCTTCTTCCCATGCCCGCACACAGGCGACCCCTTCCCTCCCACTTCCGCTCGAGAGAACAGGGGCAGCCAGACCTCGGCCCCGTCTGCACCCTGAGACCGACCTCATGAGCTCTAAGGGTCCCTCTGATTCCAAAACTCCAGATGGTCTATGGATTTGAAAGAAAATGCCCATTCACGTAGTGGGTAAGAGCACAGGAGCTGGAGCCCAAATGCCTGTGTTCAAGTCCCAGTGCCTTCATTTTCTAGCTGTGTGACCCTGGGCAAGTGATATTATTTCTCTGAGCCTCAGTTTCCTCATCTGTAAAATGAGAGTAGTACTAAGACCTACCTCACAGGGTTGTTGGGAGGATTAAACTAACAGATTCATGGTAAACTTTAGCACATTACCTGGACTATTAAGTCCACCCCAAGTGACAGGGATTAATACATAATGATATATATGCGCCATCATTATCATGATCATCATCCATGATCTTATCTACAACTTATTCAGTGCTTTGTAATGCACCAAGCACTGTTCTAAGTGCTGTATACATGTTAGATAATTTTTTTAAAATAATAGCTACTATTATTTGTGCGTGGAACCCTCGTGACGCAGCAGTTAAGAGCTATGGCTGCTGACCAAAAGTTTGGCAGTTCAAGTCCACCAGCTGCTCCTTGGAAACCCTATGGGGTGCTTCTTCTTTGTCCTATAGAGTCCCTATGAATTGGAATCGACTCAACAGCAGCAGGTTTGGTTTGGTTTTTTTGTGCACCTTCAGGTGTTATAATTCCCATTTTACAGATGAGAGAACTGAGGCTCAGAGACATTAAGTAACTTGCCCCAGGTCACACAGCCAATTCAACCCACACTTTCCGGCTCCAGAGCCCATACCCAGTCAGGTCTGTCTTGCCTATATTTGAACCAGCTCCTGGGGCTTGTTGTAAAACACAAATTCTAAGGCCCCACTGCCCAGCCCCATTAGGGCCAGGTAGGGCCCAGGAACCTGCATTTTTATAAGCTTCCCGAGGTGGCTTTGACCAGGGCAGTGTTCTGAGAACCAGTAAAGGACAGAGTGCACCTCTCCGTCAATTGGAAGTGGTAACCCTCCCTGCAGGGCAGGGGGTGATCCTGGTGTCATGTCTGCAAAGTACCTGGCGCACAGTAGGTAAAGCTAGAGCAGTTGCTGCTGCTGTTGTTAGGAAGCAGTGGATCAGCTGCCTCTTTCCTGTCCTCTCCCCGTCCCCCTGCAGAGGTGACTCCGAGTGACCCCGGCTATCCAGGAGCCGCTGTCGTACCTCGGGAGGAGAGAACGGGGCCAGCTGGGGGCTACCCAGCGGTCGGAGCCAGGGAGGACCGAGTGGGCCACCCACCCGGCCCCTATTCCCAAGCCACTGCTGCTGCCCCTCCACCTGCCGCAGCCCCCACCCGCCAGCCCCCACCCCCGGAAGAGGAGGAGGAAGAAGCCAACAGCTACGATTCGGATGAAGCAAGTAGGAGGCACATAACTGAGCAGTGTCAGGAAAGTAGCTTCAGGGTCGCCCCAGCGAAACAGGAATGGCTCCGGGCACATCCCCATACACCCCAGACCCTCAATATGCTACCCCAGTAAATGCATTGAAGGAGCCCTGGTGGTACAGTGATTAAGCGCTTGGCTGCTAACTGAAAGATTGGCAGTTCGAACCCACCAGCCGCTCTGCAGGAGAAAGATGGTGGCAGTCTGCTTATGTAGGGACTACAGCCTTGGAAACCCTATGGGGCAGTTCTTCTCTGTCTTGTAGGGTTGCTAAGAGTCAGAATCAGGTGAACAGCAACAGGTTTTAATAAATGTATTGCCTAAGTTACAAAAACATGTTTATGCTACTAAATTCACAAAATGATATCAGCTTTCTAAAGAATAGATGCTGTTTTTTTGTTGTGGTAAAATATGGGTAACATAAAATTGACCATTTTAACCATGTTCAAGTGTACAATTCAGTGGCTCTAAGTACATTCACGATGCTCAGCCTGGCACTTCCTCAAGTTAAACACAGAGTTACCAAATGACCCAGCAATTCCACTCCTAGGTATATATATTTTAATAGTTTTCAAAGCTTTTCAAAGTATGTCTTCAACAATAATTTGTAATCATGATTTTTAAATTGCTGGACATTTCCGCTAGCACCCGTCCAGTTAGTGACTCAGTAAGTGCCCACTCTGTGCCTCTGCCACCCTAAGTCTCGTTATCCAGGGAAGCAACTGCCATGTCTGCCACACATATGCACATAAAGACAACTTAGACAAGCACATGCACACTCACACTTGCACACACACCTGTGGATATGCATGCATGCACACACACACGTGTACACACTCACAAACACCTGTGCATATGCAGATATGCATATAAACTCAGCACATGCATGCACACAAGCACACACATAAACACACATGCACTCACTTGCACACACTGGTAATGCATGCACACACACGTCACACACATGTACACATTCACGCATGCATGTACACACTCGCACACAAGCACATTCATAAACACACATAAATGCACACACGCACATGTGCACACACAAACAGAATACACACATACCCTAGTGACGCTTCTCCTGTGTATGCCTGGGAGCTGCAGAGGAGAACTGGGCCGGCGTTAGTGAGCTGGAGGGAGGCATGGATGGGCAAGTGGATTCAATATGTGTTACAAGGATGGGGATGGGGTCTCCAAGAGCTCCCTATCAAGTGGAGAGACTGGACCTGCATAGAAGAAATGGACCAAAGGCCACGGCCAATGGCGTCGCCTCGACCCGTTGTGCCACCTCTTCTCATTGGAAAGTGGGAAGCAGAATGCGGCGTCCCATGTGAGGCTGAGGGGAGGGCTAACTGAGATCCCTCTTGGGAAAGTACTTTGTAAACTGGAGCTTATGATTATTACATAGTGCCAAGCACCCGTAAGAAATTTCTGTTGTGTGATATGGACATCAGAGATGGTAAGAGTCAACACCTGTTGAGCGCTTATTTTGTGCCAGGCACTATTCTAGGTGTGTTATGTGCATTCGCTCATTTAATCTCCTCGACAGCCCTGTGAATAGCTGCTTTTACTGTTTCTGCTTTACAGGTAGGGAGGCCAAGGCTCCGAGAGGTTTAGGGCCTTGTCCAAGCTCCCACGCTAGGGAGTGGAGGAACTGACAGCCAGTCACTACACTGGAGCTGATTCGAGGCAGATCTAGGGGAAGTGTCCAGCTGCCTCTCTGACCCCCTGCTCTCCTACGGGTCGTGTGTCTGTAGTCTCAGGGGAAAGCACAGCGTCCACCTCTGCCTTGTCAGCCACGGGCCTTTCTGCTCCAGAAATACTCTGTCCAGGCCACCTCTCTGCCTTTCCTCATGCTGGTCCTCTCCCTGGACCACCAGCCACTGCTCCCTCCATCTGCCTTAAATGCCTCTCTACCGACCCACCAAGCATAGATGACCCCCTCCCAACCTTGCACTTGTCCCTGTTACTAGCTTACCCCAGTGATTTATAACAAGTCTGTCTTCATACTCAATTCTGTACTTCTCACTCACTCATTTCTATATTTAAAAAGTGTTTATTGAGCACCTTCTGGGTGTCTCACGTCCCTGGGTGGTGCAGACAGTTAACATGCTCAGCTGCTAACTGAAAGATTGGAGGATCGAGTCCACTCAGAGGTGCCTCAGAAGAAAGGCCTGGAGATGTACTTCTGAAAAATCAGCCATGAAAACCCTATGGAGAACAGTTCTACTCTGACACACATGGGGTCGTCATGAGTTGGAATAGACTTGACAGCAATTGGTATTTCACAAGTGACTCACTGTTCTAATTGCTAGGAATAACACAGCAAACAAAGGCAGACAAGACTGCTGATCCAATGGAGTGAGACAAACAGTTAACATACCAGTGAGTGAATATCAAATAGAGTTAGAGCACCAGGAAGAAGATAAAATAGGAAGAGTGATGGTAAGGGTGTCTGTTTTAGATGCGCCACAGAGGGCTTCTCTGAGGAGGTGATATTTAAGCTGAGACTTGGAGAATGGGAAAGTGCCAGCCATGTGAGGATCTAGAGGGAGAGCATTCTAGGCAGAGGGAACTGCAAATGTGAAGACTCATTTATCCCTTCAGCAAATAAATGAGCAACTACTATGTGTCCTGTTGGCGCAGTGGTTAAGAGTGGTTAAGAGGTCGACAGTTCAAATCCACCAGCCACTCCTTGGAAACCCTATGGGACAGTTCTACTCTGTCCTATAGAGTTGCTAATGGTTGAATTGATTCGACGGCAATGGGTTTTTTTTTGGGGGGGAGGGGTCGTTTATGTGTCCCGTGCTGCGCACAGTGGGGACACAACAGTGAACACGACAGCCACAGCCCTATGGTGCTGTCAACCTGGCAGGACAGGAAGCCATTAACTAGGCGACTGCACAACTGATTAAATGATCACTGATGTGCAGGCGGCTCCAAAGAAGAGGGAGGTCTACCAGGATGGGGTGTCCCGAGTCTTCCTGTCCTCTCTAGGCTCAGTGCCTAGCCCAGACTGGGCACATAGTAAGTGCTCTGGAAATGTTTGTTGAATGACTAACGAATCTTCTCTGGGGTCTTGTCTCTGCCCGCCTCAGCCACCCTGGGTGCCCTGGAATTCAGCCTTCTCTACAACCAGGACAACAGCTCCCTGCAGTGCACCATCATAAAGGCCAAGGTGGGTGAGGGGGCAGGCTGGGGACCACTCAGCTGTCTGATCATTCTAGGGAACTCAAGGAGGAGAAGGTTGCCAGGCCTGTCTCATGCTGTTGCTGGGTCCATCTGTGACAGTGACAGTGATGAGAAGAGGGAAAGAATTGCCCACGGCATCTTCCTTTGAGGGAGGCCTTCCTCTGGGGACCATCCCAGAGGGTCTCGCTGAACCACAGCCACCTCCCGGGAGCTGCAGCAGCCAGGCTCCCAGGGCAGAGCCGAGATTCGCCTAGCCTGTCCACAGCATCTCTGGAGGGGACCGCAGAGGTGCTGCCCAGGGGGTAATGACAGTGGGCCTGGCCTCGAACGGCCCCGTCCTGTGCACAGACTCACACGTGCGTGCATGCACATGTACATGCCCACACACTCACTCACATGCACACCCATGCACATGTACACATCCCAGGTGCCTGCCTGGCTCCTTCTGCTGGTGTGGCCATCAAGCTGGAGCGGCAGCCATGCTGTGGGCCTGCTGGGGCAACGCCAAGGAGACCACTGTGGGCTTCCTGGGATGGGGGGGCACACAAGGTGCAAGTGCATCTGCTCGTTCAGGCGTCAGTGAGCGGGCCCTGAGCACGCTGGGTGAAGGCGGAAACTGTCCAGGATCTCCCTGCCCCAACTCTGGTCCATGTGGAAGAACAAGCAAGGGCTCAGGAACCAGACCCCCTGCCACTTCCCAGCTGAGTGATATGGGAGAAGTTACTTCATCCCTCTGTGCCTCAGGGTGCCCAGCCCCGCCTTCTCCCCACCCTTACTATTCTGAGACCTCTCCTCCCCTCCTAGCAATAGCAATTGCACCTTTAAGGAGCACTTACGATGTACGGAGCACTATGCCAAGCACCCTACAGCGGGTATCACATCTAGATGAAGTAGGTACTGTTCTTATCCCCAGTTGACTGGTGAGCAGACTGAGGCTCAGAGAGGTTAAGAAACTTTACCTAAGGTCACACAGTCAGGAAGTGTCATGGCCAGGCTTTGAACCCTGTCTGCCTGATTCCAGGTCGCCTTCCACAATGCTGCTCTTCCTTCTCCCTCCCTGGAAGAGGAGCCCACAGGGGATGAATGGGCAAGACAAGGTGCCAGGAGCTGGGGCCATTGCCTCTGGCAGCTGAAACCCTCTCACCATTGCCTCCTTCTCTTGCAGGGGCTGAAGCCCATGGATTCCAACGGCTTGGCCGACCCCTACGTTAAGCTGCACCTCCTGCCGGGAGCCAGCAAGGTACCATATGGCTCAAGCCTTCTGCAAGCCAGGCACACAGGCCCTGAGGTTCTCCGCTCAGAGCCTAAAATAGCCTCATGTGCCCCCAAAGCCTCCTGGCGTGTGGCAGACCCTTTGTGAGGGGGGAGAGGTGGGCCAGGAGTCACTCTTCCTCGAGGGGCCAGGGTTCTGCCCATTTCTCCAACCAAGAAACCTGGGACCCACGAGAGAAGCAGGTGCCCTGATATGCCCTCACCTGCTCAAATACCTGCAGTGGCTCCCAGTGCTGCCCATGGCCCACCTCCCTCACCCACTCCATGCCCCAGCCAAACCCTCCTCATCTCTCCCTCAAAATGCACAATTCTCTGCAGATTTTAGGTCTCACCACCCCCGAGGATGTTCTATTACTGAGAGAAAATGTGCCCCTGCCCCTGTGCCCTTCCCCCCTCCAGCTCCCCTGCTGATCTTTCCTTTGCTTGGGGGAGGGAACATGGGGCACATTTCCCTCTCTTTGGATTGACCCACCCAGAGCACACGGCTGGGAACAGAAGTGTGCCGTCTTGGGTTTTTGTTTGCTTGCTTGCTTGCTTTGCTGTGTTAATTTGACATAAACCCCCCAAAAATCCATTGCCATCGAGTTGATTGTGACTCTTAGTGACCCTATGAGACAGAGTAGAACTGCCCCATAGGGTTTCCAAGGCTGTAATCTTTATGGAAGCAGACAGCCACATCTTTCTCCTGTGGAGCTACTGGTGGGTTTGAACCGCCCACCTTTCAGTTAGCAGTCGAGCACTTAACCGCTGCGCCGCCAGGGCTCCTTTAATTTGACATAGATGTCCTAAAAACAAGGGTGACTGCCCACATGGTCTCGGGGAAATGCCTGCTAAAAAATCTCCTCAAGTATCAACTGCTTCGGAAGAGTACGTACACACACACACACACACCCACACACCCCCCCACACACACACACCCACACACCCACACCCACACCCACACCCATACCCACACCCACACCCACACACACACACACACTTTGGATCAAAGAAGGACCATCACCTGGCCAAACTGTGAACCGTTTGGTCCCCACTCCTCCTAACTCACCAGTGACATTTGCTTCCCCTTGTGACTCCCCTTTGCCCACTCCTAAATCTAAGCCTGCTTTGCCAAAGAATCGGATGTGAATTACTCACTTGTTAGTGTAAATTAAATTTCTCACCAGACCACCCATTCTGGGTATGGTTGCATTTCTGGCCTTCTCTCTTAGAAGAAAATGAAAAACGTTGTCCCCTTTAAGGAATTTCAGGTATAGGAAGGTGATGCTTGGGGGAACATTGTCCCCTAATGTCCCCAGAAATTGTACCTTCACTGCCTAGGAGTGGGTGACTCTCATGGTCTGTAAATATTTTTTCTCAAAAGAAGTTGTCTTTGATTTCTTGTCTTAATTGTGAGTTCAAGGAAGGGGACCAGAGAGTGGAAGGATGAAGGGGTGCAGGGCCAGGCATTAATCCATTTGTCTGTAGCCTTCCACCTAGAGGTTACCCCCCTGACCCCGAGAACATGCATTTGGAGCAAATGAGCCCCTGGACACTCCAAGGGGGAAGCCACCCGCTCACCCCAAATCAGCCCAAAAGATGGGCTCCAGTGCTGGCTCCCTGCTGAGGCAGGTGTCTGTCTGTCCTTCTCTCTGGGCTGTAGTCGAACAAGCTTCGTACAAAAACCCTACGAAACACGCGGAACCCCGTCTGGAATGAGACCCTCATCTATCATGGCATCACAGACGAGGACATGCAGAGGAAGACCCTCAGGTACTGCCGGGCGGTGGGCCTGGAGGGAGGCGAGGGTACTGAGCTGGAAGAACTGAGATGGGGCACAGCCCTAGGGGCCCGTGCTTTAAAAAGGCCTCTGCTTCGTTGTGTCTTTTTTCTTTCTCCCTCTATAAAAACAATCTATGTTTCTGGTAGAAACTTTTGAAAATACAGAAAACAAACTGTTAACATGTTGGTGCCTGGACATCTAGTTTGTGTGTGTGTGTGTGCACACATGTATGTGTATGTATGTGTGTGTATATATAATTTTTTAACTTGAGTGTTTATAAAAACGCAGTATCCTTCTAAGTAGCCTGTCTCATCTAACAATATATTGATTGCATCTCATATTCTTCTATAATGTTGTATTAAATTGCATTTTAAATTATATATGTAATTAATGAATACATTCTTATTGTAAACATTTATAGAGAGAGCAAAGCTACTTTTAAATGTGTGTCCCCTTCCCCCAGCCTGGGTCTCCTTTCTTCCATGAGTGTATGCGTGTATATACAGTCGACCCCCTGTATCTGTGGGTTCCGAATCTGCAGATTCAACCACAGATCGAAAACATTTACAAAAAAAAGACTTTTTTTCGTGTCATTATTCCCTAAACAATACAGTATAACAACTATTTACATAGCCTTTACATTGTGCTAGGTATTATAAGTAATCTAGAGATGATGTGCATAGGTTATATGCAAATACTAAGCCATTTTATATAACGGACTTGAGCAGCTGTGGATTTTGCTATCCTCAGAGGTCCTGGAACCAATCCACCAGGGATACCAAAGGACAGCTGTATGTGCACATCCCAACAGGATATGTATATATGTGTATGTATATATACACACACATACACAGATATATACATACATATCTATTATATGCATAGGCATTTACATATATTATTATTTAAAACAGAGAGAGTATTATGCCGTATTTATCTGGAACTTGCTTTTTTTCATAACCATATATCTTAGAGTTATAGCCACGAGAAGATACTTAGATCTATCTAATTTTTAACTGCTTCACAGTATTCCACAGTAAGTCTTTATCACAGATCTAAAAAAAAATTTTATTATTAACTACTACGAATATACAGAAAAGTACAAAACATAACAAACATCCATGAACCCAATACTCAGTCTTAAAAAATCTTAATAGTTAGCTGTATTTGCCTCAGCTCATTTTTTAAAGAAATCAGGCCCTTCGGATGCAAGTTGCAGCAGCCCAATCCCGTTCTCTTCCTTCCCTCTCCAAGGCTAAATGCTATCCTGAATTTTATGGTTATCGTTCCCAAGCATGTTTTATACTTCAGCTACATAATTATGCATCTAGAAAAAATACATGATGTTGTTTTGCATGTTTGTAAATTTCATGTAAACATTTAGCATTTGACTTAGCCAGTTCCCTATGGAGAGAGATTTAGATTATTTTCCACTTTTCTCTATTACAAGCAAGGTTGCAGCAAGCATCCTCATGCTTCCTTGTGTTCCTATGAGTATTTCCTTCAGATAGAAATCAAGGGGGAATAGTGCTGGATCATAGGGTATGTGGGTTTGGTTTTGTTTTTTCAATTTCTACAAGTCGTGCAAACTGCTTTCCAGATTGACTATTCCAAGCACGTTCCCACCAGCTATAATATTAAGGAAAAAATTTTTGTTGCAGTGTAACATCCGTTCAAAACAGTGCACATGTCATAAGTGGTATGTATGCGCTTACACAATGCAATTCGGTACAGCGATAAAAAGGACGCATTACTGCATATCTGGACGAATCTCACAGACAGAATGTTGGACAAAAGTAGCCAGATATAAATCAGTACTTACTGGATGTTTCCATTAATATGAAAGTCAAAAACAAGACAAATGAATCTATAGGACTAGAGGGATAATTAGGGTTTTCTGGAGGCTGGAATATTCTATATCTTGATCTGAGTGGTGGTCCCATGGGTGTAAACATACGTAAAAAATTCATAGAGCTATAAACTTAAAATGTGTGCTGTTTACCACATCTAAGTAATACTGCAATAAAAAAAAAAAAGTACCTGGCTCAAAAAAACCAAACCAAACTCATTGCCGTCAAGTTGATTCTGACTTCGCGTGACCCTATAGGACAGAGTAGAACTGCCCCATAGGGTTTCCAAGGCTGTAATCTTTACGGAAGCAGACTGTCACATTTTCTCCTGTGGAGTAGCTTGTGGGCTCAAACTGCTGACCATTTGGTTAGTAGCTGAGTGCTTTCACCACTGTGCCACCAGGGCTCCTTCCTGTACCTGGCCCAGTGCTCAATAAGCAAGACATTGTATTACTCCTGTACACATTACACTTTCCTTACCAGCATCAACCACAGTCCTCGGCACACAGTCAGACCTCAGTATATGCTCCCCTTTCTCATACCTTGTCTGTTGACCACAGGATCTCAGTCTGTGATGAGGACAAATTTGGCCATAACGAGTTTATTGGTGAGACCAGATTCTCGCTCAAGAAGCTGAAGCCCAACCAGAGGAAGAATTTCAATATCTGTCTGGAGCGGGTCATCCCAGTGAGTGTCTTTGCCCCGGGTCTGGTGCGGGGAGATGAGCTGGGGGTGCCGCCTTCCTCTGTGTCTGCAGAGGGGGACGTGGATCCACAGGCTGCCTGGCAGCACTTGGGGAAAGTTTCCAGCCAGAACGTTCCAGGTTGCCTCCTGCCTCTGCCTTTTACCAACCCTGTGCTAACATCACCTCTCTGAACGTCAGTGTCCCCCTTGGTGACACTGGGAAAGGCAGCATGGCCGGCCTGGCTTCAGAGCCCAGTTCATGGCGTTGGCCAAGGGAATGAGTGACTCTGAGGCTCAGTTTTCTTATCTGTAAATGGGCATTGTTGCAATACCTGCCTCATAGGAGGGTTGTGTGAAATAAAATAAGAAATCAGAACAGAACCTACCGAGTAATAAGCAGTCATGAATTGCTAAGTGTTGTTAGCACAGGAATAATTCTGTCTTGCCCACCTGTCAGTCATGAAGTCCGAAAGCATCATGCAGATAAGCAGAAGGCAGTGTAGCATCATGCTGAAGAGCATGGGCTGTGGAGCCCGACTGCCTGGGTTTGCATCCCGACTCTGCTGCTGACTGTGTAATCTGAGGCACATTACTTAACCTCTCTGGGCCGCAGTTTTCTCCACTGTAAAATGGAGATAATATAGTACCAACTGCACGGGCGCTTATGAGGATTAAGTGTGGTAGTATGTATAAAGCATTAGAACCGTTCTTATTACTGTTGTCCTCATCATTGTGAGATGTGGTACTTGCCCTTTGAGAAAGAGCGAGGACCAGATCGGGGTTCAGAATCACCTGTGGGTTCTGAAACCAGAGCTTTGCAAACTAAGATTTGTGGGCATCTCCCTTCGAGTAGAGTAAGACCTCAAAATAGGTATTTTTGATATCAGCCAGCCTGCACTTGCTTTACAAATAGGACAGATTAATCCCTGAATCAGGAAACACTGCCCAAGGTCACACGCGAGGCAGGGCTGTGCTAGAGCCCAGCCCTCCTGCAGCCCCCTACATCCCTGCAGCCCGAGGCGAGGGCTACCTCCCCTCAGGGAAGCCTTGGGGGCAAGAGGGAGAATCCTGGCACATCCTCCCACCAGATGGCCGGCTCAAGGATGGAATATCCGTGTGCCACGCCATGTTTTTAAAGCGCAGGCGAGGGAACCAGACACAGCAAGGAAAATTGCAAGGAAGCATTTACACCAAATGCCAGGCTCCAAACAAATCATTAAGGAAAACCCTGGGCGTGAAACACTTCCTGTGGGGCTTTGCCTGGTAACAGCTGGCTCTTCAGGTTTCTGTTCCTTTCCACATTCAATGAGCCAAGTTGTTCAGGACAGGGACCGGGACCCCGCCCCAGTCCTCAGCTCCTGGGTCTGCCCGTCTTACTGTGGTGGACACTGGCAGTCCCTGAGCCACAGGGGAGCACAGGGCAGGAGCGGCTATAGGAGAGCCAGGCGGGCGTGGGGCAGGAGAGGCTATAGGAGATCCAAGGGGCCGCGGGGCAGGAGAGGCTATAGGAAAGCCGGGGGCATGGGGCAGGAGAGGCTATAGGAGAGCCAGTGGGGCACAGGGCAGGAGAGGCTATAGGAGAGCTGGGGAGGGTGGGGCAGGAGAGGCTATAGGAGAGCCGGGGGGCGCGGGGCAGGGGAGGCTATAGGAGAGCTGGGGGTGGTGGGTGCGCAGGGCAGGAGAGGCCATAAAAGAGCCAGCGGGGCACGGGACAGGAGAAGCTATAGGAGAGCCAGGGGGGCGTGGGGAAGGAGAGGCTGCGGCGGCAGCTGCAGGACTTGCTGATTTTCTGCTCTTTGCCCTCCACCCTCCCACCACCACTGTCCCCCACTATGCCCCACTGAAGACTGGGACCTAGTAAGCGCTATCCCCTACTCTCTGAACCTCAGTTTTCCTCGTCTGTAAAGTGAGCAGATTGAATTTAACCAGTGGTTTTCAAACTGGATTCCCCAGACCCTTAGAATCCAGCAAAAGGACCTCATGAGCCTCGGAGCGAGAAGGCACCTTGTGGGCCAGATCCCAACCCCATGGCACTTCAACCAGAGCAGATGAAATCTTATCTGTTTTATGTACCGGAGTGCTCTGCTACTTACTGGCTGTGGGACCTTGAGCAAGTGGCTTACCCACTCTGTGCATCAGTGTCCTTGTCTGTAAAAGGGGGATGGTAATAGGATCCACACCGTAGGTGGTTGTGCAGTAACATGGTCTGCCACATGGCTTGTGTTATATACAGTTTAGCTGGAAAGGGGAAGCAAGAGGGCCACAGGAGGTTGGGGAAACCATCATCAGGAAGCTGGAGGCTAATGGGGAGTACAGGACTTCTGGTCCTTGTTTAGGGAGGTGAGCCTGTAGACAATGTTACCTTTCTTTTCTGTTTCCTTCTTCAAAGATGAAGCGTGCTGGGACCACTGGGTCCGCCCGAGGCATGGCCCTGTACGAGGAGGAGGTGAGCCCTGAGGGTACTGACGGCCACAGGCGAGGTGGACACTGCCTCTGCCTGGTCTGGCAGCTCCCTTCTCTCCCTTCCTGGCCCTTCCTCCACTCTCTCCACTCCCACCTGCCCTTTGCCTCAGGGCTCTAGAACATGAGACCAGAGTGGACCCTCTTCACACTGAATGAAGCTACTGAGGTGGGGGAGGCCCCCGCTCTCACATCTGAGGTGCATCCTGAGTTCCTGGGCCTTGTTGGCAGACTCTCTGCTGACAGTTCCATGTCACTGGAGCACTGGTGTGCCCCCACTTGGGGGTGTAAGGCGGGCTCTCGGAGCTGTGACTAGCAGGGGATGGGGTTGAACCAAACTTCCAGGCCCTCTGCCCAGGCCCCTCTTGTGACCCCAGGGACTGTGCTCATGATGAGACTGGTTGGCTCAGGGAAGTCTGAGAGCAGTCAATGATCGGTCTGGGACCAGCGTCAAGGCGCAGTCCTGGGTCAGAGCTAGGGTCAGTCAGTGACCAGGATCAAACCAACCTATGATCAGCATCAGGCCGGATCTGTGTCCAAGTCGAAGTAAAGCCAACCGCCCCCACCTGCCTCACACTGGCCCCCTTGGCTTTCCTGTCCCTCTGCCTCTCCAGTGCCCTCACCTCCATTTGTCCCTGCCTGGAGACTGGGCAGAAGCCCTGGTGGCATAGTGGTTAAGTGCTATGGCTGCTAACCAAAAAATCAGCAGTTCAAATCCACCAGGTGCTCCTTGGAAACTCTGTGGGGCGGTTCTACTCTGTCCTATAGTGTCGTTATGAGTTGGGATCGACTGGATGGCAATGGGTTTGGTTTTATTTTTTTTGGAGACTGAGCTGCAGCCACTGTCCACGGTGCTGACCTTTAGCAGGCCTGGCTCCTCCCGCCTTCACCGGCTCTTCCCTAATGCTTGCCACCCACGGTCCCCTCTCCTCCCAGGCCAACACAGCCTCTTCCCCACCCCCTGCAGCAGGTGGAGCGTATTGGTGACATCGAGGAACGTGGCAAGATCCTGGTGTCCCTCATGTACAGCACCCAGCAGGGAGGCCTTATCGTGGGCATTATTCGCTGCGTCCACCTGGCTGCCATGGATGCCAACGGCTACTCAGACCCGTTCGTCAAGCTGTGAGTCAATGTCTTGGGACCATGAGTGGCCCCTAATGGGGGACCCAGATCCTTGGAAAGGGAGAACCAGAGAGCTTCCCCAAGATCATTGTCCACTGAGGCCCAGAGAGGGGAAGGAACCTGCCCAAGGTCACACAGGGAGACTGAGGCCCAGAACTGGCTGAGGTGAAGCTGGAGTCTCTGTATGAGGAGCTTTGTGGCTCTGTCGCCTCCTGTGGAGGAGGGGCAATGTGCATGGTGTGGTACCCCAGCTGTGGCCCCCAGGAGTCAGCTGCATACCCCTCCAGCAGCTCAGAGCCCCACCACCAAAGAAGCAGTCTGGCTTTTCCCAGATTTAGTCTGAAATTGCTAAAAAAAAAAAAAAAAAAAAAAAAAAAACTTGGACTTTGGGGTTATTCCAGTAATCTCTGTCATACGGAATGAAACAGACTTGGTTATCTGTGTTAGCCCAGGTCTTCGGAGAAGAAGATGCTAGGGGGATTAAATATCCAAGGATTTTATTGGGGGAAATGCCTTTGCGAGGGAAAGTAGGGAGGGTGTCAGGGGCACTGGGAGAGCTGTTGGATCACAGTACAAATCTGACCCTGAGAGGAAGAGGAGGGAAGACAGATGGAAGCATCCTAGGTACAAGTTTGGCAGGGAGTCCTCGAGACAAAACTGGCCATCAGATGAGTACGCCTGCCTTGCTACCTCTGCTGTGCTCAGTCATGTCTGGGAGCGTGCCCTTGGCCCAGACATGGCGTGAATGTTCGAACACAGCTGCTGGGGCCTGCATTTGGAGATCTCGTGGTGCTTTCTGTCATGGTCTCCATTGTATCAACCTGAGATTCAATTCCTCTCTTTGCTAGTTGCTAGCTGTGTGACTATGAGCAAGTTATTTGGCCTCTCTGAGCCTCAGTTTCTTAACTAATAAAATGGAGACAATAGTTCCCTCTTATCTCCAAGAGTGGGCATAAGGTTCAAATGAGATATCATATGTAAAGCAATTGCAGTTGTGCCTGGGATAGAAGTTGATCTACTCTCTATAAAATTCTTCCTTGTATTTGGATAGCAAAATGTGTGTTTCCCCAGATAGACTTAAGAGCACAGACTCTGAATCTAGACCTCCTGGGTTTGAATCCCAGTTCTGATACCAGTTGCCATCAAGTTGATTCTGATTCATGGTGACCCCATGTGTGTCGGAGTAGAACTGTTCTCCGTAGGGTTTTCATGGCTGATTTGTTGGAAGTAGATCACCAAGCCTTTCTTCCGAAGTACCTCTGGGTGGACTCAAATTTCCAACCTTTCACTTAGCAGCCAATTGCATTAACCACTTGCACCACCCAGGGATAGTCTCTAATATTCTTTAGCTGTATTACCTTGGGCTCTTTTCTTAACCTCTCTGGGCCTCAATGTCCTCCTCTGTAAAATGGGAAGAGTGATACTGTGCATTAGTTCAGGTCCTCCAAAAAGCAGACACCAAGACAGGATTAGACGTGCAAGGGATTTATTGGGGAAAATGCCTGTGAGGGGAAACTAGGAGGAAGCCAGAGGACGCTGGCAGAGCCCACAGACTGTGATCCACGTCTGACCCCCTGTGGAGGAGAGAGAGAAGGAAGGAAGATTAGGGAGGAAGAGTCTTCGACAGTGGTGCAGTTCTAAGGAAGTTTCAACCAGGGCAATGTGGAATCCTGGAGGGCAAAGTCACCCATTGGAGGAGCCGTACATCTCCCAGGAATGGGCGGCCTCAACATCCCTGCCAGCTTAGTTGGTGGCTGGAAGCAGCCCGTGGGAAGCATGGCATTGGCCGGAACATGAGGGTGAATTCAGAGCCCAGCAGCTCAGTCAGTTTCTTCTCCTGCAGTTGGACATCTGAGAGGTGCATTTCCATGGTATCTGGTACATAGTAAGTGCTCAATAAATGCTTGCCGTTGTGATCATCAGTAATGACCATCACTAACATTACTCCTGGCAAAGGGTACTTATTAATGTTCTCTCCAGTCTGGGAGACACCCCACTCCCACCACAGTCTCTGATAACAGAAAGCAATACTTCCCTCAAGCCCTTGGCTGAAAAACAGGAGAGTGTGGGCGTTCCTCCAGACTTTCTTCGAGTGAGGATTTAGTTAACAGAAGACACGTATGTCAGGGGTGAATTTGATTTCCAAGAGCATTTTGGTTTTATGTTCTCATATGGCCTAAGAAAAAATTAGCTCCTGGATGCCACCCTGCCAGCCATTAATTCCCAGCCATATGCAGATTGGTTTGCTTAAATAATTCTCCCCGTCACCCACTCTCTCATCCAGCATCTTCCCAGGACTCGGTGGCAGCCTAAGGGGCACTAGATGGTGAACCAGCAGGCACCACCAGCCATGGCTCTCAGTTTGATCCATTGGGAGGACGTGGTGGCTGAGAGCACAGATTCTAGAAGAAGCAGAGCTGGCTTCAGATTCCAGATCCATCGTTTCCCAGCTGTGTGACCTGGAGCACATGTCTCAACCTGTCTGGACTGTCAGTTTCCTTATGTGTAAAATGGGGTGGTCGGAGTTCTAGCACCTAGGCTTTGTGTGAGGGTTAGATAGGCCCACAGTGCATGTCAGGCATTATCAGTGTTGCCTCACTTCCTAGTTTGTCCATCAGAGCCCTGGAAGGAGCCTCTGGGGTCTTCACAGCACTTTTCTTGTTCATTGAACTTCGTCCGAACAGCCTCTTTTGTCTCCTCTCAGCTGGCTGAAACCAGACATGGGAAAGAAGGCCAAACACAAGACTCAAATTAAGAAGAAAACCTTGAACCCTGAATTTAATGAGGTAAGGCTGCCCCATTGTTTGTTATGTCCTAGGATAGTGCCCAGGTATGAGGAAGACACAAACTCCCTACTAGAACCCTTGAAATCACTTTAGGAGGAAAAAAAGAGAAAAAACCTCTCTCATAGATCAGCCTGATTTATCTAAAGGAGAAGTCATGAGTTCCTTGTCACTGGAGGCAATCAAGCCTAAACCAAATGCCCACAGATTAGGAAAGCCATAGGGAGAAAGCTGAGTTTGGAGAGAGATTGAATTCATTCATCCCCAAGGTCTTTACCAATTCTAATAAATAGGGGCAGCAATGGCCTTGACCATCCACCCAGCTGGTGCTGCCCTCTCCTTCTCCCTTACTCCTCACATCCATCCAGTGCATCAAGTCCTACTGAAGCTACCGTCTATATACCTGCTGGCCATGCTCCTTCCTCTGTGTTCTCACTGTTACTGCCTTGGTTCAGTCCCTGGCATTTTACGCTTGGACCGTTGCAATAGATGCCTAACTTGCTTCCCTGTGTTTAGTACATCCTCCACATAAGTGTGAGCTTTCTAAAACACAAATCTGAATTTGTCACCCTCCTTTGCTAAATAACCCAAGAATGGGTCTAACTCGTCTCCCCCCATCCTGTGTCTCAGACACCACATCCTCAAGTCATTCTAAACTCCATGCAGGTCTCTGGTACACCTCTCAGCCTTGCCATCTGCTGATCTCTTGTCCTGCACTTCCTTCGTTTTCCTCCCTGGCAAACTCCTAGTCATCCCTCAAGACCCAGCTTAAGTGTTACCTCCTACAGAAACTCCTCATCCATTCATTGTGCATCTTTCCATCTTGTGCTGTTGCTCTGGACTTCCATCATCTGTTGGCAAGCCTGTCAGATAGTGGAGGTCCATGAATATCTGTTGAATTAACAGAGGATTGAATAGAGCAAAAAGTGGGAAAATGTTTAAGTTCTAATCTAAACCACCACCACCAATCTGTCAGTTTGTCGTACTGTGGTGGCTTGGGTGTTGCTATGATGTTGGCAGCTATGCCCTCGGTATTTCAAACACCATCTGGGTCACCCATGGTGGACAGGTTTCAGTGGAGCTTCCAGACTAAGACAGACTGGGAAGAAAGGCCTGGCAATCTACTTCCAAAAATAAGCCAATGAAAACCTTATAGATCACAACAGAACATTATCTGATCTAGTGCTACAATGTTGGAGATGGCACCGAACCAGGCTGTTGTACCTAAAGTCACCATGGGTGAGAGCTGACCTGACGGCAGTTAATAACAGCAACAGTAGCGTTCACACACATAGGGGATGTAGTGTGGGAACAGGCAGAGCCCAGAGAAACCACGCCACCGGTTAGATGAGCCCTTCCCATTCCCCGGTTATCTTTGGGCTAGTCCCCTGACTTCTGACTCATGAATTTGAAGTAAGGAACCAATTCCTGCTGCCCTGCCCTGCCCTGCCCTGGAGTCTGAACAAGTCACAAAATAAAAAAATCCAAATGGCCTATACATATAACAGTGGTAACTCATCAGCAGGAAAGAAAATATAAATCAAGACGAGACCCCATGTTGCATAACAGACTGGCACAAAAATCTTTTTAAATGTTGGTCCCCAGTGCTGGTGAGCATGGGGGAAACGCAGCCACTGCTGGTGAGAAAGCAAAGGGCAGCGAAAGGACTTATCAGAATACCCCAAAAGAACGTTTGTCAAAGTACTCCACAAAAGCCTTAGAATTTTTTAATTTAAATTTTATTTATTTTTGGAAGAAGTAGTCACATATTTCAAAATTCAAAAAGTACAAATGGGTATCCAATCCAAAATCACCCGCCCTGCCACCCCAGCTCCCAGCCACTTTCTTCTTTTCTTCTAAAGCAACAATATTATCCGTTTCTGGAATTTATTCATATACAAAGCAAATATGGAGTCCCTGGGTGGCGCAAATGGTTAACACACTCAGCAGCTGAAAGGTCAGAGGTTCTAGTCCACCCAGAGGCACCTCGGAAGAAAGGCCTGGTTGTCTACTTCCAAAAAATCAGCCATTGAAAACACTATGGAATGCGGTTCTACTCTGACCCACATGGGGTTGCCGAGTCAGAGTCGATGGCATGGCAACTGGTTAAAGTAAATATATGCACGATCAGTTTTATTTTTGTACACAAATAGTATCACAGTATACACCCACTGTTCCCCATCTTAAAATTGTACAGACTCAGTAATTCACTTCTCAGGGTTTATCTAAATAAATCATTGTGGATGTGCACAATGGCTTAGCTGCAAGGATGCCTTTTATACCATTTATGATAGTGAAAAATTGGAAACAACCTAAATAACCAACAATCGGGGATTGGATTACGGTACAGTCACACAGCCATTAAATCCAGCCATTACAGTGATGATGCAGAAAAATATTTGTTACCACAATAAGTTGATTTTTAATATATGTTATGAAGTGGAAAAAGGAAGCTATACCGCAGTATGTTCGGTGTTATTTCATTTTAAAAAAAAAACATAGATCTCTGTGGGCCTGGTGATCGGCTTCCAAAATGTCACAGCCTTGAAAACCTTATGGAGTGCAGTTCTACTCTGCACGTTTGGGGTCTCCAGGAGTTGGAGCCGACTCAACAGCAGCTAACAACAGCATGTGCATACACGTGAGAATGTTGACAGTGGTTATTCTTGGATGGGTGGGTTACAGACTTCCTTGTTTGTTCTAACAATGAACATGTAATCAGGAAGAAATGTTATTTTTGAAAATCAGGTTGTCTGGGGACATAAGCATGATCCTGGTCGCAGTTTAGTCACCCCACTTAGCCGACTCAGTCCTCCCCTCTATCCTTACTCCCTAAGCAGTGGAGAGAGGGAGAAACCCATTTCAGAAGCTACCAGGATGGAAGGACTGAGTTCATGGACATCTGCCTTCAAGGGAAGTTGAGCAGAACCAGCTTCATTACACAAAGCTCCACTGGCCTTCCTCAATTTCTCATAGAGAATCCACTGAAAAGAGGATTACAGGGCTTGAGGACTTTGTTATATGGAGTGTAACAGAATGCCAGGCTCAAGGGGCTCCCCTTGGCCCATGGACCCCTGGGACTTAGCCTCTTAGCTCAGAGGCCCTTTCATGCACGTGTCTGCCTTTGTTGCTTACAGGAGTTTTTCTATGACATCAAACACAGTGACCTGGCGAAGAAGTCTCTGGACATCTCGGTCTGGGACTATGACATTGGCAAATCCAATGATTACATCGGTGAGTGCCCCCAACTCTAGAGAAAACCACTCTGTGTCTCCCTCCGGGAGAGGAGAGCCTGACCCGGGATGCAGAGGGCAACCACATTGTCCAAAAGCTAAGTTGGACCCAAGCTCGCGTTTTTGGTCCAATTTGGGAATGGCTTCGCAGGAAAGGACTTACAAAGCTGGGGAGGCAGAGTCATGTTGGTTATTTGCTAAACAAACCATATCTGGTGGAATAATTAAATCACAGGCGAGAGGGGCTGTGGTCTCTGCAGAAAAGAGGGGGCAAAAGAAGTCTCCTTCATTAACCCACAAGTCCAGGCTGGAGATTTTAATTTTCCCAGTCCTCCTCCAAATGATGAGGAAGAAAAACAAGGAAAGCTGGAGCAGAGAGGAATTCCAGGCAGGGGACACAGCCTGTGCAAACGTGTGGTGACAGGATTGAGCAGGCCGATGAAACTGACTCTACAAACAACTGATGAGAATCCAGAAGTAGTGGGAGATACGTTTCAGCAAGGGGGGTGGTGATTGGTGGTGGTCGTTGTTCATTGCTGTCAAATCAGCACCCACATACCCTGTCCTGTTCCATCTTCATGGTCACGGGGATATTTGAGCCCATTGTTGTAGCTATTGGTTCAGTCCATCTCATTGAGGGTGTCAGTTGGTTGTTGTTGGGTGCTGTCGAGTCAATTTTGACTCACAGTGACACCATGTAACAGAGGAGAAGTCCCTCATAAGAGGCTGTAACCTTTACGGGAGCAGATTGCCAGGTCTTTCTCCCGCAGAGCCACTGGGTAAGTTCAAACCTCTAACCTTTCAGTTAGCAGCCGAGCACCTAACTGTTGCACCACCAGGGCACCTTTTCAACTGACAAACCCCATTGCTGTCGAGTCAGTTCCGACTCATAGCGACTCATAGAGTTATGACTTGGTGCTACAGTTGGGAGCCTTTGCAGGTCCTTGAGTAGATAGCCTCTGGGCAGAGGAGGCCAACAGTAATAATAATAATAATATTAGTAATGACAAAACCATCCTAACAATAACCCTTGACAGAGAATCGTGTATACTATCGTTTATATACCATCTGTAGACCCCCCAAGTCACTGAGGGACTCACGGCTTGGTGGCGGTTTTCCCCAATGAGAACTTTGGGTCCCGAATGAGAGTCCCATGCGTCCATGACTGTGATCCTGCCCTCTCTGTCCCTCTGTTGTCCTCCAGGAGGCTGCCAGCTGGGGATCTCGGCCAAGGGCGAGCGCTTGAAACACTGGTACGAGTGTCTGAAAAACAAGGACAAGAAAATCGAGCGCTGGCATCAGCTACAGAACGAGAACCACGTGTCAAGTGATTAGGGTGGTGCCCAGGTCCCCAACTCCATGCTCCCCCATGCCCAGAACCCCCTCCAGCCTGCCCCAGCTGCCCACTGCACTCTGCCCTCTCTTCTGCACACCCACCTCCCCCACGCTTCCTCTGCCCCGACCCCTGAGCCTTCCTCCGTGCCCCCTGAGCCTGCTTTGGAGGTCTCCCCTCACCTCAACACTCTGCCGAAGACCATCTCCTCGCCCTGATCTGGGATGCGGGCTCTGACAGCAGCCCCCTGCCCCTCGCCAGTCCCTGCAGGATGGAGCCGCGGGGGTGGGAGATCTTTACACAGAAGATGTTCATTAAATAACCTCTCCATCAGGATAAATTACAAAGGTTCTTTGGGGCTGTTTTTAGACCGTCCTGGCCTTGAACACCCCTTTAGTTTCCTGGGCCGTGTGTGTCTGCCCTCAGTTGTAAGCGCACACAGACAAGGCTGTCAGATGAGCCCTGGAGCAGGGATAAAGCACCCTGGCTCCCACCGCTCCTCCAAAACAAACAAACAAAAACGTCACTGTCGAGTCAACTGCAACTCACGGCAACCCGGTGTATGTCAGAGTAGAACTGCACTTCATAGGGTTTTCAATGGATGATTTTTTTTGGAACTAGATTGCCAGGCCTTCCTTCTGAGGCACCTCTGGGCAGACTCGAACCTCCAGCCTTCAGTTAGCAGCCCAGCACGTTAACTGTTTGCACTCCCCAGGGACTCCGTCCTCCAAAACACGCACCCCAATTGCCAGGAAAACAGACCACAGTGTTGAAACTACCCATAACTAGGAACCACCCCCCTTGTTCCAAGAACATCAAGTAAGGGACACAGAATATGCAAAAGGACTTTCTACCCTCTCCCTGCCTTTTAAGAGGTCACTTGTTTGCTTCCTAGCAAAAAAAAAAAAAAATCACTTATTCTCTATCATCTTCCACCTTCTGTCTTTTCCTCCTTTCTTCCCTTTCCCTCCCACATTCAATTCTTTCTTCCTCTTCTCTCTACTTCTCCCCACCTCTCTCCTCGCTCCTTTTTTCCTCTCTAAGGGAGGATACTAGCAAAAAAAAAGTGTGTCTTCACACAGCCTCACCTCCTCGCCGCCTCTCACCAGCCTGACCACAAACTGAGAAACGGGCAAAAGCCCAAAGTCCCCCTAGGCCTGCGCTTCTTCAAAACCCCCCACTTCTCCTGGGGGCAGAGGCTGGTCCCCTCCGGCCCTGGGCCGGCTGCTGGTGCTGCCCAGCTGCAGGGTAGCCTTCCCTGAGCGGTGTAGACACCGCCCCGTAAGGGGCGTGCTCAGCCCCGGCCTCCCCAGGTGGGCACAGGAGGCATTTCAAAGACTCCAGAGCTATGGGCCCGAGAGGGGCTCCTGCTTCCTCCGCTTTTAGTTAAATGAACAGTCGTTCACCCCCGCTACTCTCTCTGTTTCTTTGACTCTCTCCTACTTTGTGTCTTACTCAGAGCCACGCTGTGTCTCTTTTAGTCGGAGCTCTGTCTCGGTCTCTTTCTGTCTTTCACACTCTCTTTACCAAGCTGTTGGGAGAATCAGATACCATCATCATGAATATCAAAGTTGAGAGAGTAGCAGATCTTGACACCAAGGCTTTCGTTCCATCGTGATCAATCCGTCTTTGTTCCTCAAAAAAGGGAGGAAAAGGTGATGAGGACCAGCGTTATAAATTTGAGGGCAGTGAGAAGGACTTGGTTTTTCCAAGTTCCATCAAGCCTTCCACCCTGAAAACCATCTCACTCTGTCCAAGCCCACCATTCTCTGTAAGGCATCAGACAGATAGCAAAACTCTCGCTTGCGCCCATTCCATGTGGTTTAGCCTTCCCTTTCAATGCCGTCCACCCCAGCTCCCTGCATAATTCACTGAGAGACAGTAATTTCTTGCCTTGAATAACCATTTTTCTAAATATCAACGTCTTCCCCTTCCCCAAGGTGGCCAACAACCTCTGGCCACCATCTTCCCTCTTGACCCCTTTCTCTCCCCGTGAGTCCCCCTCTGACCCTCAGTCTCAGCCCACCTCAGTTCCGCGGTTTCCCCCTAAGAGAAAGCATGCTGGCTGTGTCGCCCAAGCCTGACGCGCGGTGTTGGCGCTGGAATGAGCATGCAGCAAGCTCTCAGCGCCCTAGCGGGTAGTGCTCTCCCAATACATGTAACCGCCTCCTGGCCTAGAATACACACACCCTCCGCTGCATGCAGAGCTGGTCACTGCGTTTCTTTGTCATGATGTAGCCACAAATAAAGTAGGAATATCCAGGACAACTGGTGGTCTGGGTTTTTCCTTTCTGGTTTCCAGAAGGTCTTCCTCCCCACCAGGACATATGCCTACTCAGATATTCAGTGTTTAATGAGCATCTGGCCCAAAAGTGCTTAAGCAGTTTATCCGAAACGTTGGTTATTTCCCAGAAGGAATGCAAATTATATCCGACAGAAAGGTGTCTCCAGGTCAAGTTGGAAACAAAGTCCTTTTCTCGTCCCCAAAAGGGTGGTTCTAATGTTGGAAGTGGAAGTCAGCATATTAGAATCACCTGGGTAGATGTTTTTCAAACTACTCAGCTTCAGCTAGGCCCTGGGGACAAGGTGTGCATTTTTAAATGTTTGAAAGTACCTCCTAGTTGACACCTTGTACTCCCCACCCTTCTTCATGACTTTGAAAAACACTGCTCTAAAAGTTGATGTCATATTGATGACTAAGATGTGCCTGACCCATGCCAGGACCTTTTTAATTTTCTCATATGCATGGGAAAGCTGGACAATGAAAAAGGAAGACAGTAGAATAACTGATGCATTCAATTATTGTGTTGGTGAAAAATATTGAATATACCATGGACTGCCAGAAGAACAAACAGGTCAGTCTTAGAAGAAATACAGAGTGCTCCTTAGAAACAAGGCTTTGTGAGACTTTGTCCTGTTTACTTTGGACACATCATCAGGAAAGACCAATCGCTAGAAGAGAACATCATGGTTGATAAAGTAGAAGGTCAGCAGAAACGAGGGAAGCCCTCGATAAGACGGATGGACATAATAGCTGCAACAATGAACTCAAACATGCCAACGATCATGAAGATGGCGCAGGACTGGGCGTTTCGTTCTGTTGTACTCAAGCAGTGGTGTCACTAAGGGGTGCAGGGGGTGCAGATCATACCAGGTGACATTGTCAGAGGGGGTGACACCAAAATAACTGTCTATAAAATTTTTGTGCAGTGTTTCAGCAAAAATGTATTATTTTTTATAAAAATATCCCTATAGTTATAACAACAAAAACATTTTTTTGTGGGCTCAGCTTACGTGTATCAATATGCCTACAAGGCTAAAACGCTATGCTGATTTACTTTTTGAACCTTCTAATGCATTCTAGTCAGAGCTGTCATTATTACCCAATTACAATGACACTTTGAATCACGTGGTTTCATCTGCACACGTGACAAGCACGCACTATTGTTTTTGTTGCTGCTGGTGTTTTTATAGTCACTGATTTTGTCAAAATTTCTGATGTTTTAGCTACAATATTGCGGTAATTAGTATTTGTGAACCTATATCAATAGCTTTTTGAGAATGAAGTAGTAATTAAAGGAAAAGAAGGCATGATATACAGGATTTAATGATTCAAGAGTCACGTTAATACAAAAAACATTACTAAGAATTCTGTATGGTCTAGTATGGGAGGAGGTCCATGGTGGGGATGACCCCATAAGTTACTGCACTGGGTGACACAAACCCTAGTGACACCACCATACTTAAGGTCACTAGGAGTTGGAGCTGACTCGATGGCAAGTAACAACAAAAATTGATCAGTTTTTCATGCAATTCAGCCAGCTACCACCAGGTGGACAAAGGTGCTAGTCAGGGCCATACAGGCCTCATGGGAATGGTAGGAGACAGATGTCGTCGCTCTTTTCTTGTGCTCGTGACAGACATCACTAATCTTCCCTTGTGCTCATGACAGACATCAGTAGTCAATACAGCATCTTCTGACAGAGCCTAGAAGTGGCCTCTGAATTCTCAATGCGATGTTCCAAGCAGCCACCACAAGTCAATCCTGAGTGGCAGTTGAAAAGAAACCTGTTTCCCTCCCTACAATGATTGACTCCCTTCCCCAGGTGTCTTAGTTATCCAGTGCTGCTATAACAAAAATAACCACAAGTGGATGGTTTTAACAGACAGAAGTTTATTCTCTCACAGTCTAGGAGGCTAGAAGTCCGAATTCAGGGTGTCAGCTCCCAGAAAAGGCTCTCTCTCTGTCAGCTCTGGGGGAAGATCCTTGTCATCAATCTTTCCCTGGTCTAGGAGTTCCTCAGCACAGGGACCCCGGGTCCAAAGGATGCACTCTGCTCCCAGCACTTCTTTCTTGGTGGCATGAGGGTCCCCTGTCTCTCTGCTCGAGTCTCTCTCCTTTTATCTCTTGTAAGATAAAAGCTGATGCAGGCCACACCCCAGGGAAACTCACCTTACATTGGATCAGGGCTGTGACCTGAGTACGGGTATTGCATCCCACCCTAATCCTCTTTAACATAACATAACCTTGCCTCATTAACCACAGGCAGAGATTAGGATTTATAACACACAGGAAAATCAGATCAGATCACAAAATGGAGGACAACCACACAATATTGGGCATCATGGCCTAGCCAAGTTGACACATATTTTGGGGGGACACAATTCAATCCATGACACCAGGCATGGGGGACCTGCCTATCAGGGTGATACTCATACGCTTGGGAAAAGTAGAGATAAACATTGGTGCGTCTCAACTGGACTAAACCAAAGCTAAGAAGTTTCCTGAATACAACCAAACATTTCGAGGGACAGAGTAGCAGGGGCGGGGTCTGGGGACCGTGGTTTCAGGGGACATCTAGGTCAATTGACATAACAAAGTTTATTAAGAAAATGTTCTGCATCCCACTTTGGTGAGTGGTGTCTGGGGTCTTAAAATCCAGTGAGTGGCCATCTAAGGTGCATCAATTGGTCCCAACCCACCAGGAGCAAAGGAGAATGAAGAACACCAACGACTCAAAGAAAGTATTAGCCCAAGAGACAGAAATGGCCACATAAACCAGAGACTGCATCAGCTTGAGACCAGAAGAACTAGATGGTGCCCAGCTATCACCAATGACCGCCCTGACAGGGAACACAACAGAGAGTCCCTGACAGAACAGAAGAAAAGTGGGGTGCAGAACTCAAATTCTAGTAAAAAGACCAGACTTAATGGTTTGACTGAGACTGGATGGACCACAGAAGACATGGACCCTGGACTCCCTGTTAGCCCAAAACTAAAACCATACCCGAGGCCAACTCTTCAGACAAAGATTAGACTGGACTACGGACATAAAATGATACTCGTGAAGAGTGTGCTTCTTAGCTCAAGTAGATACACGAGACGAAATGAGCAGCTTCTGTCTGGAGGTGAGATAAGAAGGCAGACTGGGTCAGGAGCTCGTTGAATGGACACGGGAAATCCAGGGTGGAAAGGAGGAGTGTGCTGTCACAGTATGGGGGGAGCAGCTAGGGTCACATAACAATGTATGTATAGATTTTTGTATGAGAGACTAACTTGAATTGTAAACTTTCACTTAAAGCACGATAAAAAATATATATATATTGGTGCATCTGACCTGGCACATTATGCTTTTTTTCCCCGTTGAGATAAAACACTTTGCAAGAGGCAGCATGGTGTGGGAGACAGCAGCTGCGTAGAAGAGCACACCAGCTTTTTCACCAACTCAGCCCAGCATTCAAATCCTCACTGTCCCGTTCTAGCTGCGGTATCTCAGACAAGTCATTTCGCCTCTCTGAGTGTCCGCTTCCTTGTCTAAAAAATGGGACAATAGTAACTGCTTCATAGAGTTACTGAGAGATTTCAGTGAGATAATAAATGGAGAGTCCCTGACAGGAAAAAAAAAAAAAAACAGTCGGCCTTGAATTGATTCCAACTCATGGTGACCCCATGTGTGTCAGAGTAGAACTGTGCTCCACAGAGTTTTCAGTGGCCGATTTTTCAGAAGTAGATCGCCAGGTCTTTCTTCCAAGGGGCATATGGGTGAATTGGAACCACCAATTTTTCAGTTAGTAGCAGTTTGTTCTACCCTGGGACTCCTTTGATGCCTACTAGGGGCTCAGTGAATTCCATCTCTACTTGCTGGCCCCTACGCTTGGACTTCCTCACACGGCCTATGTCAGGGAAAGATCCTCTGAGCTAGTGTTGATGATAAACACAGGGCATCAAAGCTGAAAGCAGGAGAGGCTCAGATGGGGCAGAAAACGGGTCTCCGAGGCCTCTGCACAGCTGCGAGCAGAGTCCCCAGCTGATGCTCACAGAAACTCAACCAACAGCTCGAGATGTTTATTGAGCGGGAGTTAGAGGCGAGACCAGCTTGCAGAGATTTGGTCTTCCAGCAGGACTGACAAAGATGAGGCCAGGGAAAAGGGGAGACTATGGGCCAGTCATTGCTGGATAAAGCAAAACAGGCCCAACTGTGGCTGGGCAGGAGGCCAATGGGATTAAACAGTGCTCTGAAGCCTACCTGGGTCGACCCCTCCTCAGCCCAGTCAAATTTGCCAGGGGTGTGTTATAGAGAAAAACTTGAACACTGTTTCAAGGTAAAATAGAGGTTTATTAAGGGTTTAAAACAATTGCAGTTGGGGAACTACGTAGCCCATTGAAAAGGGAACCAGAAATTGCAGGGCAGTTTTGTCATACAAGGATTCTTATGGGGTAAAAAGAGAATATTGAATACACCATGGACTGCCAGAAGAATGAGCACTTCCGTCTTGGAATAAGTACAGGCAGAATGCTCCTTAGAAGCAAGGATGGCGAGACTTGGTCTCACATAATTTGGACATGTTATCAGGAGGGACCTGTCCCTGGAGAAGGACATCATGCTTGGTAAAGTGGAGGATCATCGAAAAAGATGAAGCATAGCAACAATTGTGAGGATGATGTAAGACCGGGCAGTGTTTCGTTGTTGTACATAGGGTCGCTGTGAGTCAGAACTGACTCAACGGCACCCAACAACAACAGCAACAAAAAGAGGAACCAACCCATAGGCAATTAGGGGAAAATCAGTGAATATTATAGTAATCACACTCTGATTGGTTACTAGTTATTAATAGTTACAGTGATTACAGATAGTTTCCCAGGATGCTTACATTTTGGTCACAGGAGGCTTACATGTATTTTCTTTGTCTTGCAAAAATATCTTGTTGGCAACAGCACCCAGATAGCACTCTTCCTGAGTACGTGTATTTTGAGGGGTGCAGATGGTCACTGGGTTAAGACCCCTCGGGGCATATGGTTCCACATCCTGGTTTTGACCACCGAGGGAAAACATGTTTTTCTCAAAAACATAGCTGTTAGTCTAGAAATCCAGATTAAAATTAGATAGCATGGTCAGCAGAGTATGCCTCTGTCTCACGGACTGCACTGAAAGGTTTCTTTTTCCTGAGACAGGCGTTGGCTTGATAAGATTAACTAATACGTCAGCACACCATGAAAATCACAAAGAACCATCTCCGTGGTGTAAGACACATATTTGGCTTAGCTCTGGCCCAAACTTGCTGTGTAACCTTGCGTAAGTCACTTTCCCTCTCAGGGCCTTAGATTTACCTTTGGTAAAATGGAGGTCTTCCACTAGCACATCAGAATATCATGATTCCTTACCTTGATTGCCAAGAGAAATCTTGGCCTACCACACCGAATGAGTTGCCCTCAAGTCAACTCCAACTCATGGCAACCCCATGTGTGTCAGAGTAGAACTGTGCTCTGTAGGGTTTTCAATGGCTGATTTTTCAAAAGCAGATTGCCAGGCCTTTCTTCCTAGGCACCCCTGAGTGGACTCAAACCTCCAGTCTTTCAGACACCATTTGCACCATCCAGGGACTCCTGGTCCACCCCAGAGGTATGTAAATGTGCCTTCACTTCCCAGTCATTTAGTAAAAACTGAGACCTTTTGGTTGAGGGCTGGCCGCCTGACTGGACGCGCCCTGTATTATCTTTCTTACATGAAACACACAAGAATGCCTCATCTAAAATTTCCTGGTTCTGTTTCTTTCAAGAGAACAAGAACTGAAAGCCACCTACAAAGGCATAAGGTCATAATCCTTGATTTTTACAATTATTTCCTCAATATTTCCCCCTTGTCTCACTCTTATCTAATTCTAAGCATTGTTTCAAGCAGCTTGCCTTTATTGCATCTTTCCAGAGAATTCCATGTCAGTTTTCTAAGCACAGGTCTCTTTTGCACTCATGTTTAATCTGCGTATAAAAATGTAATTAAAAGAATGCATTTCAGTAACAAGCACAATTGTCATAAGATGCTTGGGAACTTGGGTAAACATGCAATCCAGCTGGTGAGAGAAGAAGCAAGTATTGTATAAACAGAGGTTCACCCCCTTCTCAGTTACATCTTGCCTTGGGCATAAGTCGCCATGTTTTAGGGAGGGAGGAGAGAGTGCCAATTAACTGATCAGCTGGTTAGCAGGAAGTTGGTTAAGATAGTTTGCATTTATTTATGTTGATCTATCCCCTCTTCAGGGGAAAAAATGGCTTTGAAACTATATTCATGGAAACATATCTTGATATAAAAAGTATAGTATGATGTCATTTAAAAAAAGAAAAGAGAGAAAACTCACGTGTGTGTGTGTGTGTGTGTGTGCATAGAAAAAAATATGAAAAGATGTATATCAACATGTCTATAGTGGTAGACTATGCGTTTTAGATTATGGATGATCTTTATATGCATGCATTGTGGTAAAAACCATTAAAAACTATGAAGCAATTTTGTCAGCAACAAAAAAAACAAAGAAAGAAAACAAATACCTGTTTTTAAATATGATTTTTCTTAGCTGAGGTACTGTTGTAAGCTGACGGTTAAAGGGAGGAGAGGAAGCTTCAGAGTGTGGAGGAGGAGCGGGGAGGGCGGGTATCTTTCCGGTTAGAGGGCGAAGCAGGAAGCAGGATCGTTTAGAGTGTCTGACTTGCTAAGGGGAGGTGCCAGGACCAGACGTTCCTCTTTTCTCAGGAAACAAAACCAACAAAGTCCAGGCTCAGCCTGCAGAGATAAAGACTAACAGCTCCCAGGAGCCAGCTCCACCATCACTGGCTCTCCTGCCCACACCCAAGTGTCATGGAGGAACTCAGATATATCCAGGCCAGGAATCTGGACAAATTCATTGAAGACTATCTCCTGCCGGACACACCTTTCCGCCTGCAGGTCAAAAAAGCCATCAACACCATCTGCAGTTTCCTGAAGGAGAGGTGCTTCCAATATGCCTCCCACCCTGTGCGCGTGCCCAAGGTTGTGAAGGTAACCTCAGGCCTGCCTGACTGGGGAAGGAGTGGTTGAATGGACAAGAGTTTCCATGGAGAGAGAGAGCAAAAATATAGAACGTAGGGTATGAAGGTTAGAAGAAAGGGCCGAGGTCTTCAGGGCGGGTGGTTTCTGATTTAGCCATACCAAAGTTATCACTGTAGCTGGTTAAAAGAGATTCTAGGGTGAAGTCCTATACCTGTATTTTTAACAAGTGCCCCGGATGAAAGTTAGGCACCACTGTCCTAGGCCACGTCCATTTTAGAGATAGGGAAACTGAGGCCCAGCTCCGATAAACAACTTGCGAATTAGTGGCCATGGAGTCCTTGGGTGGTGCAAACGGTTAAGGGCTAAACTACTAGCCGAGAGGCTGGCAGTTGGAACCTACCCAGAGGCTCCTCAGAAGACAGGCCTGGCTATCTGCTTCCAAAAGGTCAAAGCCTTGAAAACCCTGTGGGGCAGTTCTACTCTGCACACATGGGGTCACCATAAATCAGAATAGACTGGATGGCAGCTAACAACCACAACAGCAATTAGTGGCCAAGCTGGGACTCCCCATTTCCGCAGCGGCATGAGCTGGTTGAGTGTGAGTTTGAAGACAGGCAGCCCCCACTGCCTGGGAGACCTTGGGAAGTCACTTAGCCTCTCTGTATTGCCATTTCCTTCTCCATAAAGTGGCGATAATAATCCCTGATACCTCATAGGGCTATATGAATTAAGTAAGATAAGGTGCGTAAACACTCGGCCTGGGCCAGTCTGGGGTATATGTTATAAGGTAGTAAAGATCAGGGAAGAAGAACATGGACTCTAGAACAAGGAAGCCAAGTCAGTCCCACCTCTGGCACCAACTAGCTATATGATTGGACTACTTACATAATCTCCCTGAGCATCTGTTTCCCCATCTGCAAAATGGCAATGAATTATAATACCTAAATCATAGAGTCATATAAGGTTTACAGGGGTTAAGACTTGCAATGCCCTCAAAACCTTAAAGCAGTCAGCAATGTTAGCGATTGTTCTCATCATTTTACTTAGGGAGGCTCTTCTCAATAAGTGTTAGTCGTTATTCTCGCTGTCTTATTTAGGGCGGCTCCTCCGGAAAAGGCACAGCCCTTAAAGGCCGATCTGACGCCGACCTCGTCGTCTTCCTCAGCAATCTCACAAGTTTTCAGGACCAGTTAGAACATCGGAAAGTATTCATTGAGGAAATCAGAAAACAGTTGGAAGCCTGTAAAAGAGAGGAAAAGTTTGACGTGAAATTTGAAGTCCGGAGTCCATTGGAAAACCCCCGCGTGCTCAGCTTCACGCTGATTGCCCCGGACTTGGACGAGCAAGTGGATTTTGACATCCTGCCTGCATTTGACGCCCTGGGTGAGAGCTCCCAGCCACAAGGGGTCTCAGCCCCTGACCTCTGACAAGGCCTCTTTTTCTTTCTCTGTTCACTTCTGAGTGATATCTCGTACAACATGAAAGCTTTATCAAACCAGGGCATCCCTTCAAATTGAAGGGCAATATTACAATCTTTTCTGGGGCAAGAATGAAAAAGGTCATAATCAGCCACGGAGACACATTAAACAGCAAATTAACAAAATTTGGTTAAGTGCTCAGCTGCTAAGCGAAAGGTTGGCAGTTCGGATCCACCCAGAGGACCCTTGGAAGAAAGGCCTGGTGATCTACTTCCAGAAGATCATAGCCATTGAAAACCCTATGGAGCACAGCTGTACTCTGCACGCATGGGGTCAACAGGAGTCGCAATTGACTCAAAGGCAACTAGTTTGGGTTTTTGTTGTTGTTTGTTTGGGGACAAAGACATTTCTTATAGGATATCTGCAAGGCTTACCAGTTCTCCGTACAGCAGGGTACATGAATTTTATCTTTGTAAAAATGGGGGCAGCATAGAACTGGCTTAAAGTCTGTAGCAGGGGCCAGATCACACCGGCTGTTGTAGGTCACCGTGGTGACTTAGGATTTTATTCTAGCTGTGATGGGAAGCAAAAAGTGGAGTCATCAGATTTTAAAAGACCCCTGGGTGCTAGGTGGAGCGTGGGCTGTGGGAACCAATGAGGAGGCAGTGGTGGCTTGGGCAGGGCAGTGGCATTGGAAATGTGTGAAGGCGGGGTTGGGGATTGGACCTCAGATGTTTCGGCTCTAGTCCTGCTGCCCCTCTCACTGCACCCCATAGCCAGTGAGTTTGTCTCCCCAGAGGGACGGAAGGAACCTCAGAGCAAAGCTGACGTCCTAAAGTGATAGATTCGTCCCTAACAGGTCAGGTGACTAAAGGCTACAGACCTCACCCCCAAATCTACGTCCAGCTCATCTCCGAGTGCTCCCAGGGGGGCGAGTTCTCCACCTGCTTCACGGAGTTGCAGCGAGCCTTCCTAAAGCAGCGCCCCGCCAAGCTGAAGAGCCTCATCCGCCTGGTCAAGCACTGGTACCAAGAGGTATGGCCCTCCCGCCAGGCCCCTGTGGGCCCTACGCAGGCAGGGAGCGAGGGAGGAATGAAGGGAGGGAGACAAGAGGAGAGGGGAAGGAAGGAGGGAAAGAGAAGGAGAGAGTTGAGGGGAGGAATAAGGAGGGGGGTGAAGGGAGCAGGAAAAAGAGAGAGAGGAAGCAGGAAAAAGAAGGAGTGGGAGAAGGGGGGAGAACAAGGAAGAAGAGGGAAAGGGGAGGAGGAAGAGGAAGGGAGGAAGGGTAGGGTCTGGGGTGGGTCTCAGGGGACCTCATTCTTTTCAGGAGTCTTCCTTATCTCTGAAAATGGCAACCCAACCATTCTAGACTCCTGCCAAAGTCCTTGGACCTTTCTTGAGTCCCCTCTTTTTCATACCTCACCCCCATCTAGCGCATTATTTCAGTCTTGTATTCAAAATATATCTATAGTTCCTCAATTGTCGTCACCACTCACACTCATCCTGGTCCAAGTCATTACGTGAGGCTTGCGGGTCTGCCCTCTCCCTGAGTCCCCCACCCCTCTCCCCTTCCTCCCTCCACACCAGGACAGATCTGCTCTAGCCTCAGGGCCTTTGCATTTGCCATCCCCCCTCCCTGGAAAGCTCTCCCCCCACTTGGCCACCTGGCTCCTCTCTCTCATTTCTTTTAAACCTCAGCTCAGATGTCACCACCTCTGAGAAGTCTTCCCTGACTCCCGTTGCCATCGAGTCTATTACGACTTATAGCAACCCTGTAGGACAGAGTAGAACTGCCCCACAGGGTTTCCAGGGCCGCATTCTTTACAGAAGCAGACTGCCCCATCTTTCTCCCGCATAGCAGCTGGGGGGTTCGAACTGCCGACCTTTCAGTTAGCAGCCGAGTGCATAACCACTGCCCCACCAGGGCTAAAATAGCCCACCCACCCATCACTCTCTACCCACTTTATGCAACTTTATTTTTCCTTACAGCATTTATCAAAACTGAGCTAGTTTATGTTTGATTATTTTTTGTCCGTCTCCCCGACAAAAAAAAGGTACATGAAGGAAGAGAGTTTTGTTTTGTCGGCTGCTGTATCTCAAGAACCCTGAACAGTGCACGGCACTTAATAGGTGCTCAAAAAATAATTGTTGAATGAATGAATGAATGTTACAACTACACACACACACTCATAGAGTCCACCACACTCTTCAGAAGGTTAATCAGGCAGAGCAAAGACTTCAAACATGCATGCGTTCAGCTTCCCCTTCCACCTGCTTCTAGACTGTCTGACCTTGAACAAGCAACTTAACCTCTCTGTGGTTTCTTTTGTCTTGTTTGTGAAAGGAGTAGCCTGATCGTTGTATTTCAAAAACAGTTATGAAATAATCTGAGGTTTTGGATGACGTATCTTCCACCAGAGAGGATTTTCTTTGCTTCCTTGAGTCTCTTAGGGCTACCAGTCCTTCATCTCAGTCTATTTTCATCTTTGCCTCCGGAGGTGGCTACTATTATTAGCACTCACTCGGAAGATGAGAAGACCATGCATCCAAGACTATACGTTGCCCTGCCCAGAATCAGTGGCAGGACCAGGACGCCAGCCCACATAGGTCAGAATCCAGAGCTCAAGCTCTTAACCAGGGGTTGGCAAAATTTTTCTGTAAAGGGCTCCGGTTGAGTTGATTCCAAATCATGGTGACCCTATAGGACAGAGTAGAATTGCTCCATAGGGCTTCCAAGGAGCGGCTGATGGGTTGAAATTGCAGACCTTTTGGTTAGTAGCTGTAGCTCTTAACCACTGCATCACCAGGGCTCCTGTAAAGGGCTAGCTAATAGATATTTTAGGTTTCGTGACTCACATGATCTCTGTCACAGCTAGACTCTGTAGTACGAAAGTAGCCATAGGCTGTACATAGATGAATGGGTATGGCTTTGTTTCAGTAAAACTTTCTTTTCAGAAACATGTGGTGGGCTTTGACAGGGATCACAATAGAAGGTCCCAGACAGAGCTGGAGAAAAATGTAGAACAAAATTCTAACTCACAAAAAAAGACCAGACTAACTGGCCTAACAGAGACTGGAGAAACCCTGAGAGTATGGCCCCCAGACACCCTGTTTGCTCAGTAATGAAGTCACTCCTGAGGTTCACCCTTCAGCCAAAGATTAGACAGCCCCATAAAACAAAACGAGACTAAAGGGGCACCCCAGCCCAGGGGCAAGGACTAGAAGGCAGGAAAGGACAGGAAAGCTGGTAATGGGGAACCCAAGGTCGAGAAGGGAGAGTGTTGACATGTCATGGGGTTGGTAACCAATGTCATAAAACAATATGTGTACTAACTGTTTAATGAGAAGCTAGTTTGTTCTGCAAACCTTCATCTAAAGTACAATTAAAAAAAAAAAAGACCAGAATTATTGGTCTGACAGAGACTGGAGAAACCCTGAGAGTATGGCCCCGGATGCCCTTTTAACTCAGTAATGAAGTCACTCCTGAGGTTCACCCTTCAGCCAAAGATTAAACAGGCCTATAAAACAAACAATAACATGCATAGCTCAACCATGTATACGAGACTAAATGGGCACACCCACCTGGGCACAAGGACAAGAAGGCAGGAGGGGACAGGAAAGCTGGACTAAAGGAAACGGGGAATCTAAGGCCACGAAGGGGAGAGTCTTGACATGCCGTGGGGTTGGCAACCAACGTCACAAAACACTATGTGTATTAATTGTTTAATGAGAAACTAATTTGCTCTGTAAACCTTCATCTGAAGCACAATTTTTAAAAATGCGTGGGCTGGATTTGCTGATCCCCACTCTTCACCATGGCACCCTACCATGTATCATGCCCCGTGCTTTACACGAATGTGGGACAAACACATTTTCCTGATTGTTTTCCTTCTTGTCAGTGTAAGAAGCAGCTGAATAAGTCACTGCCACCACAGTACGCCCTTGAGCTCCTGACTGTCTATGCTTGGGAGCGTGGGAGCAACAAACCAGACTTCAACACAGCACAGGGGTTCCGGACCGTCTTGGAATTAGTCCTGGACTACAAACAGCTTTGCATCTACTGGACAAAGTATTACGACTTTGAAAACCCCATTATTGGAGAGTATCTGAACCGTCAGCTCCAGAAACGCAGGTACCCTATCCCCCATGTGGCTTGCTGTTGTTGTTGGGTGCCGTAGAGTCAACTCAGCAATTGCATGTGACAGAGTAGAACTACACCATGGGGTTTCCTAGGCTGTAATCTTTACAGAGCCACTGGGTGGGTTCGAACTGCCAACCTTCCGTTTAGCAGCTGAACGTTTAACCATTGTGCCACCAGGGCTCCTTTCCCGCATGGCTCAGCTGCCCACATAAATAAACCCTTGCATACAGCTACGGTGTCTTGGAAATGGAGGAGGTGAGAGGGCCGCACCTTTACTGAGCATCTTCTCTTGCTAAGTACAGTGCTGGGCACTTCACTACTGCCATCTAATTTCCTCCACACAACAACCTCCAACCCTATGAGGCAGGCCATATGCTACCATTTTACAGATGAGGAACGTGAGGTTTCAGAGAGGTAAGGTGCTTGCCCAAACCTGAACGGAAAATAAGTGAGATAGCTGGAATGTGAACTGACGTAACAACAGCGGTAATAGTAATTTCTCCCAGATATTGCAAGCTTACTTGTAAGTTAACACATTCTAATATCATAGTAAAAATTATAACTCACAGTGATTGACCACTTACTATGTTTCAATTACTGTGCTGAACACTTCACATGCTTGTCTCTCTCTATCCTCACACCACACCTTCTGAGGTAGGCATGTTCATCTCTCCCCATTTCACAAATGAGGAAAGTGAGATTTGTTGTTGTTAGGTGCCATCGAGTCACTTCCGACTCATAGCGACCCTGTGTAGAACAGAACGAAACACTGCCCAGTCCTGCGCCAGCCTCACAATCCTTGCTATGCTTGAGCCCACTGTGGCAGCCACTGTGTCAATCCATCTCATTGAGGGTCTTCCTCTTTTTTGCTGACCCTCTACTTTACCAGCATGATGTCCTTCTCCAGGGAGTGGTCCCTCCTGATAACATATCCAAAGTACAGGAGACGAAGTCTGAGCAGCCTTGCTTCTAAGGGGTACACTGGCTGTACTTCTTCTAAGACAGATTTGTTCGTTCTTCTGGCAATCGATGGTATATTCAGTATTCTCTGCCAACACCATAATTCAGAGGCATCAGTTCTTCTTCAGTCTTCCTTATTCATTGTCCAGCTTTCACATGCATATGAGGTGATTGAAAATACCATGGCTTGGGTCAGGCATGCCTTAGTCCTCAAAGTGACTACTTTGCTTTTGAATACTTTAAGGAGGTCTTTTGCAGCAGATTTGCCCAACGCAACGCATCGTTTGATTTCTTGACTGCTGCTTAGAGAGGCCAAATGACATGCCCAAGGGCACACCACTAATAAAGGGTGGTGATGCAAGTCAAACGCAGGCTTGTCAGCTCCCAAATTCCAGCCGTCTCTTCTCGTGCTCACTGCCCATCGTCAGGCGGGCCACTCGGGACGCGCCCCAAAGAGCAGTGCCCTACAGGGCCTCTTCTTGTGCCCCAAGTTCCAGCCTGTCCCAGTCTGGTGCTTTGCTCTTCCAGGGCCATCTAGGTAGGCTCTCTGGATCCAGCCCCTGCTCCTCACCTGTCCCTCTCTGACCCTTGCTCTCCAGGCCTGTGATTCTGGACCCAGCTGACCCTACAGGAAATTTGGGTGAACACCCAGAGAGATGGCAGCGGCTGGCAGAGGAGGCTTTAGTCTGGCTGAGCTACCCGTGTTTTAAGAATTGGGATGGGTCTCCCGTGGGCTCCTGGAATGTGCCGGTAAGACCTTCTGCCTCTTCCTGGCCATCCATTCCCCCCAGCTCCCGGCACACAGCTTGGGGCCTGGAGCTGGAGACCATTCTTCCCGAAGAAATTGTCTCCTATTCCTATAGTCGCAGGCTCTGCTCCCTATTTTACAGTCATTTGGGCCCCAGTCACAGGGTTCCTGGAATTCTCACGTTCCTTGTCCAGAGTGCATTCCTTAATTAATGCCACCTTGGCCTGAGGTAACTTTTCTGACAGCTTCGGTCGGCTCATCCCACTGAGAATAATAATAAATCATGACAATCACCACGTAGTGAGTATCGCTTTGGGCTCAGGTTCTGTCCGAAGCCTTCTAATATACATCAGCTCATTATATCTTCACAGCGACCCTAGGAGGTATGTTTTCTATCATCCCCATCTTACAGATGAGGAAACTGAGGCCCAGAGAGGGGGGAATCACTTGCTCAAGGACACTCAGCTAGGGAGTAGTGGCCTGCTGGGATTTCCACTAAGTGGACTCCAAGGCCAGTCCTTACTGCACTGTGCTAAGCCGTCTGCCTTACATCATCGCCACCTATATTCTAACAAACAGGAAACTCAGAGCATCTGAGTGACTCGGGCCATGTCACACAGCTAGGTAGGAGCAGAAGGACCCGATCTTAGGTCTTCCCACTCCCAGAGGAGGGGTCTTTCTGTGGGACCACTCTGAGGTTGGAGGTTAATGATGTTGCAGGTGGGTTCCCCCAGAAGCAGCCTCTGGGATGGAGTATAACATGCAGAATGTTTATGGGGTAGTGAACTTGGAACAACGCCTTTGGGAAGGGAAGCAGGATGGGGCAGAGGGAAAAGTGGCACCATGACGCAGGCTCAGTGACAGGCTGATCCCACAGAGAGCCCTGGAGCTCAAATGGCCCTTCAGAGTGGCCCCACAGTAGACTCAGATGGTCGGGCCTTTACCGTCAACATGGATCCCGTGAGCAGCTCAGGAAGAGGCATGGCCTCAAGCAGCATTTGTCAAAACTGAGCTAGTTTATGTTTGATTATTTATTGTCTGTCTCCCTCACAAAAAAAAAAAAAAAAAAAAAAAAATGGCACGTGAAGGGAGTTTTGTTTTGTTCACTGCTATATCCCAAGAACCACTCTCTGCAGCTGACCAGTCTCTAGTTCTGACTCATGGTGACCCCATGTGTGTCAGAGTAGAACTGTGCTCCATTTTCAATGGCTGAGTTTTTAGAAGCAGATCGCCAGGACTTTCTTCCAAGGCACCTCTGGGTGGACTCAAACCTCCAACCTTTCAGTTACCGTGAACCCTATGCACCACCCAAGGACTCCCTCTCTGCAGGTGAGGCACCCCTGAAAGGGGCTGACAGCTGAAGGCTGTCTGCCAGCTGCTTTCCCAGCAGCTGGGAACAAGTCCTTCTTTAAAAGGGGATCCAGGTGGCACATCACAGTGTCCACCAAAAATGGCCACTGAGACCCAGTGCCATGGTGGGCAGCCCACCCTCTGATGCGATCATGTGTTTTACCCTTTCAGCCTGAAAGAAACAGCTTGATTTGGACCTTCCAGGATCATGCGCATAGCAGTAGACACATCACACTGGACACAGAAGCCACTGCGCAGGCAGAAGAGGGCTGGACGTGCACCATCCTCTGAACGCAGTGCAGCCTCAGGAAACTGGGCTCCAGAGTCATCCCCCTTGCAGGGCCAGCCTCTCATTCCCAGGCGGGCCCTCGGTCCACAGTGAATTGGTGTCAGATCCAGAACCAGAATCCAGGTCCCCAACCCTTACCCTTTCCATTCTTCTGTGATCTCTCTCCCATCATATATCGCACTTCCAGCCTCTTTCTGACAATCTAAATCTCTCAGAAGAGATTTAGACGAGAGAGCAGGGTCCCAGCCTCCTTGACTTTCTTCTGTGTTCCTGGCGGGAAGGCTATGGTCCAGTTTATTATCATAATAATAAAAATAATAGCAAATACCATTTATTGGGTGTTTATCAATTGCAAGTCACCAAGCCAAGAAGTGTGTGGGTGCGCATGTCTGTGTGTTCATTGATTCAACTAGGAATATTTATTGAACACCTAGTATGTAGTCAGTAAATATTTCTATTGTTCTACGCACTGTGGATACAGTGATGAACAATGCAGACAAAAATCCCTGCCTTCCATTACTGGCACGAATCAAAAAAACAGAAAATAACAAATACTGGAGAGGCTTCAGGGAGACTGGAACTCTTATGTACGCTGGTGGGAATGCAAAGTGGTAAAACCATTTTGGAAAACGATATGGCACTTCCTTAAAAAGCTAGAAATAGAAATACCATATGATCCAGCAACCCCACTCCTAGGAATATATCGTAGAGAAATAAGAGCCGTCACACGAATACGTATATGCACACCCATGTTCATTGCAGCATTGTTCACAACAGCAAAAAGATGGAAACAACCTAAGTGCCCATCAACAGATGAATGGATAAACAAACTATGGTACATACACACAATGGAGTACTACGCAACCATAAAGAACAATGATGAATCTGCGAAGCATCTCCCAACATGGATGAATCTGGAGGGCATTATGCTGAGTGAAATAAGTCAATCACAAAAGGACAAATATTGTATGAGACCACTAGTATAAAAACTCATGAAAAGGTTTACACACAAAAAGAAACAATCTTTGATGGTTACGAGGAAGGGGAGGGGTGGGGGTGGAAAAACACTAAATAGACAATAGATAAGTGGTACGTTTGGTGAAGGGTGAGACAGTACACAATACTGGGGAAGCTGGCACAGCTTGTACAAGGCAAGGTCATGGAAGCTCCATAGGCACATCCAAACTCCCTGAGGGACTGAATTGCTGGGCTGAGGGCTGTAGGGACCATGGTCTCGGGGAACATCTAGCTCAACTGGCATAACAAAGTTTATAAAGAAAATGTTCTACATTCTACTTTGGTATGTAGAGTCTGGGGTCTTAAAAGCCTATGAATGGCCATCTAAGATACTCCACTGGTCTCACCCTTTCGGGAGCAAGGGAGAATGACAAAAACCAAAGACCCAAGGGAAAGATCAGTCCCAAGGACTAGTGGACCACAACTACCACAGCCTCCACCAGACTGAGTCCAGTACAACTAGATGGTGTCCAGCTACCACCACTGACTGCTCTGACAGGGATCACAACAGAGGGTCCCAGACAGAGCTGGAGAAAAATGTAGAACGAAATTCTAATTCACAAAAAAAGACGGGACTTACTGGCCTAACAGAGACTGGAGAAACCCTGAGAGTATGGCCCCCGGACACCCTTTTAGCTCAGGAAAGAAATCACTCCTGAGGTTCACCCTTCATCCAAAGATTAGACAGCCCCATAAAACAAAACGAGACTAAAGGGGCACACCGGCCCAGGGGCAAGGACTAGACGGCAGAAGGGGACACGAAAGCTGGTGATAGGGAACCCAAGGTGGAGAAGGGAGAGTGTTGACATGTCATGGAGTTGTTAAGCAATGTCATAAAACAATATGTGTACTAACTTTTGAATGAGAAACTATTCTGCAAACCTTCATCCAACGTACAATCAAAAAAAAAAAAATATGTGCCTTCAAGGAGCTGGCATTTTTAAGCGGAACATTTTAATGTCGGAAGTCTAGGATCCTTCCAATTTTTCTATCGCAAATAAGCCTAAGACGAATGTCTTTGGTTCATAAATCACTGTCCACAACACTGGTTATTCTCTAGGGAAAAATCTAGACCAGACCTGCCCTGGCTAATACAATAGCCACTAGCCACATGTGGCTATTGAGCACTTGAAATGTGAATAGTCCACATTGAGATATGCTGTAAGCGTAAAATACATGCTGGGGTTCAAAGATCCGGTACAAAAAACAGAACGTCCAATTCTTGATAACTGTTGAAATGACAATTTTTGGGGATTCTATTGCGATAAATCAAAATTAATTTCACCCGTTTCTTTGTACTTTTTTAATGTGGCTACACAAAAATGTTAAATTACATAGGTAGCTTGCGTTATATCTCTGTTGGACAGCTCTGCTGTATCACTGGATTAAAGGGTACCCATCACCCACTGCCGTTAAGTAGATTCCGACTCATAGCGACCCTATAGAACAGAGTAGAGCTGCCCCCATAGGGTTTCCAAGGCTGTGATTTTTATGGAAGCTGACTGCCACATCTTTCTCCCTCGGAGCAGCTCATGGGTTCAAACCGCCAACCTTTCAGTTAGCAGCCGAGCACTTTAACCACTTCACCACCAGGGCTCTACCGGTTTACAAGGTCCCTAACCAAAACCAAACCCATTGCCATCAAGTCAATTCCAACTCATAGCGACCCCATAGGGCAGAGTAGAACTGCCCCGTACGGTTTCCAAAGTTATCATCTTCACGGAAGCAGACTGCCACATCTTTTTCCTGCAGAGCAGCTGGTGGGTTCAAAGCGCAGAACTTTTGGTTAACAGCCGAGCATTTAACCACTGCACCACCAAGGCTCCTTACAAGGTCCCTAAGTGGCACAAATCTTTGGCACTTGGCTACTAATTTAAAGGTTGGTGGTTCGAACCCACCTAGCAGCACTGTGGAAGAAAGGCCTGTGCATAGGATTACAGCCAAGAAAACCTTACAGAACAGTTTTACTCTGTAACACATGGGGTCACCGTGAGTTGGAACTGACTCCATGGCAACAGGTTTGGTGTTTTGGTATATACCAATTTACATTGCCACATTGTCTTCAGTTTCAAGAGAGAGCATTTCATAAGACTCCAAAATATACAAACTTCCATACATAGGTACTCACAAAAGAACCACCCATGTTCCTGAGTGGCTATGTAATCCTCTCTTTAACCATCCAGCATCCCCAGGAGGTGGGTTTGATCATTATTCTCATAAAAATAAACTGAGAAACTTGAAGTTTTGAGAGGTTTGGGCACTTGCTCAGGCTCACCAAGGGCAGAGTCTGGACTTGGATCCTAATCCTTCCTGTTCTAAAGATCTTGCTCTTAACCACTACCAAAACCAAAACCAAACCAGTTGGGGTAGAGTGGGCTCTGACACGTGGCGACCCCCATATGTGTCAGAGTAGAACTGTGCTCCGTAGGGTTTTCGGTGGTTGATTTTTTTGAAAGTAGATCTCCAGGCCTTTCTTCTGAGGCGCCTCTGGGTGGACTAGAACCACCAACCTTTCAGTCAGCAGCAGAGCTCGTTAACCATTTGCACCAGCCAGACTAGGTGCTAATCTCGTATTCTGGGGACGTGCTGCCCTAGAGGCGTTTTGCTTGGTCTTGTTTTGTTCTTTGGAGCTAGGCGCGGGAGGTCAAGGAGTTGTTGAGGTCTGGGGAGGGACCGGGAAGTGGAAGCCAGCCGCCTACAGCCGCTGGAAAGAAACGAAACTGAAACCGGGAAAGAAGGCCCGCGGGTACTCCGGCAGGAAAACGAAACCCGAGACACGCAAGCCAATGGGAGCCTCGCACTCCGGGCCCGGGGAGCGAGGGTGGGGAGCCGCCTCTGCTCACACCGCGGGAGACCATGGACGTGTATAGCACCCCTGCTGCCGCGCTGGATAAATTGGTGGCTCGCAGCCTACAGCTGCCGCCGGAGTTCGTGGGGGCGGCGCGGCGCGCCCTGGGTACCTTGGCCGCCACCCTGAGAGAGCGCGGGGGGCGCTCCGGAGCCGCCGGCCCGGAGCCACGGGTGCTGAAAATTGTCAAGGTGAGGCGCCCGGGCAGGTGGGGTCACGGTGGGGTGGGAGCGACCTCAGAGTGTTCTTTTGTAAGTGGGTGCGATCGTCGGACGACACGGCGAGACTGAAGATTGGACGGGCGGCAGGGTTGGCCTTATCAGCTTTATCCTCGTTTCTTTCATTCATTTCCTTAGCGAACATTTATATAACCCACTATGTGTTAGTGTTCTAAATGCCGTGAAAATATACTGCTCACATTTAATCATTTAATGCTCACAACAGCCCTGCGAAGTAACCCCCACTTGACAGACGGGGAAACTGAGGCACAGAATAGAAGTGAGTTGTCCAAGCTGGTAAGAAAGTAGTTGAGCCAGGGATTTATTATGGAGCAAATGTGGCAAAGGGCTGCTGCAAAATACTCTTCGTTTGTGTACGTTTGAGAACTTTCATAATAAAAACCACCTTTAAGTAAATTAACTTAGAGAGCCTGACTCCCTGGGTTCAAATCCTGGCCCTGCCTCTGCTGGCTGAGGGGTCTTAAGCAAGTGACAACCTCCCTGTTCTTTTGTTTCTGCTTTTTGTAAAGTGAGTGCAGTAATAGTACCTTCCTCCTAGTGTTGTTTGGAAGGTTAAATGAGATGATTGTGTGTAAAATGCCTGTTGTTGTCGGGTGCCGTAGAGCCCACTCCGACTCAGCAGTGACCCTACAGGACAGACTAGAACTTCCTCATAGGGTTTTCTAGGCTGTCATCTTTATGGGAGCAAATTGCCCGGTCTTTCTCCCATGAAGCCACCGCGTGGGTTCAAACCACCAACCTTTTAGTTAGCAGCCGAGCACTTAACCGGTGCACCACCAGGGTTCCTTGTAAAATGCGTAACTCATAAGAGATGCTCAAACCCTTTAGAAAACAAACCCATTGCCGTCGAGTCAATTCGGACTCATAGCGACCTTGTAGGACAGACTAGAACTGCCCCATAAGGTTTCCAGGGAGCGACTGGTGGGTTCGAACTGCCAGCCTTTTGGTTAGCAGCCAAATGCTTACCCACTGTGCCACCGGGCCTCAAGAGGTGCTCAGCCAATAATATTTCTCTGTGTCCTGCCCTGTACCCCCTTTTTCAGTGAGTCCCCTGGTGGCAAAGTGATTAAGCGTTCAGCTGCTAGCCAAAAAGTCAGCAGTTTGAATCCACCAGCCGCTCCTCAGAAACCCTATGGGGCAGTTCTGTTCTGTCCTATAGGGTCACGATGAGTCGGAATTGACTCGTCAGCGATGGGTTTGTTTGTTTGTTTGTTGAATGTAAACCCCTAGAGGTAAAGGGACTAGCACAGCCACTGGGGTAATTAGGAGTCCCAGTTTGAGGGGAGTGTTTTCCTGAAGGGCTCGATCCTGGCTCTTGCTGTTTACTGGCTGTGTGACTCACTTCACCGCTCTGAGCCTCGCTGCCCGTATGTGGAACCATATGTAACCACGTCAGGGTTGTTGTGTGTTTGGAAGTGAGATTTCACATGTCAGACATGTGTAAAGTGAGTCTCCAACAATATGAGTCTCCTTCCCAAATCTTCAGGCTGGAAGCTTTGCAGCAAGATACTCTACTCAGAAAGGCCTCAGAAATCCAGCGAATCATACATTGTTTTATACTGATTCCAGGCAAAGGTCACAAACGTGTTCTGCAAACCAGAATTTGTTTCACCTACAGTTTTAATTTTGTTAGTTAGTTGCCAACATATAAAAATCATGGATTTACACATAGACATTGCTTCTTTTAAAAACTCAGATGCGGCCAGCATTCTCGCATAGTTTCAATTGTCTGCAGCTGTGTTGCCACAGTCCCCACCCAGCCAACTTGCCTCACCCAAGTTGCCTGCCAGCCTACACAGGCCCCAGAACTGGAGAGTGCAGAATTCTGAGTGATTTTTCTCTTCACAGGGAGGCTCCTTTGGCCGGGGCACGGCTCTGAGGGGCGGCTGTGATTCTGAACTTGTTGTCTTCCTGAACTGCTTCAAGAGCTATGAGGACCAAGGGCCCCGCCGTGCAGAGATCCTCAATGAGATGAGGGCACAGCTGGAATCCTGGTGGATGGACCCCATCCCTGGCCTGAACCTTGAATTTCCTGAGCGGGACACATCTAGCGTGCTGCAGTTCCGACTTGTGTCTGAGGACCTTGAAAACCGGATGGATGTTAGTCTGGTGCCCGCCTTTGATGCCCTGGGTGAGAGGTGCTGCGCCCATGTTGGGGTGAGGGAGGGGGCAGTATCACCCTGGGATTCCTGGGAGTGAAACAGGGCTTCCATTTTTGACCCTGCCGTGGACTTGCTGTGTGACTTGGGCAAGCCTCTACCCCTCTCTGGGCCTTTAAACATATTGGGTGTGGACCAGACAGAGGCCTGAAAGACCTAGTTCCTCCTGGATCTGTGGTACTGTTGTCTGGACACTTGGCCCTCTCCCAAGCATCTTGGGAGAATGTCCTTCAGCCACTGCCTGGAGCAGTCCGCCCAAGCCTTCCACAAACATCCCAAAGGCAGACGCAAAGGGGTATGTGCCCAGCAGCAGGGGCCTGGGGACAAAGCCAAAGTTCTGCAGAATCTTGTGTTTCATTTTGAAAATGTTAATGTGATTTTTGCATTCTCCATGATAAACCCATGCTTGATTTAAAATTAAAAGGTACCTCAGTGCTCCCATCTGTAAAATGGGGATAATAATAGTCTGCCTTATAGAGTGGTTGGGAGAATTAAATGTGTTACTGTATGGAATGAACTTAGAACAGGGCTTAGCACGTAATAAATATTTGCTATTATTATTCCTATTATTATTACTAATGTCTCTGTTATAATTTACCCTGGTATTCCAGGGAATAGCTATCTTGATTTTATCCTGGGTTGTGATGTCCTGGCACACAGCCCACACTCCACCACGCCTAGTATACCAGCTGTCTGCATGCACAATATTAGCCATAAAAAACCAGTAGCCGTGGAGTCGACTCTGACTCCTAGCGACCCCCTGTATGTCAGAGTAGAACTGTGCTCCATAGACTTTTCAATGGCTGAGTTTTCAAAAGTAGATCGCCAGGACTTTCTTCAAAGCACCTCTGGGTAGACTCGAACCACCAATCTTAAGGTTAGCAGCTGAGCATGTCAACCATTTACACCACCCAGGGACTCCATTAATAACTACGACTTACTAAATGCTTGACTATTTCAAGCACTTGATGTGGATCATCTCATTACTCCTCACAATAAGCCTATGAGGTCTGTACTGTTTTATCTTCCATTTTACCAATGAATGGGGAAACTGAGGCACAGGGATGTACAGTTAGTCACCAGAGGCACACCGTAAGTGGGACAGCGACTAGCAAATTACAGAGAGTGTTTGCTTTCCCCAAGCCGTGCCCTTGGGAAGTGGAAGAAAGGGCACACATACTGTAAAGTCAGATGGCTCTGAGTTTGAATCCTGCCTCTGTTGCTTGCCAGCTGTGTAATCTTGGGCAAAGCACTGAATTTCTCTGTGCCTCAGTTTCCTGAGCTATAAAATGGGGTGAAGAATTTTACTTTCCTTATATGGTGGTGATAGGGATGCGGTGCGGGGGAGTCATGTAAAGCTTTCAGCACAATGCCAGCGTGCAGTAAACGCTCAAGAAATCTTAGCGATCACTGCTAAGGAATCAGGACCCCTTGCGTCATGTTTCTGTTTCACCATTTTCCCGGGTTTCCACTCCCCATGGCACCAGGGAGTATGGCTAATTAATTAAAAGAGTGCACAGTGGTGTTTAGGAGCCCTAGTGGTACAGTGGTTAAAGCAATCTGCTGCTAATCAAAAGGTCAGCGGTTCGAACCCACCAGCCACTCGAGGCAGAAATATGTGACAGTCTGCTTCCATAAAGATTTACAGCCTTGGAAACCCTATGGGACAGTTCTACTCTGTTCTGTATGGTCGCTTTAAGTTGGAACTGACTCCACGGCAGTGGGTTTGGTTTAGTCTGACAGTGGTGTTTCAGTATTGCCTGAGGGAGTAACCGAAAGGTGGGAAGTTTGAGTCGTCCACCCAGAGGCACCTCGGAAGAAAGGCCTGGTGATCTGCTTCCAAAGAATCAGCCACTGAAAACCCTGTGGAACACAGTTCTCCTCTGACGCATATGGGGTCACCAGGAGTCAGAGTCGACTTGATGGCAGCTGGTTACTGGAGGGAGGAACGAATTGCCAGGTATAGGTATTTCTGACTTAGCTGGAAGCGTCCTCCCTGTTTAAACATGTGACTGCTCTTCCTCAGGCCCCACCCACTGGAGGCTGCTTAGCTATTTGGGAGGAGACTCCCTTCTAGTCTGGAGCACAACCCTTCCTCCTTGTCCCCTCCTGAGACGCTCAGGGGAAACTGAGGCACAGTCCTCCAAGCCCCAGCTCCACCACTTTGTTGGATTCTCCCCTCCAAATTCCTCCCACTCTCTCCCAGTGCCACAAGCTGGGCTCAGTGCCAACACTGCCCTCTACACCCACAGGACAGCTCAGCTCTGGTGTGAAACCCAAGCCCCAGGTCTATTCCACCCTCGTCAACAGTGGCTGCCAGGGGGGCGAGCATGCTGCCTGCTTTGCACAGCTGCAGAGGGACTTCGTGAACACTCGCCCAGCCAAAGTGAAGAACCTGATCCTGCTGGTGAAGCACTGGTACCACCAGGTGAGGACATTTGTGAGGGTCCTTGCTCCAGGCATATGACTGAATCTGTGCTTTCAAGATAGTGAGAATCTTTTCATATGTTTAGTGGCTATTCATGTTTCTTTTTCTAGGAATCGTCTGTTATATCCTTTGTCCATTATTTTCTGTTGGGCTGGCTGTCTTCTTGTTGTTGATTTCTTGGGGCTCTTTATATATTCTGGGCACTAATTCTTAGTCAATATAATGCAAATGTGTTCTCCCAGTCTGTAGCTTGTACTTTCACTTTGTTTATGGGTCTTTTGTCATAGTAAATATTTGAATTTTAATGTAATCAGATGTATTAATCTTTTTCTTGAATGATTTGTGCTTTGTGTGTCTTGTTTAAGAAATCTTTCCCTATCCCATCTTTCTAAAATTATTGTCCTAAATGTTTTTCTCCAAAAAGCTTTAAGTTTTGCTTTGTATGTTTAGGGTTTTGGCGTAACTGGAATATTCTGTACGTGGTCTGAGTTGATCTGAAGTTTGCATGCCCCTGCCCCAGCATGCTTCCATGCTTGTTGACAGACTCTTGTGTACTGGGAGAGGGGTACCCAGCCAGTGCCTAGGGTTGGAGAAGGAAGCCCCCTAAAATCTTGGGGCACATGGCCTGGTCTTTCTTTTGGACTCATTCATCATAAAGCAGGTCTGAGTATGAAGAAATCCTGGATTCCAATTCTGATTCAGCCATGACGTGCTGTGTGACCCCAAGCAAGTTCCTACCCTTCTCTGGGCCTCTGTTTCCTCCACTGTGTATAAGGTTGTATACAGATCTCTAAGTCTTTCCCAGCTAAATAGGGCTCTCCAGGGACAAGAAATGCTAATAGCCTGGTACTTATTAAAAGGTCAGACTCTGGATCCAGCCTGCCTGGGGACAAATTCCGGCTCTACCACTTACGTGCTGTGTGACCTTGAGCAAGTTAACATCACCCCTGTACCTCAGTTTCCTCATCTGTAAAGGAGTGGTTTGCTGGCTGGAGGTATATATTTAAGTGCCAGCTTTTTTTTTTTTAAATAATACCTCTGAGGTCAGGTATTGTGCTAGGCATTGGGGGTGTGGCAAAGAGGCCCCCCAAAATAAGACGGCTGAGTTATCTAGTGCTGCTATAACAGAAATACCACAAGCGGATGGCTTCAGCAAAGAGAAATTTATTCTCTCATCGTCTAGGAAGCTAGAAGTCCGAATTCAGGGTGCCAGCTTCAGGGGAAGTCTTTCTTTCTCTGTTGGCTCTGGGGAAAGGTCCTTGTCATCAGTCTTCCCCGGTCGAGGAACTTCTCAGTGCAAGGACCCCCAGTCCAAAGGATGCGCTGTTCTCCTGGCTCTTGTTTTCTTGGTGGTATGAGGTCCCCATGTCTCTCTGCTCACTTCTCTCTTTTATATCTCAAAAGAGATTGATTTAAGACACAGCCTAATGTTGTAGATTGAGTTCTGCCTCATTAACATAACTGCCTCTAATCCTGCCTCAACATCATAGAGATAGGATTTACAACACACAGGAAAATCACATCAGATGGCAGAACGGTAGATAGTCACACAATACTGGGAATCATGGCCTAGCCAAGTTGACACAGATTTTTAGGCGACACAATTCAGTCCATGACAGCTGACAAAGGTGACAGAAATGACCTTAGGAGAAAGTACCCTGAAATCTGATATCTGGGGTGGGTGGGGGGTCATGTCAGAGTCAAGCTGGGCCATGAGCGATCAGGAGGGGTTGGCCAAGTTAAGGGGAGATGAAAGGTGTTCTAGGCGGAGGGAACAGCACATGAGAAGACCTGGAGGTGGGAGAGAACTTGGGGACCGGTGAGCAGTATGATAGGAACGGACGTGACTTGGAGTGTGGGCTGGCGAGGTGGGCAGAGGTCAGGCGGCGCAGCACTTTGCAGGTTAGTTGAGAAATCACTCCGAGGGCAATGGGGAGCCATGGATGGTGCTTTATACGCAGGGGAAGGCGAAGTGATGTGGTCCTATGTGTGTCTGCTTTGGCGGACAGTGGATGGGAGGGACCCAGACTGAGGACCACGAGGAGGCCAGGGCAGTTGTCCAGATGAGAGGCTGACGGCTAGACTGAGATAGATCAGAGGGTGGGAAGACATGGACAGATGGGGCACTCGTGAGCCAGCCATTTGGGTGAAGCCCCAGCAGGGAGGACAAGAGAGAGGGGCCAGGCTGCTCCAGGAACAGGCTCGGAGCGTAGCTGCTTGTCCCAGGCTGGGACTGTGGGTCCCCACCCGGAGACTGCCATACCCAGGGAAGTTCCGCAGAGAGCTTGCTCTGGTCCTTCCCCTTCGTCCTCTGAGCCCCTCCGCTCGCCCATTTACAGGTGTGCCTGCAGGAGGCAGGGAGGGGGGCGCTGCCCCCAGTCTACGCCCTGGAGCTGCTGTGCATCTTCGCCTGGGAGCAGGGCTGCCAGAAGGATGCCTTCAGCCTGGCCCAAGGCCTCCAGACCGTCCTGGGCCTGATCCGCCAGTACCAGCACCTGTGTATTTTCTGGACCATCAACTATGGCTTCGAGGACCCTGCAGTCGGGTGGTTCTTACGGGGCCAGCTCAAGAGACCCAGGTATGTCCTCACCCTCCCCATCATCCGCTCCCCTGCAGCTGAGCCATGGGGAGATAATTAACCACCGTGAAATAGGTCATATTGACTCAGGGCTCGGTTGGGGTCAACTCGAAACACTACACTTGCATTTTCTAAATCAGTGGTTCCAGGCTCAGATGCACGTTTGAACCACCCAGGGAGTTCTGAGTCCCTGTGTGGTGCAGAGAGTTCACGCCAACTGAAAAGTTCACCCAGAGGCACCTCGGAAGAAAGGCCTGGCAATCTAGTTCGGAAAGATCAACCTGTGGAGCACAGTGCTACTCGGACACACACAGGGTCATCATGAGACGGAATCAACTTGACAGTAGCTGGTACTAGAGGGAGTTTTCAAAAATTATACCAATACTCCATGACTACAGTATAACATTAAGAAAGAAAGCACCAAACCCGTTGCTGTCAATTCCGACTCATAGCCACCCTACAGGACAGAGTAGAACTGCCCCATAGGGTTTCCAAGGCGCGGCTGGCAGATTAGAACTGCTGACCTTTTGGTTAGCAGCCGAGCTCTTCACCACTGCGCCACCAGGGCTCTACAGTATAATATACACATCTTAAATGCACATTTTGATGATTTTCTCTGAAGTCAAACACACCTATGAAACCACCACCCAGATCAAGGTAGAGTATTTCCAGCCCCTCAGAAGCGTCCCTTGTGCCCCTCCCAGGACCCCCCAAAATTAACCCTGACTTCTGCCATTATAGTTTTGCCTGTTTTAAAACTTCACTTAAATGGAATCATACAGCACTTACTCTTCCGTGTGTGGCTTTGCTATCTCAACGCGAAGTCTTTATATGATTCATCCATATTGCTGTGTGCAGCTGTGGTTCTTTTTTGCTGCTGTATAGCTTTCCATTGTGCGTGTTAATTATAATATAGTTTCCATTCTATTGATGATGAACATTTGGGTTGTTTCCAGTTTGGGGCTTGTCAAAGAGAAAAATGAATAACAGACACCTTACTTTTTAAGGTTCTTCTTACCCACAAAACCAAATGTTAACCATAAAACAATTCCTGACCCAAAATTAATCTGGCCGGTGGTTTTGGTTTTTTTTTGTTGTTGCTGTTTTTTAACCCAAAATTGTGAATCTTTTCTTTCCTCAAGGAAGCCAGGCGTACTTAATTTAAATTTCAAGAGGTATCAGGGCTGTAGGTGGGTGGAGGGCCAGAGACTACCTTGTGACCTGATGTCAGTGGATCTCAGTAAAAGTGGGAGGGCAGGGTTCAGTCGTGTTAAGATTAGCCGTTGGTTGAATCTTCTATTGTTCTCCCTCCTCTTGTCTTTATAAGCGTCATTGTAACTAGCCTACTTTGAGCCATTTGCTTTTTTCCCTTGGAATCAGAATGGTTTCTCTATATGCGTATAGAATAACTGCTCAGAATAAGCCCTACGTTTCAGTATCTTTGAGTTTTGATTTCTTTCTAACAGGCTAGGTGGCACAGTGGTTAAGAGCTATGGCAGGCTATGGCTGCCAACCAAAAGGTCGGCGGTTCGAATCCGCCAGGCGCTCCTTGGAAACCCTATGGGGCAGTTCTACTCTGTCCTGTAGGGTCACTATGAGTCGGAATCGACTCAACGGCAATGGGTTTGGTTTGACTTTTTTGCAAATAAGGCTGTTAGAAACGGTCTTGAGCATGTTTTTAGTGCATATGCTTATCTGTGGGATGTGTATCTGGGATTGAAATTGCTGGCTCATAGGATGTAAATCAGAATCCCCAGGGCGACCCTGGTTTCTTGTGACTTTAATGTGCAACCAGAGTTGAGGGATAGTGCTCCAATTTCGTCTCTGCAACACCCCATCCAAGCAAGCACTGTTGTTACCCCATTTTGCAGATGAGGAAACTGAGGCTCAGAGAGACTGAGTCATCTGCTCCAGGTCACACAGCTGGAAAGTAGCAGAGTTGGGGTTGGAACCAGGTCCGCTTGACTCCAGAGCCCCTGTTCTCGACCATCTTGCTAACCAGAACTTTCTTATCGCAGGCCTGTGATCCTAGATCCAGCAGACCCAACGTGGGACGTAGGGAATGGGAAAGCCTGGCGGTGGGACGTGCTGGCCCGAGAGGCAGGGTCCCACTCTGACCACCGGTGTTTCCTGCAGGCGCCTGGGAGCCCTGTGCAGCCCTGGGAGGGGCCGGTGAGTGAGGGGTCCCCAGGACTCTTGGATGTTACGCCTAATTTTGTAACCAGTGTTTCCGAAGCATCTGCTGTGTGCCACAGGCCATGTGGGTGAAGAGTACAGAGTTGAAAAAGTGGAGGTAGCGGCATGTAAAACAATCTAACTGACAGTCAGCTTGGATGAAGGAAGGCGTTTTTTCTGCATAGTTATTGTCTGCTGACCAAGCTGTGTCCACCCATAGGGGGCGCCGTTTGTAACTTATTCCCCAAGAAAGGCAACTGTTTCCTATGCACAAAGGTGCCATGAGGGCTAGCAGTGGCCCTACCACTTCCTTTCTCTGGGTCTCAGTCGCTCTGGCTGTACGATGGGCTGGTGAGAGGAAGCGTTGGTCAGAAGTAGAAACCTCTGCCACTGGGTAAAGCAGCTCCTTCCACAACTTCCAGGGCCTTCCACGTGCCGGGTGCTCGGATTTGGGCCACCCCATCCAGCAAGACCCTGACCAGAGGACCCCCGCAGACAGCGGGAGCCTCAGTGCCGTGCGCCCCAGAGCAGGGTGTGAGCAGCCGTCGTACCCAGCTCCCAGCCCCTCGGAGACAACCAGCAACGCCCTCTCTATGCCAGGGACGGTCTCGAATCTGTCTCAGATCCCCCCCAAGGAGCTGGACCGCTTCATCCACGACCAACTGAAGCCGAGCCCCCAGTTCCAGGAGCAGGTAAACAGGGCGATTGAAAGCATCTTGCGCTGCCTCCGTGAGAACTGTGTCCACAAGGCCTCGAGAGTCAGCAAGGTGAGTGGGGCAGGTGAGGACACTGGGAAACCACAGTGGGGAGCAGAGGGTGTCCCAGCAACAGAGCTGAGGGTGGGCAGGGGGCCAGATTGCCAGGGAGGGGTGGTTTGCTGGATGGAGGTCTGTATGTTAGTGCCAGCTTTTTAAAACAAAAAAGGTACAGTTTTTGATTGTTTTTTATTTGTGGTAAAAGTATATATAACAAAACATTTGCCAATTCTTGGAATCCAGAATCTCTGGAACCGTCGAGGCTGGATGAACCCCCGAAATGATTGCCCTGAGATAGTCTCCAAACCTTAAACCAGAGATAGCCCCGGTAACCTTCTTTAAACCAAACAATAGATTAGCTTAATTAGTAAAGAAATGTTTCCCTTGAGCACAGTGCTCTTCTAAAGAACTATGTTATTGTTGTTAGGTGACATTGAGTCAGTTCCGAGTCATAGAGACCCCACGCACAACAGAACGAAACACTGCCCCATCCTGCGCCATCCTCACAATCCTTGCTATGTTTGAGCCCATCGTTGCAGCCACTGTGTCAGTCCATCTCATTGAGGGTCTTCCTCTTTTTCGCTGACCCTCTACTTTACCAAGCATGATGTCCTTCTCCAGGGACTGGCCCCTCCTAATAACATGTCCAAAATACGTGAGGCAAAGTCTTGTCATCCTTGCTTCTAAGGAGCATTCTGGCTGTACTTCTCCCAAGACAGAGTTGTTTGTTCTTCTGGCCATCCGTGGTATATTCAGTCTTCTTCCCCAACAACATAATTCAAATACATCAATTCTTCAAAGAACTATCTGTGTGGGATCAGATTGTCAACAGCAACTCGAACTGTTAGATAGGAAGCTTGGGGGGCAGTGAGTTTATGTTAATGAGAGAGGAACAGTTTGGAAAAAGAAGGTGGGAAGGGTTGCACAACTTGAATCTGATCAGTCACTGAATTGCACATGTGGAAATTGTTGAAGCAGCGTATGCTTTGCTGCCTGTGTTCTCAACAGCAATTTAAAACACACGCACACGTTTGTCAGTTCCACAGTTTTTACATGTATCATTCAGTGCCATTGATTACATTCTTCATGGTGTACAACCATCCTCACCATGCTTTTCCCAATTTTTCCATCACCGTTAACAGAAACTCAGTGCCCCTTAAGCAATGCCTCCTCCTTTTCTCTCCGTCTCACCCCTGGGAACCACTAATAGGCTTTAGTCTCTATACGTTTGCCTGTTCTAGGTATTTTACGAGAAGGAAATCATGCAATGTTTGTCCTTTTGTGACTGACTCATTTCACTCAGCATAATGTTTTCAACGTTCTTTATGGCGTAGCGTACATCAGGACGTCATTTCTCTTTATGGCTGATATTCCACTGTGTGCAGGTAGCACATTTTGTTTATTAAATGATTCCTTTTTTTTTTTTTTTTCCAAACCACTATTGCAATAATCAGAGCTCTGGTGGCACAGTGGTTAGGAGTTCGGCTGCTAACCAAAATGTCGGCAGTTCGAATCTACCGGCCACTCCTTGGAAACCCTACGGGGCAGTTAGTTGTACTGTGTCCTGTAGGGTTGCTGTGAGTCGGAACCCGCTCAACAGCAGCAGGTTTGGCTTGGTGGTTTTTACTGCAATAATCAGATCACTTCCCTTCTCAGCTCAAAATGGTTTCACAGAGCACCATAGCCTCAGGCCTATAGGATCTGGCCTGCTATCTCCAACGTTCACTTAGTCTGCTTGCGCCACACTGGCCTCCTGGCTGTTCTTTGAACTCACAGGCACTCCCCCGTCAAGGCCTTTGCACTGGCTGTTTTCTCCTTCTGGAATGCTCTGGCCCCCATCCACTTGGCTCCCCCTCACCTCCTTCAAGTCTTTGATCCAATGTCCCCTTCTCGCAGAGGCCCACCCTCTCAACTTAAAGTCGCTGCCTCCGCTCCCACGCCGAGCCCTTACTCTCTGTTCACCTCCTCACTTAGCACTTAGCACTTTCTCAGGAACTGTTACTCTTGGGGAGCCCTGCTGATGCAGTGGTTAAAGTGTTTGGTTGCTAACCAAAAGGTCAGTGGTTCGAACCCACCAGCTGCTCCATGGGAGAAAGATGTGGCAGTCTGCTTCCATAAAGATTACAGCCTTGGAAACTCCATGGGGCAATTCTACTCTGTCCTATTGAGTAGGTATGAGTCCGAATCAACTGGATGGCAGTGGGTTTGGTGTTTTGGTTTTTTTATTGTTGGCTGACTGTCTCCCTCTGCTGGAATATAGGTTCCATGAGAACAGGTATCTGTGTCTGTTTTACCACTGCCGTTGAGTCAATTCCGACTCCTAGCAACACTGTAGGACAGAGTAGAACTGCCCCATAGGGCTTCCAAGGCTGTAATCTTTATGGAAGCAGACTGCCACATCTTTCCCCCACTGAGCAGCTGGTAGGTTTGAACCGCCAGCCTTTTGGTTAGCAACCGAGCACTCAACCACTGCACCACGAGGGCTCCCACTCACATATCCTGGTACATGTATGTGCTCCATGAATATTTGTTGAATGGATGAATGAATCAATCAAAAAAGCCAATAGAGCACATCTGCAGGCCCCATTTGGACCAGACGTCTCCATTTGCAGCCTGTGGTCCAGATGTGCAGTTAGTAAGTGCCAGAGATATTGGGCTACGATGTTTGGTCATTGCCCCCACTCCACCCGCTCCAGTTACCTGTTGCTGCGAGTTGGTGTGATGTTACCCAGGCTTCATGGGTCAGAAGGCAGGCACAGGCAGACGTCATCTGGCTCCCTGCTAGGCTTCTAAAGGTCGGAGGTCAGAGGGCTCCTGCAGTCTGCCTCTGTCCTGGTGCTCCCAGACCCAGTGGCAGGCAGAGAGCAGTTTCAGGGGTGCAGATGGGGTAGAGCTGGTGGGGTCGTAGTCTGACTCTTGGGGTCGGAGAGGGTCACCTGTCTGCGCTGTGCTTCCCTCTGCAGGGGGGCTCTTTTGGCCGGGGCACAGCCCTAAGGGGTGGCTGTGATGTCCAACTCGTCATCTTCCTCAACGGCTTCAAGGACTACCAGGACCAGGGGGCCCGCCGTGCAGAGATCCTTGATGACATGCGGGCCCTGCTGGAATTGTGGTGCCAGGACCCAGTCCCCAGCTTGAGCCTCAAGTTTCCTCAACAGAGCGAGCCTGGGACCCTACAGTTCCGGCTGATGTCCACGGCCCTGGAAAGCTGGGTGGACGTTAGCCTGCTGCCTGTCTTCGATGCCGTAGGTGAGAGCCTAGCCTGTGCTTTGGAGACTGAGGGGGACCAGGGCGCCAGGGAACATCCAACAGAGGGGCCTGCCATCCTCCCTATGATTCTAATTTCCCCCGCATCACCAAGCATTGCAAACTACTTTGAGATACTCAGTCATGATCATTACATATTATAATTGTTTAGTGCTTTTATTTTTACAAAGCTTTTAATCATGAAATGTTTCTAGTATACAGAAAACTACAGACATCCGTGTGTGCCAATTAAAATTTAAAACAAATTTTAACAAAAATCTACTTGGGCTTTTTAAAAAAAAAAAAACATATTAGAATTTCCTTCCTTATTTGTGGGGGCTTACTTTGTAGTTCCTTTTGGAGTGAATCTTAGCTTAGTTATTGTCAATCTTAATAAATGCAATTAAGGCTATAAATTTCCCTCAAGGTACTACTTTAGCGTCATGGCACAGGTTTTGTTATGTTTAATTTTTATTATCTCTCAGGTCTAACTATTTTGTACTTTTAGTTGGACATTATGATTTATTCTTTGACCCATGAGTATTTGGAAGTGAGTTTCCAAATGAACGTGCTGAGTTTTTGTTCCTCCGTTTGCTTTAGGCATTTGGTATCTTTTCAAAATGTAGTCAGAGAATGTAGCTTATGTGGAATTTGTTGAGACTTCCTAGGTTGCCTGTGACTGAAAAAAATGCATTGTTAAATGCAGGTGTTTATATAGTAGGTCCTTCAGATCTAACTTACTGTTTATTTTGCTCAGGCCTATATTTCTTGCAAATTTTTTGCTTGTTTAATCTATTAATTTCTGAGTGGGATATCTTAAAATCTGCTGCTCTGAATGTAGATTTGTCAATCTTGCCTTATAATTTTGGCAAGTTTGCTTTTAATATTTTTAAGCTGTGTTATTAGGAACATATAAGTACATAACATATATCTGTTGGGTTGTTCCTTTTATAATTATGTAATAATCCTCTTTATTCCTGAAAATTCTATTTGTCTTAAAGCCTTTTGTCTGGTGTTAATAGGACTGCAGTACTCTTCAAGTAGAGTTGTACACTCACAGTGTTTCAAACTTCCACAGGGAAGCTCAGCTCCGGCATCAAACCAAAGCCCCAGGTCTACTCCACTCTCCTCAACAGCAGCTGCCAGGGAGGCGAGCATGCGGCCTGTTTCACAGAGCTGCGCAGGAGCTTTGTGAACACTCGCCCAGCCAAGCTGAAAAACCTGATCCTGCTGGTGAAGCACTGGTACCACCGGGTGAGTCCTCAGGTACACTGTAGCCCCCCACCAGGAAGCAGCTACTGTTATGGCAGCTGCCTCAGCCAATCAGCTCTTCCCTTACGCAGATACCTCTCCTCCTTCACTTCTTATTGGCCATCCCAAGTGGAAGGACCACCTGCTCCATCCTCCATTTCCTGCCCAGACCAGGGAGCCACTGACTGAGAGAAAGTGTTCTCTCCATCAAGTCCAAAGTTCACATTTCTTGTGGCTGGGGTTCACCGTCCCTCTCTAGCCCATGTTTCCCCTCTCTCCTCACACTACCAAGGTGCTTTCCCTGTTCTTTCCTACCTCCAAGCCTTCGCTTATGCTGTTCCCCCAGTCACCATCTTCTTTGCAAGTTATGCTAAATCTTTCAGAGCTCCTTTCCTAAGCACGTCTCTGGATGCCCATTCACATCCATGAACTCATTTGTTCAGTGCACATCTCTTGAGCACCCTCTATTGCTACCGCTTGTGAGGGATGCTGGGATACCAAGATTAATGTATCACAGCCCCACTCAAGTCTGTACAACCACCTCAGACACTCCTTCAGGGGAGACTCCAGGCAAGTCCCAAGTTCTGGTCTGAGCTGTTTAGTCTCACTGTGTGACCTTGGACAAGTCACACTTCTCTTTGGACCTTGACTTACCCACCTGTGAAATGAGAGGGGTGAGCCCGGTTGTCTTAGTCATCTAGTGCTGCTGTAACAGAAATACCACAAGTGGATGGCTTTAACAAAGAGAAATTTATTCTCTCATGGTCTAAGAGGCTAGAAGTCTGAATTCAGGGCGTCAGCTCCAGGGGAAGGCTTTCTTTATCGGCTCTGGATGAAGGTCTGTGTCGTAAATCTTCCTTCGTCTAGGAGCTTCTTTGCACAGGAACCTCAGGTCCAAAGGACATGCTCTACTCCTGGCCCTGCTTTCTTGACGGTGTGAGGTTCCCGTGTCTCTCAGCTCGCTTCTCTCTTTTATATCTCAAAAGAGATTGGCTTAAGACACTATGTAATCTTGTAGCTCTCATTAGTAAAACTGCCACTAATCCATCTCATTACCTCATAGTGATAGAATTTACGACACATGGGGAAATTACGTCAGATGACAAAATGGTAGACAATCATGTAATACTGGGAATCATGACCTCAACAAGTTGATAGAAATTTGGGGGGGCCACAATTCAATCCATGACACCAGCCATCCCCAAGGTTCTATTCTTTCTGTGGGTCTACCTTTAATATCCCCCCTCCCTTCCTGAAGTGTTTAGGGCCATAGTCAGCACACAGTAGGTGCTCATACCCAGTATTCTTTGGTTGACCTTGGGTGACATAGGTTGCAGCTCAGAACAGAGGCGGACGGCCAGCCTCTGCTTCTCTGCCCCCAGCCTATGCACTGGAGCTCCTGACCATCTTCGCCTGGGAGCAGGGCTGCGGGTACGAGGGTTTCAGCATGGCCCAAGGCCTCCGGACTGTCCTGGGGCTTGTCCAGCAGCACCGGCAGCTCTGTGTCTACTGGACAGTCAACTACGGCCTGGAGGACCCAGCTCTCAGAAAGTACCTACTTGGCCAGCTCCAGAAACCCAGGTGCTGACCCACTGCCCATCCTGCGTCCTTCTCATACCCAACCCTCACCCTGAAAGTCGTTGTATCTGGGAGGGGTCTCCTTCTATACTCCTTGCTGAGCCCCAAAGGAAACTAGGGCCAGTTTTGTTAGTACAATAAAAGAGCATTTCTGAAATTTTGGGGGGGGGTGGGCATTGATGTCCCCCAAAGCAGAGCATCTCTGAAAACCTGGGGCATGAGGTTTAGGCCTGGAAGCCTAAGTGGGAATTCCTATCCTCTTGACCCTGGAATGGCTGGGACTGTGGAACAGATTCCAAGCCCACCTACCCAATCAGCCTGCCTGACCAAACAGAAACAGGCCAGAATGATGCTGGGTCTTACCTTCTAGGACCAGGCCCTCTCCAGGGCAAAAATAGTAAGAGAGCCCTCTCTAGACAGCTGCTGAATGTGCCTCTAAGGCCCGCTGGTAACAAAGCCCATTGAATGTCCCGGCCTCTGGCATCTTTGATGTGGTGAAACCCATGTAAAATTGTGCGCTACGGATAAATAAGTAAACACAATTAAGCCCTTGCGTACCGTGCTGACTAGTAAATCCACCCGTTTCCCACGAACCCCCTCTTGAGCCCTCCTCATTATAAGATCATCCCTGAGCGTAAGAAGCCCCAATGCAGAGCGTCTGTTGCAGATAGCAGCAAACCAGCCACTGAGAGTCATTCCCCACCAACACACCCATATGTGTGACTTTATCCATCACTTTTCAAATCGAGCACTCAAAACACAAAAGGCAATCTGTTTATCAGTTGAAATGGACAAAGAACACTGCCCAAACCCGTCCTAATTTCTTCCCGCAGGGGGGTGTGGCTGGCAGCGATTCAGCGTGAGGAGTCCTCCAGGTCATGAACTGGTTGTGTGGGGCGCCTCCCCTACTCTCAGTAACGGGAACAGTGTAGTTAACCCATGTTGAGTATTGCCCTGTGTCAGATATTGTCCTAAGTTGTTTGTATGTATTAACTTAATCTTCATTTAAAAAAAAAAATCCCATTGCCACTGAGTGGATTCTGACTCCTAGCGACCCTGTCAGACAGAGTAAAACTGCCCCGTAGGGTTTCCAGGGCAGAAGCATATTGCCAGCGGTCTTTCAGTTAACAGCTAAGTGCTTAACCACCACGCCACCAGGGCTCCTTACCTAATCGTCATAAAACCCATTGCCGTTGAGTGGATTCCAACTCACAGTGACCCTACAGGACAGAGTAGAACTGCCCCATAGGGTTTCCAAGGAGCAGCTGGTGGATTTGAACTGCCAACCTTTTGGTTAGCAGCTGAGCTCTTAACCACTGTGCCTCCAGGGCTCCTTACCTAATCTTCATAATGACTCAAATTTATTATTATGCCCATTTTACACATGAGGAGAGTGAGGCACTGTGGCTCTGTAACTTGCCCAGGGGCATAGCTAAGATTTCCGGAGGCAGTTAGCCCCAGAGCCCATGCTCCAACCCAATACGATATATGGCTCTTTTGGGGGGATGATCGTCCATCCCCACCCTTACCCCCACTATCATTCAAAACAGAGCTTGGCCCACCTTCCCAGAGCAGGGGACTCACTTCTCTCTGGTGGAGGCCCACTCAGAGGTGAGACATTTTTATGGAAGAAATTAAAAAATCCTATATAGGCCTCCATAGGAGTCCACACACTTGCCTTGTTGGGGTAGAATGTAAGGGCTGAGAGCCCAGACTCTGGAGCCCGACAGCCTGAGTTCAAATCCCAGCTCTGCTACTTTCTTGCTGTGTGACCTCAAGCAGGTGACTTTCCCTCTCTGAGCCTGTAGAACTGGAATAGTTATAATTGTCCTGACCTCAGAGGGCTGATGAAAGGATTAGGTGATTTGACACTCAAAAGAACTTAAAGAACAGGCCTGGTTTAGTAAAAGCTCTAGAAGCCGTGGCTATTACTCTGTGCACAAGCCTCGGGGCCATATTTTAGTCTGATTGGATAAGCCATCTCCTCCTCACCTTCCAGCAGGTTCTGCAGTCAGCAAGCCCCCCGCCCCCCACACACACACACGCACACACGCACACACGCACACACCTACATGCACAAACCGATAGCTTCCTGACTAAGGGCCCTGCTTGCTGAAGATGGGCTGACCCTGAGGTCCTGACACTCTTCTTCCCCCTCATCCCAACCTCCACACCCATTCCCAGACCCTCTCACCCACCTGCTCCTTCAGTGATTCACACCTTTCCCACCCGCCTGCCCACCCATTCTGCCCCCAGACCCCTAATCCTGGACCCTACAGACCCCACCTGGAACGTGGGCCAGGGCGATTGGGAGCTATTGGCCCAGGAAGCGGCAGCTCTGGAAAAGCAGGCCTGTTTTGTGAATGGAGACGGGACGTCTGTGCTGCCCTGGGACGTGATGGTAAGAGGCGGAGTTCTGGGGCGGTAGACGCTGTTGGTGCCCTGTCCCCTTTACCTGCCCATGCACCCATCCCCAGCTGCTGTGAGCGGTGGCTGCTCACAGCTCACAGCTGCCCCTTCCCTGAAGATGCCCTCCACAGGTTGTTACACCCCAGTTGGTGCCCGAGTGACCAGACCCTTTGCCGTCAAGTCAATTCTGACTCATAGCGACCCTACAGGACAGACTAGAACTGCCCCATAGGGTTTCCTAGGCTGTATCTTTACAGGAGCAGATCACTAGGTCTTTTCTCCCGTGGAACCCCTGATGGATTTGAACTGCCCACCTTTTGGTTAGCAGCTGAGTGCTTAACCGCTGCGCCATCCGGGCTCCTTGCCTGAATGACATGGAAACACGAAAGGCCCACCCTTGACTCACTTTGTCCTACCGACTCTGGGATGCAATTCACCCTCCAGAGCTCCCCATGGGATCAGGCCAAAGCCCGTCTCCAGCTGAGACCCATCTGCTTAGCTCCTCTCCCTGCCTTCTCCTGCTCTCCACGCTCCCCTGCTCTCAACAGCACACCCCCAGTTAATCACGTGCCCAGGAGTCCTTGTCTCAGGCCCTGCTTCTAAGGAACCTGACCAAAGACCTGAGCCATTTGCAGCTCCAGAAGGGATCGGTCTTCACCACACCCGCTGCTTTGCAGAGGGATCTCACTACTCACACCAATCCATTGAGACCTGGGCCTCATTACTGCCCCCATTTAGAGATAGGAAAACTGAGGCTATGTGTTGGTGGTGGAACCAGAACTTGAACTCAGGTCCCTCTGATGCTGCTTCAAGGACCTGCCAACCTGCTGAGAAGGAAGAGAGGAGGCGGGAGGCAGCAGAGCCTTGTCCCCGTAGGACATCCGGGGTCAGGCCTGGGGTGATCCCGGGGAGTCCTGTCTCGAGCCCCGGGATTCTCTCTGCAGCCCGCCCTGCTTTACCAGACCCCAGCTGGGGACCTAGACAAGTTCATCAGTGAGTTTCTCCAGCCCACTCGCGAGTTCCTGGACCAGGTGAGCAAGGCCGTCGATACCATCTGCTCGTTCCTGAGGGAGAACTGCTTCCGGAACTCTCCCATCAAAGTGCTCAAGGTGGTCAAGGTGGGTGTTATGGATTGGATTGTGTCCCCTCAAAATATGTGTTGTAAATCCTAACCTCTGTAGTGGTTAGGAGCCCTGGTGGCACAGTGGTTAAAGCCATCCACTGCTAACCAAAAGGTCAGCCATTGGAAGCCATCAGCGGCTCCGTGGGAGAAAGATGAGGCAGTCTGCTTCCACAGAGATTTACAGCCTTGGAAACTCTATGGGGTCACTATGAGTCGGAATCGATTCGATGGCAGTGGGTTTGGAGCCCGGTGGCACAGGGGTTAAGGGCTCAGCTGCTATCCAAAAGTCGGCAGTTCGAATCTACCAGCCGCTTTTTGGAAACTCTTATGGGGCAGTTCTGCTGTGTCCTGTAGGATTGCTGTGAGTCAGAATCAATTCAGTGGCAACGCGTTTGGTTTTGGTATAGTGGTTATAGTCCTATTTGGGAGTGGGTTTTCTTTGTTACGTCAGTGAGACAGTATTAGTGTAGGGTATGTCTTAAGTCAATCTCTTTTGAGATATAAAAGAGTTAATTGAGCAAGCAACCAGGCCAGCAAGCAGAGATGGGGAAGATAAATGCCAGGCCACATGAAGATCACCAAAGAGCCAAAGAACAGACACTGAAACGAGACAAGGACTTCCCTCAAAGCTAACAGATAAGAGAAAGCCTTTCCCTAGAGCCTGTGCCCTGAATTTGGACTTCCAGCCTCCTAAACTGTGAGAAAATAAATTTCTGTTTATTAAAGCCACCTGCTCGTGGTATATCTGTTATAGCAGCACTAGATAACTATGACGGGGTCTGCAGAGAACTGTGGGCAAGGAGGGTCCTGCAGGCTGGTGGTCTCTCCAGGGCCGGGGCCAAGCAGGTGATATTACCCCCATATTAAAAGATATAAGGCAGAGAGTTTGGGTGATTTGCCCAAGGTCACACAGCAGGCCCATAATCCAGAGTGCAAAGCCCACAGGCTCTGGCAGGAGGACGTCAAAGGTTAAGCCACCCGCCATGTCTCCCCAGGGCGGCTCTTCAGCCAAAGGCACGGGTCTGCGAGGCCGCTCGGACGCCGACCTGGTGGTCTTTCTCAGCTGCTTCACACAGTTCACTGAGCAGGGGAACAAGCGGGCTGAGATCATCTCAGAGATCCGAACCCAGCTGGAGGCGTGCCAGCGGGAACTGCAGTTTAAGGTGAAGTTCGAGGTCTCCAAGTGGGAGAACCCCCGTGTGCTGAGCTTCTCGCTGACGTCCCTGACGACACCGGACCAGAGCATGGACTTTGACGTGCTGCCAGCCTTCGACGCCCTAGGTGAGAGGCCCAGGCACCAGGAAGGGAAAGAGCAGAGACAGGGCGGCCCCATCTGTTCACATAGGCAGTATAGATGTGTACGTTTATCACAACTTTCCTGCAGATGGCACCGAAGCGTCTCGAGAAAAGAGCACTTTTTTCTAATTCACACAGAGGTATTATATAGGTGACTGCTGGCCTTGAGCTGAGTTCCAGTCCCAGCAATTCCATTAGCATGCTGGGTGACTTTGAACTGGCTTCCCTCACTCTGAGCCCCAGTGTCTTCGTCTGACAATGTGGAGACTGAAGTATCTCAGCACATCCCCAGCTTTGGGTATTTGTGTACCTCCACCCTGCCCTAGATATAGCCAGTCATTTCATTCATTTAGTCAGTCACATGCAGCTACTATGTGTCTGATACTCTTCTAGGCACCACGGGTAAAGGCCTGAACCAAACAGATGCAAATCTGTTTGTATTTATTCAGGCCTGAGTTTGTACAGGAAAGTTGGAAAATTCTCTGCGTCTGAATCTGTTTGATTCCTGAGTTTTGGTGAGCAAGTAGCAAGAGAGGAATTCATCCAAACATTTATCAGAGTCTGTTCAGTTGCTGAGAGTTTGGATGTTAAAGAATGCCTTTAAGTGCAGCGAAACCAGAAAAGTGACATCAACTTCTCCCCACATACAATTCTGCTACCTGCAGGAGGCCTTAATCCTGAAGCCTGCTCTCCGTTTGTTAGAGCAAGAGCTAGAGGTGTTAAAGACGTGTTAGCTCCAAACTGAGACTGTCTTCATGATGGGTGATGAGGTGGGTTGAGAGGGGATGGAAAAGGGAATAAGATTCTTAACAAGGATTTAATGTTGGGTCATGCCACATCTGTGTTCCACCTTTAAACACCCTGCAGCCTCCCTGTGGATCTAGACCACGCTTAGGGAAATGCTCATGAAGGAGAATGGAAAAGTCCTGTCTAAGTCAGCCCCACTGGGACTCTGGGAAATGGAGTAATGGCGACTTTCTCCCCATCTCCAGGCCAGCTGGGCTCTGGTGGCCGGCCCAGCCCTCAAGTCTACGTGGACCTCATCCACAGCTACAACAATGCGGGCGAGTACTCCACCTGCTTCACGGAACTACAGCGGGACTTCATCATCTCCCGCCCCACCAAGCTGAAGAGCCTGATCCGGCTGGTGAAGCACTGGTACCGACAGGTTCGCCACAGGGCCGGGGCCACGCACTGCCGCCCCTGGGATCTAACTTTGGTGGCCAGGCCCCTTGGGTGGTGGAGCAGAAAGAGGGTTATCCATTTCCTAGCTGTGGGACCTTGGTTTTCTCAGAGCATTGGGGGTGACGTAACTATGTCCCAGGATTTGATGGGATAAAGCATGGCAAGGCATCTGGCACATGTAGGTGCTCAATAAAAGTTTGAGGATGGGTGTTCCAACTCTGGAAAGGTCTGTCCCGCACCTCATCTTTGCCAAGATGGACTGACACCTCTTCTTTCTCCTCTTCTCCCAGTGTAACAAGATGCCTAAGGGCAAAGGCTCCCTGCCCCCGCAGCACGGGCTGGAACTCCTGACAGTGTACGCCTGGGAGCAGGGCGGGCAGGAGTCCCAGTTCAACATGGCTGAGGGCTTCCGCACCGTCCTAGAGCTGGTCAGCCAGTACCACCAGCTCTGTGTCTACTGGACCGTCAACTACGACACTGAGGACAAGACCATCAGAGACTTCCTGAAACGGCAGCTGCAGAAGCCCAGGTTCAGACTCACCCCAGTGTCCCGGGGTCCCAGGCCCGGGGTCACTCACTATCACCCCAGAGCAGGCCGGAGGGTCTTCTGTCTAGAACTCAGTTCCTTTCTAGACATGATATCCTTAGCACCTGAGGACAGGCAGCCAGCTTCCTAGTCACCTGTAAATAGGGCTGCCAGATAAAATGCAAGACCCCAAGTGAAATTCGAATTTCAGATAAGCAAAGAATAATTTTTAGCGTAAGTTGTCCCGTGCAATATCTGGGACATACTTATGCTAAAAAAAAGTATTCGTTGTCTATTTGAAACTGAAATTTAACCAGGCATCCTGTATTTGTAGTTGTTAAATCTGGCAACCCTACCTGTGAATCCACCAGGTAACATAAGCATGTAGGGATTTTGCCTACCTCTGAAATGGGTAGACAGACACAGCAGAGGCCTTCACAAGCTCACGATGCCTCTCCAGTCAGTGGGTAGTAACTACTTACAGGGTGAGAAAGACTCTGAGGTTGTGATTCGGCTCAGCTAGGAAGAGTAGTCTAGTCAGTTAGTGACGTCTGCTATAGACGCAGGAAGGGAAAGTGGTGGAGACAGCGCTCTGATTGATTAATAACGCCTGCTTTACATGCAGTAAGTGGTGGCATGAGCACTGTGATTGATTAGTGAAGCCTGCCCTGGACACAGAAAGAAGAGGCCCACGTGCAGTTTGTTTTCTATAGCTGCCCGCAGGTTTGTGCCTCAAGCATGGCGGAGGCTCTGAGCCCTGCCCCTGTCCCCTGCAGAGTGTTGGGTGAGGGAGGAGCATGGCACAACCAATCCCACAAGTGGATACTAGATGTTGCCGGGAATGAGACTGACCCTGGATGGCAATTGCAGGCCCATCATCCTGGATCCAGCTGACCCGACAGGCAACCTGGGCCACAGTGCCCGCTGGGATCTGCTGGCCAACGAAGCCACAGCCTGCATGTCTGCCCTGTGCTGCATGGGCAGGGACGGCACCCCCATCCAGCCCTGGCCAGTGAAGGTGAGCAGCCTGCAAAGAGGAAGAACGTACCCTTTGTGGGAGGGAGGGGGCAGTGTAGGCAGGGGAGGGGCCTGGCTCCACGCAGAGGGACAGGGATAGTCATGGCTCCAGTGTGCCCTGTGCTCTATTTCCTGTCTACCCATGTTGTCCCAGCTTCTCCAGGAAGGATAGGGGTAACCAAAGTCTTCTGTACTCCCCCTAGGTTGCTGTGTGAAGTCCAGGAAATCAGTGGTCATACTGGATGGACAGATAGACACCAGCCTCGATGTGGGGAGACTGAGGGTTGCCTGCCAGATGAGCTTCTGTGTGTGTGTGGGTGTGTGCGCATGTGTAGCTATGTGTGCACGTGGGAGGGTGTGTGCATTTCTGTATGTGTGTGCATGTGCACCCTTGTGTGCGTGAGTGGGTGTGTGTGTGGGGGTGCATGTGTGTGCATGAGTGGGGATGTGCACTTGTGGGTGGTTGAGTGTTCCAGTGAATTTCCTCTCCTCCCCAGTCCAGCCCCCCAGCTGATCTCCCTGCCTTCCAGCTCTCCCCTCTCCTACAGCTGGATTGAGCTTCATTAAATACCACCTCGTAGCTAATGGACGGTCCCCATCTCACACGCGCCCATGCCTCCCACGGCCTGAACACTGGAGTGCAGACTCCGTGGTTGGGCACCAGCCTGGGTTTTCAGCTTCTCCATCACCCCCATGACCCAAAACCCTTTATCCTCAGGCCAAACTCCCTGCCCACTAGGGATGCAGGAGGGCAGGAAGAGCCTTCCCTTCACAACCAGCACTCTTGGAGGGAGAAGAGTGACAAAGAGCTGTTCCTCTGCCAGCACCTGGAGCCTGTTCTCGCCCCTCTTTGGCTCTGGCCTATGAGACTGGGCTGAGGGGTCTGCGTGCAGGGCCTTCCTAGTACCTGTGCTGTGTTACAGCCCCCATGCCTGTGCCCTCTGCCCTTGGTGCTGAACCAATGCCGAGGGAACCGTGGGTCTTCTTAAACTCATCTTGCTGACTGTTTGACTGATAAGCCGGGGCTGAAGCTCTCAGGACCCCAAGTTACACCTCTAGGGTTGGCGCTGGCCACTTCTGCACACATTTGCAAGAGCTCGGGGCAGCAGAGACCAGACCTGCCGAATTGCCCAGCAGAGAGGGTGCCTGGCTTGTGCATTATGAGCCGTTGGTTCTCCTCCTGGGTGGACCAAGTGGCCGGTTCCAATTCTGTAGCTTCCATCTCCACCATATGGATTCTGTTATGGATTGAATTGTGTCCTCCAAGAACGTGTGTCAACTTGCCTAGCCCATGATTCCCAGTATTACGTCACTGTCCACCATTTTGTCATCTGATGTGATTTTCCTAGATGTTGTAAATCCTACCTCTAAGATGTTAATGAGGCAGGATTAGAGGCAGTTATGTTAATGAGGCAGGACTAGGTTGTATCTCGAGTCAATCTCTTTTGAGATATAAAAGAGAGAAACAGACAAGGGGACCTCATTACCACCAAGCAAGAAGAGCCAGGAACACGCATGTCCTTTAGACCTGGAGTCCTGCGCTGAGAAGCTCCTAGACCAGGGGAAGATTGATGACAAGGACCTTCCCCCAGAACCAACAGAGAGAGAAAGCCCTCCCCTGGAGCTGGTGCCCTGAGTTTGGACTTCTAGCCTCCTAAATTGTGAGAGAATGAACTTCTGTTTGTTAAAGCCATCCACTTGTGGTTTTTCTGTTACAGGAGCTCTAGGTAACTAAGACAGACTCCAAGCCTCACTCTTGAAATAGCTCAAGAATTAGGGGAATTGTAAGACTTTGGGAAAGGGGGTTTTCAACTTATTTCAAAATAGAATGTTTTAAAAATAATAATAAAGCATGGGCTTTGTAGTCAGGCATCATGAAGTGAGACCCCAGCAGACAGCAGGTGTGTGGAAGATGTTTGGTTGTCATTCTGGGCCAGGCAGAGAGGAAGTCTTCCACATCCAAGGGCGGGTCATTTCACTCTGGCCTTACAGTCTTTGACAGTGGGCACACTGATATTGGCATATTGACTCCACTCTAACTTTGGGGGGCCTGTGTCTTTGCCTTCTAGTTTCAGGTGTGTCCATCTGCCATCTTGGATCAAAATCCTTTGGATTCGGCAACTCTTCTGTGGTCACAGCAAGATCCCCGTTGGGGCACTGGTTCTTAGAGACTTACGCTGTGAGGTCAGCCAACCACATATCCAAGGAATCCATCCACTCGGGTCAGAGCCTAGAGAGCTCAAATACCCAGATGGGTTTGCATACAGCAGCCTGGAGAATGGAGAATTCTATTCCATATTTCTCTTCACAGAGCCACACCTGCTCCAGAATCCACTATGGCTCCCCAGTATCTCCTGAACAAAATCCAAACTCAGCCTTCCCCCACCGTGGCCAAGTTCTCCACTCACAGCCTCATCTCTCTCATTTCTCCTCGAGGACTACTTCCACCTCACCTGCAGTGCTTTTCCCTCATCTCACCTGGGTGACTCACATCCATCCTTTAAGATCTGGCTCCAGGCTCACCTCCTCCAGGGAGGCTTCCTGGATCACCGGGACTCTCAGGAACCCCCCTCTCCTTGTCAAACTCCTGACCATTCTTCTCTGCTATCACTCATTGTATGTTCCACACTTGCTCTTTAGTGAGTCAGTCTGGCGCAGTGGAAGGAAGAAATCCTGGATTTGGAGTAAGGAAGCCCAAGCTTACTTTAGAGCAACAATTATGAGCCAGCCGCTATGCTAAGTTTTATTCCACTTGCTCTGCATGTACAGCCCTGTGGAGGAGGGGCTGTCACTAACCACCCCCAAGTAGAGGACAGTATGACTTCATGGTCAAAGGCTTCACAGTACAATTAGAGAAGACAATTTGAGACATAAAATATAAAATGAAATAAAGACTAGTGGTGTAGTGGTTAAGAGCTTGGCTGCTAACCAAAAGGTCAGCAGTTTGAATCCACCAGCTGCTCCTTGGAGACCCTGTGGGGCAGTTCTACCCTGTCCTATAGGGTCATTATGAGCCGGAATCAACCTGACGGCAATGGGTTATTTGCCTATGACATGATAACGTATCTGGAAACCCCTGGAGAATCAAAGATAAAACCTAACACAAAGAAAAATAATAATTTATTGAGGTAGCAAAATATGAAATAGGAAGACAGGAGCCTCCATCATCATAAAAACCATTTAGACCAGGGGTCAACAAACTTTCCATAAAAGGCCAGCTACTAAATATTTTCAGCTTTGTAGGCCACACTCCATCATGACTATTCAGCTCTGCTGTTGTAGCAGGAAAGCAGCTATAGATGATAGGTAAACAGTGGGCGTGACTGTGCCAATAAAACTTTATTAAAAAAGGAATGGGCTAGATTTGGTCTGTGAGTGGCAGTTTGCCCACCCCTGAGTTAGATGATCATCGCCGGTTAAAATAGCAACCAAAAAGAAAATACTTAGGAATAAGCTTAACAAAAATGTGCAAAATCTAAGAGAGAGTGAAGAGAACAGGATACAAGGGAAAGATCAGTCCGAAGCACTGATGGACCACAGCTACCAAGGCCTCCACCGGACTGAGTCCAGTACAGCTAGATGGTGCCCGGCTACTACCACTGACTGCTCTGACCGGGATCACAACAGAGGGTTCTGGACAGAGCTGGAGAGGGATGTGGAACATAATTCTAACTCACAAAAAAAAGACCAGATTTACTGGCCTAAAGGAGACTGGAGAAACCCCGAGAGTATGGCCCCCAGACCCCTTGTAGCTCAGTGGTGAAGTCACTTCCAAGGTTCACCGTTCAGCCGGGGAGTGGACAGCCCCATAAAACCAAATGGGACTAATGAGGCACAGCAGTCCAGGGACAAGGACTAGAAGGCAGAAGGGGACAGGAAAGCTGGTGACAGGGAACCCGAGGTTGAGTAAGGATGGTGTTGATGCATCGTGAGATTGTTAACCATTGTCATAGGGCAACATGCGTACTAACTGTTTAATGAGAAACTATTTTGTTCTGTAAACCTTCATCTAAAGTGAGAATAGTAGCACAGTTGAAAGAGCGTAGTCGATGTCACTGAACTGTGCATGTAGAAATTTTTGAAATGGTGTATCTTTGGCTATGTATATTTTCACCAAAAAAAAAAAGGTCGAGAAGGGAGAGGGTTGACATGTTGTGGGGTTGTTAACCAATGTCATGAAACAGTATGTGTACTACTGTTTCATGAGAAACTATTTGTTCTGTAAACCTTCACCTGAAGTACAATTTAAAAAAAAAAAAGTGCAAAATCTATATGAGGAAAACATGAAAATGGGTCAGAAAGACATAAAAGTAAACTTCAACGAATAGAAAGACATCCTTTGTTCTTAGATAGACTGGCTTGACCTCATTCTCCCCAAGTTGATTTATACATTTAATGATTCCCCTAAAAATACCTGTTGTGGACTGAATTATGTCCTCCAAAAATATGTAAATACTAACCCTATACCTGTGGTTATAATCTCATTTTGGGAATGAGTTTTCTTTGTTATGTTAATGAGACAGTATTCGCGTAGGGTGTGTCTTGAGTCAATCTCTTTTGAGATGTGAAAGGAGCAGATTAAGCAAGGAAGCAGGAAGCATAGTTGGGGGAAGATAGATGCCAAGTCACATGAAATCAAAGAGGAACAAAAGCTCAAAAGAAACAAGGACCTTCCCCCAGAGCCAACAGAGAGAAAGCTTTTCCCTTGAGCCAGCGCCCTGAATTCAGACTTCTAGCCTCCTAACCTGTGAGAAGATAAATTTCTGTTTGTTAAAGCCATCCCCTCGTGGTATTTCTGTTAAAGCAGCACTAGATAACTAAGACAATACCTACGTGAGTTTTTCTCTGGAGCCAGACAAGGCGACACTAACGTTCTTATAGAAAAATACCCATGCAAGAATAGCTAGGAAAACACAGAAAAAGAAAAGCTCTGAGAGGAGACTAGCTCTACCAGGTATTAAAACACACTGTAAAGCCTCTGTTACTTAAACAGCATGGTAATAGAACATCAACAGGCCGTGGAATTGGACAGCTATTACCACAACTCTGGAAAAAAGTAACAAAAAGTGTAATCAATCAGCAATTAAAAGCTAAGGGTGAGAACCAGCAGGCCTGCTTGGTAATGTATGAAGAAGCTGTCATCTGCAGCCAGAAGACAAAGAAAAGTGAAGACCAGTCTAGGATTTAAAAGAGAGTACTTAAAACTTAATATTTAATTAAAAAAAATTTTTTTTACCGATATAGTTTTTTCTTGAGATATAATTCACGTACCATAAAATTCACCATTTCAAGTGTGCCGTTCAGTGTTTTTTAGTATATTCACAAGGTTCAATAATAATAACACCCACACGATGTAGAGAGAGAGAGAAAGATGCAGCAAATGTGGTCAAATGTTCTGGGTAAAGGGTATTAGGGAGTTTCTTTGCACTTTTTCTCAGCTTTTCAAATCACTTCAAAATAAAATGTTTAAAAAATAATCATAGAGTGAGAACCTAGCTTACTAGAAGCTTGCCAGCTGTGTGCTGGGCAAATCTCTCAACGTCCCAGAGCCTCCATATTCTCATCTGGAAAGTGGCCTTCTGCCCCCCTGCCTTGCCTATCTGTCCCTGTTGCAGTAAAAGTCAGGTAAGCTAATGGGCAGGGCAAGGCCCTTTTCCTCCCACACCTTAGGCATTTGTGCCTGCTCTATTACTATGTTACATAGGGTCACTATGAGTCAGAATTGACTCGATGGCAACAGGTTTTATAGAGGAGCCCTGGTGGCCCAGTGTTTAAACACTTGGTTGCTAACCAAAAGGTCAGCGGTTCAAACCTACCACCCATTCTGTGGGAGAAAGATGTGGCAGTCTGCTTTTGTAAAGATTTACAACCTATATGGGGACCGTGATCTTGGGGAACATCTTGTTCAATTGCATAATATAGTTTATAAAGAAAATGTTCTACATCCTACTTAGGTGAGTAGCGTCTGGGGTCTTAAAAGCTTGTGAGCAGCCGTTTAAGATACTCCACTGGTCTCACGCTGTCTAGAGCAAGGGAGAATGAAGAAAACCAAAGACACAAAAGATTAGTCCAAAAGACTAATGGACCACAGCTTTATGTCTCGATATCTCTATGTGTCTCCATCTTGCTGCTATCTGCCTATTTTTCTGTGTGTGTGTGTCTGTGCATTTCATGGATGGAACCCAATGTTCATCAGATTATCCAAGACATTCATAACTCCAAAAGGGTTTTATTTATTTTATTTTTTTGAACAATTTCTGCATGTACAATTCAGTGACATTGATTACATTCTTCAAATTGTGCAACCATTCTCACGATCCCAAATGAGTTTTGAACTCCTGGGCTAAGAGGTTATCGATTTTCAGGGGCAAGTGGTGCTCATAGTCACCAGGATGTGTATAAGAATGTCTATGGCAACGTTGCTACTAATAAACCAACAACTGAAGCCATCCAAATAGCCATCAAGGAGCCCTGGTGGTGCAGTGGTTACAGTGCTTGGCTGCTAACTGAAAGGTTGGCAGTTCGAACCAACCAGCTGCTCTGTGGGAGAAAGCTGTGGCAGTCTGCTTTCATAAAGATTACAGCTTGGAAACCCTATGTGGAAGTTCTACTCTATCCTATAGGGTCACTATAAGTTGGAATCAAGTCGATGGTAATGGGTTTGGGGTTGGTTTTTTTTTTTAATATCCATCAATAGCAGAACAGATAAATTCATTCTGGTGGAATACTATATCACAGTGAAAAGGAATGAACCATAGCCTCATGAAAAAATGTGGATAATCTCACAAGCATAACATTAAGTGAAAGAAGCAAGACACAAAACCATCATAATGATTCCTATTGCTGCCTCAGCTTATGCCTGATGTACCCGGCTGAACCATGAACCACACAGTCTGTCTCACCCCTTCAAACTGTTAAGGGCCAAACTCTTTAAATCACTCTGCTAACAGCAGTGTTGGAAAGATCCACAAGATCTGGGGCCTAAAAAGCTTGTGAGTGGCCATCTAAGATAACTCCACTGGTCCCACCCTATCTGAAGCAAGGGAGAATGAAGAAAACCAAAGACACAGGGGAAAGATTAGTCCAAAGGACTAATGGACCACAACTACCACAGCCTCCACCAGACTGAGTCCAGCACAACTAGATGGTGCCCGGCTACCACCACTGACTGCTCTGACAGGGATCACAACAGAGGGGCCCGGACAGAGCTGAAGGAAAATGTAGAACAAAATTCTAACTCACAAAAAAAGACCAGATTTAGTGGTCTGACAGAGACCGGAGAAACCCTGAGAGTATGGCCCCCAGACACCCTGTTTGCTCAGTAATGAAGTCACTCCTGAGGTTCACCCTTCAGCCAAAGATTAGACAGCCCCATGAAACAAAACGAGACTAATGGGGCACAACAGTCCAACAACAACGACTAGAAGGCAGGAGGGGACAGGAAAGCTGGTAATAGGGAACCCAAGGTCGAGAAGGGAAGAGTGTTGACATGTCGGGGGGTTGGCATCCAATGTCATAAAACAATATGCATACTAACTGTTTAGTGAGAAACAGTTTGCTCTGTAAATCTTCATCTAAAGTACAATAATTTAAAAAAAGAAAGAAAGAAATGATGGGAAAGCAATAAAAATTATAATTTCTAAGTTAAAAAAAAAAAAAAGATTTACAGCCTAGGAAACCCTATGGGGTAGTGTTGCTATGAGCTGGAATCTATTCAACGGCAGTGGGTTTGGTTTGGTATGAACTTACTACTGCTGGACAGAGGCAGCCCCTGGGAGTTTCGTTTCTGGACACATGGTGGTTTCTCTGTTTCCCTTTGACCTGTGCACTCCCAGTTTCGTTTTCTACTATTGCTGGGCGGGGCAAGTGCAGATGAGGCCCTGCCTGTGTGTGCGTGTGTATGCATGTGTATGCATGTGTATGCGCATGTGTGCGTATATGCACATGCGTGTAAGAAGAACTGGGCACACAGGTGATCCCGCCCACTGACCCACTCCGGGACCTGCGTTTGCCAAGTGGTTGCTGACCTGAGCCCTGAGTCTGGCCCAGCCCCTACTTGCTGTGTGTCCCTGGGCAAGTCAGGCCCCTCTCTGGGAATCTTTCTCCTCTCTGCTCTCACTGAGTCTGAGTCCCCAGGCCATTGGGAACAGGCAGGAAGAGAAAGAGCCACAAAGAAATACCTCTGCCACTGTTAAAATATAGTGCTTTAGAAGAAGGTTTACAGAGTAAATTAATTTCTCATTAAACAATTAATACACATACTGTTTTGTGACATTGGTTGCCAACCCCAGGACATGTCAACACTCTCCCCTTCTCGACCTTAGGTTCCCCATTACCAGCTTTCCTGTCCCCTCCTGCCTTCTCGTCCTTGCTCCTGGGCTGGTGTGCCCATTTAGTCTCGTACACATGGTTGAAATACGTGTGTTATGTTTTATGGGCCTGTCTAATCTTTAGCTGAAGGGTGAACCTCAGGAGCGACTGCAGTACAGAGTGAAAAGGTGTCCAGGGGCCATACTCTTGGGGTTTCTCCAGCCTCTGTCAGACCAGTAAGCCTGGTCTTGTTTTGTGAGTTGGAATTCTGTTGTACATTTTTCTCTAGCTCTGTCCGGGACCCTGTATTGTGATCCCTTCAGAGCGGTCACTGGTGGTAGCCGGGTACCATCTAGTTGTGCAGGACTCGGTCTGGGGGAGGCTGTGGTAGTATGTACAATTTTATTTATTTATTAACAGACACTTACATGGCATTTTTCACGTGCCAGCTCCTGTTCTAAGCACTCTCCAGGTATTATTTAATCCTCACATTAACCCTACAAGAGAAACCATTGTTATCCTTGTTTTACCAGCGAGGAAATCGGGGCACAAAGAGGACAGGGGATTTGCTCCAGGGCACAAGTCAAGCATGTAGCAAGCGCTCACAGTCGGGCTCTGGAGGCTGTGCGCGGAACCACCAGGACTCCTTGGGGGAGCGAGTGGCAGAGGGCTACTGACTACAGCCTGGGGGTGGGGCAGCGCCTCTGGGAAGGGGCAGTCTCCTGGGAGCCCTCAGTGAGTTTCAGTTTCCCAGCTCAGGGGCTCAAGAGCTCCGCCTTCTCTGCCTCCTTCCCCGCTATTCACTTCCGTACCAGCAGCCAGCAGGGAGCCATGGGAAGCTGGTGGTCAAAAGAGAACTCCTCGCCTGGTAAGGACCTGAGGGTGTTTATCCAGAACTCCTTATGGCCCTTTGAAGACTGTTGGATACAGATCGAGCATGCCGTGAACACCATCTGTGACGTCCTGCAGAACCCCCAGGAGTTCCCTCTGGTGCAGGAGGTGGCCAAAGTGAGTCCAGGGCTTGGGTCAGGGTTTCGGGGAGTCAGGAGAGTCCACAGCCCCAGGATCACGTGCGAAGTACCTACTATGCTCCAGGTTCTGGGCTAGACATCATCTTGTCTTCCCTACACCCAGGTGAGATGGCGGAGTATGCTGTAGTGATTAGGAGCCAGCTCTGCCTCTTACGGGTGTGTGACCCTCGGCAGGTATCTCTTGTAGGGTTCACCTTCACCTCTCCGTGCCTCAATTTTGAAATCTGTAAAATGGGAAGAGGAATAATACCCACCTCAGAGTGTTGTGAAGCTTAGGAATATAAAGTTTTGGCACAGGGCCCAGCACATAGTTATCACTCAGTAAATAAGCTGAGATTACTCGCTGTTATTATTTCTATTTTCTATTATTATTTCTAGTGTTATTACAGAGGGGTGGACTGAGGCTAGAGGACCTCGGTAAAATCACCCAAGTTTGCTCTGTGGGTTTCACAACAGCAGGGCATCAGGGGAAGGGGGCTGTTCTCTTCAGCTGGAAACATTTGGTGCTGTGGGCACAAGTCCCAGGACTGGGGCTGAGTGTTCTGAGCCTGTGGGAGGCAGGGGCGCTGGGAAGGCACCAGGCCCCTGGGGCAGGAGGGGGACAGTGAGGGTCCCCTCCACCACCATTCTTTTTAGTCCTGGCCTCCCACCTCTCTGCTGTCACAGCACTTCTGGCTCCTGTCTTTCTTTTTGTTGTTGGTAGTTGCCATGGAGTTGGCTCTGCTCGCCACAGCCTTGTATATAATAGAGCAAAACATGACCCGGTCCTGCGCCATCTTTATGATCATTGGTATGTTTGAGTTCATTGTTTTGGCCGTTGTGTCGATCCGTCTTACTGAGGGTTTCCCTCATTTTTCCTTGGCCCTCTACTTTACCAAACATGATGCCCTTTTCTAGAGATTGGTCTTTCCTGGTGACATGTACAAAGTAAGTGAGCCAAAGTCTCGCCATCGTCACTCCTAAGGAACATTCTGGTTGTACTTTGTCTAAGACTGATCTGCTCATTCTTCTGGCAGTCCACGGTACATTCAATATTCTTCACCAACACCACAGTTCGAATGCATCGATTCTTCTCCAGTCTTCCTTTTTCACTATCCAACTTTTGCACGCATATGAGGCAATTGAAAAGACCATGGCTTGAGTCAGGTGCATCTTAGTGATCAAAGCAACATCTTGGCTTTTTAAAACTTTAAAGAGTTCTTTTGCAGCAGATTTGCCCAATGCATTATGTTGTTTGATTTTTTTGACTGCTGCACCCGTGGATGTTGATTGTTGATCCACCTTTACACACCCACTAAGCTCAACAGAAAAGAAACCTGGACACCTGGTGCCACCTGGTACCACCTGGCCCAGGTGAGGAAACAGAGACACAGAAAAGTTGAGTGAGTGTAGTTACTTAACAGCTGGGGTCAGAGCTGGGACTTAAATCCAGGTAATCTGCTTGGGAGCCTCCATGCTAAACCACTCTACTATCCTGCCTCTCGATATTAACATTTAAAAAAAAATTGAAGTAAAATATGCAAAAAGTGCACAGATCTAAGTGCATAGCTTAATGGGCTCTCACAAACAGCATACCTGTGTAACCCACACCCAGACTGAGAAACAAAATATTCCCAGCCACCCAGGAGCCTTCTGTACCCTTTAGCCAGGCTCTACCTCCACCCCAGGGTGCCACTCCTAGGACTTCTAACAAAATAGCCGAGTTTTGCCTATTTTTGAACTGGATATAAGTTCGTTTGTAGGGTGACCAACCGTCCTGGTTTGCCCAGTGCTAAAACTGTGTCATGGATTGAATAGTGTCCCCCCAAAATAGGCCATGATTCCCAATATTATGTGATTGTCCTCCGTGTTGTGATCTGATGTGATTGCCCTATGTGCTGTAAATCCTAATCTAGGCCGGTGGTTAATGAGGCAAGATTAAGTTATGGTAAAGAGGATTAGGGTGGGATGCAACATCCTTACTCAGATCACAGCTCTGAGCCGATGTAAGTGGAGTTTCCCTGGGGTGTGGCCTGCATTACCTTTTATCTCACAAGAGAGAGAAAGAGAGAGACTCGAGCAGAGAGATAGGAACCTCCTACCACCAAAAAAGGAGAGCTAGGAGCGGGGGCCCTTCACTGAGAAGCTCCTAGACCCAGGGAAAGATTAATGACAAGGACCTTCCCCCAGAGCCAACAGAGAGAAAAAGCCTTCCCCTAAAGCTGGTGCCCTGAATTCGGATTTCTAGCCTTCTAGACTGTGAGAGAATAAATCTCTGTTTGTTAAAGCCACCCACTTGTGGTATTTCTGTTATAGCAGCGCTAGATGACTAAGATAAACTGGGAACGTCCCGGGCAAACCAGGACCGGTTGGCCACCCTATATAAATGGGATCGGGCACTTGGTGTACGTTAGCAAGCCGTGTCTTTGACCCACCATACTTGTGAGGTTCATGCTGCTGTGTGCATTTGTTGCTTACCATTGTCAATGTTGTGTAGTATTCCATCCTGTGAATCTACCGCATTTGACCATTCTATTGCTAATGGCCATTGGAGTTGACCCCAGTTTTTGGCCGGTATGAAAAATGCTGCTATGAACAGCCTGACTCAGGCCTTTTGGTGAACAGGATGCCTGCTTCACAATTTTAAGACTATAGTGACTTTTTTGGCCTTTGCCCCAGTGTTGAGAAATACCACTGCCTGCTGTATGCCCAGTGGGTCCAGATCTTCACACCTGCTTCCCTGTTGCCGGCAGGGTGGCTCCTACGGCCGGGGTACCGTCCTCAGAGGCAAGTCCGATGGTACCCTCGTCGTCCTTCTCAGTGGCTTCAAACAATCTGGGGATGAGAAGATAAGCCAACGTGAAATAATCCTTGATAAAATCTGGAAGCGAGTAGAAGACTTGAAGCACTCAATGGCACTGGAATACAACTTGCAGACCCAGCGCTCCCAAGGCCGGCTCATACTCCAGCTGTCCACAAAGTGGCAAAGCATCATCTTTGAGGTGCTGCCTGCCTTCAACACCCTGGGTGAGTGTCTCTGGGTGTGTGTGCAGGGCGGGTCTGCAGGGGCATGTGAAGGGATCAAAGCCAAAGAATGGGGTACCAGAGAGCAACATGGACCCTCCAGGCTAGAAATGTGCTGTCTAGGCTAGCTAGCATCACTAATGTTTTCCAAAATGGTGGGCTATAGTCTAGGCCTCCTCTTTTCCCTGGAACTTTTCCCCTCATCTCCTAGTTGATTTTGGAGAAAATGTTCTAGACTTTATTGTCTAGAGCAGGGCTTCTCAAACTGTAATATGTGCACAAATCACCTGTGAACCTTGTTGAATGCAGATTCTGATTCAGGAGATCTGGGGCAAGACCCCAGGATTCTGCATTTCTAATCACTTCCGGGATGAATTATGATGTTGGTGGAGAATATTGACTATACCACGGACTGCCAGAAGAATGAACAACATCAAGGCAATGACCTTCCATGGGCAACTGTCTACCAGGGCTTGAGGGGTGCCTCAAACACAAGCCCTATCTCCCCAAGACCTGCCCACTTCCTGTGTCCCCTGTGTCAGCAAAAGTCCCCACAGTCCTGCCTGTCACCTAAACCCAGTTCACATCTCGGACTCCCCCCCACCCCTAAGTCTCGCCAGTTCTGCCTAACTAGCTCCTAAATCCACTGCTACTTCCCTAGTGAAGGCCACGATCAGGGCTGGCCTAGATATGACAACAGCCTTCTCACTGTTTCCCTGCCTTCTGTCTCACTCCCTACTGCAGCCAGGTGTCACCCTTTCTACATTAAACCCTCTACTGGCTTTTCATTGCACTTAGGATCAAGGGCAAATTCCTCAGCAGGACTGAATACTTTGATGATCTAGTGGTCCCTACTTACTTACCTCTTCAGCCCTACTACTCACCACCAACTCACTCTCTGCCCCAGCCATTCTGAACTTCATTAAGTGCCTCAAGCCCCCAGGCTCACTCAACTTCAGATTTGGTTCATGCTGTTCCTTTGTCAAGAACATTTTCCCCCGGCCCTTTATTTTTTGATAACTCATTATTTAAGTTCTCTGGATCCGTAAGTCTGGGTGAAATCCACCTCCCAGATGCTCCAAAGCAACTTGTGCTTTCTCTAGCATGGAATTTATCACTGATATTATAATGATTTGTTTGGTTTTCCCCTCTCCTAGACTATAAGCTCTATAAGAACAGGTACCATGGTGGTCTTGTTCTTTTCCCACCTCTGGTACAATGTTCATGCTCAATAATAGTCAATGGATGGATGGATGGATGGTGGATGGATGGGTGGATGGATGGATGGATGGGTGGATGGTTGGATGGATGGATGGGAGGTGGGTGGGTGGATGGCTGGCTGGATGGATGGACGGACGGAAGGATGGATGGATATTTGGATGGGTGTTTAGGTGGCTGATTGATTGGATGGATAAATGGATAAGACTCAGTATAGTCAGTATCATGTTTGGGTGAATGATCAGAATGAGGCTGCACTTTTCCTGTGTCTGGAGCTCAGCTAGCAAGAAGGGAAACCCATTGCTTAAACCCCAGAATATTGACATCTCCCTCACTGCATTTGTTTGTTTCCTGGTCCCACGCCAGTGGTTTTCAGACTTCAGTGCGTATCAGAATCGCCTAGGTAACTCAGTTTAAAAAAAAAAAAAATACAGAGGCCATGCTCTCTCCCAAATGTGTATCAGAATCTCCCACCCCCCACCCCACCCCATAGTAATCTGGAGCATACAGGCCCAGACTTATTGTCATGGGAGGATCCTGGGCATCTGTGTTCCAGAAGAGTACTGTGGGGGGTTCCGATATGCATCCGAGTTTGAGAACCACTGTCCAGCACCACCCCACCCCACAGGGTCCAGCCCTGAGAGAACTCAGCTGCCCCGTTGGCCTCCGTTCCTAGACCTCTAAGGCCCTGTCTTCCTTTTCCTGCTTCCTCCAAGTCACTGTACACTACCAAAAACCAAACCAAACCCACTGCTGTCGAGTCGATTCCTACTAATAGAGACCCTATAGGACAGAATAAAACTGCCCCGTAGGGTTTCTAAGGCTGTAAATCTTTCTCCCGCAGAGCAGCTGTTGAGTTTGAACAGCTTTTGGTTAGCAGCTGAGCTCTTTAACCACTGTGCCACCAAGGCTCTTCCCTGTATCCTAGACTGTCTGAAATAAAACATTCATTGGATGGATTCAATGAACCAAACCAAACCCACTGCCGTCGAGTCGATTCCGACTCATAGCGAATATATCACAGCATTAGTGGCACAGTGGTTAAGAGCTATGGTTGCTAACTGAAAGGTTGGCAGTTCGAATCCACCAGCCACTCCTTGGAAACTGTATGCGGCAGTTCTACTGTGTCCTATAGTGTCGCTATGAGTCAGAATCAACTCGACGGCAATGGGGTTTTTGGGTATGTGATATATAAATATTATTTACTTCCAGATAAAAAGCCAAATTGACGAGCATCATTTTTTAAAGAAAGCACCCTTTTGCTACTGAATATCCCCTTTTTCATTCATAATTGTGTTTCTGGTCCCTCTCTTGGTTCTGCTGGATAGTCTTAAGACCGATACCATACCGTTTTTATTACAGTCATTTTAGAATACATTTTATTATCAAGTAGGGCAAGCCACTCCTCACCATTATCCTTTATGTAAATATACATCTTCTAAGAGATTAAGCAATTGACCTGTGCTAGCAAAATACGACTGACCTTTTCTGTTGAGCAATCCTGCTCTCTCTAGATCATGTGATTACCAAAATGCCCGTGTTTCTCTTTCACATCAGGCTTTAGTACGAAGCCCAGCCCCCAGATCTATCGAGAACTCAAAAAATTCTCGCATTCAACAGCAGCCTACCCTGGTGAGTTCTTAGTCTGCTTCACGAAGCTCCAGCAGAAGTTTTTTAACAACTGTCCCAGAAATCTGAAGGATTTGATCCTCTTGGTAAAGTACTGGTATCAAAAGGTAATTTTCAAATGGTATCTATCATTATCATTCATTGAGATAATTTACAGTTAATAACATACAACAATCTTAAGTGTACAGCTCAATGCATTTTTTACATCCAGAAGGCTGCCTTGAGTCCAGTCAATGCTTCCCAAAAGTGACCCACTATTCTAACATCTGTCACCATAGATTAAACTTGTTTTTAAACCTGATATAAATGGAATTATACTGTATGTACTTTCTGTCAGTCTTCTGCTCAACATTACGCCTGAGAGATTCATCCATTTTGTTAGGCGTAGTAATAGTTTTTCATCGTTTTGTAGTATTCTGTTGTATTAATATGCTACACATTTATACATTCTACTATTGATGGACATTTGGGTTGTTTCCAAGTTAGGGCTGTTATGAATTAGGCTACTATATTCTCCTACATGTCTTTTGGTGAGTTTAAGCACTTATTTCTCTTGGGTAAATATGCAGATGTGGAATTGCTGGGTTATAAGATACATGTGTCTATGTGTATATATATGCATGAATATGTATTGTGTATATGTATATGGTGTATATATGTATGTATGTATAGGGAGTATGTATCTATTTTAGCTTTAGTAAATACTACCAGTTTTCCAAAATGTTGCACCAAATTACACTCCCATCAGCAATGGTGAGAGTTCCAGTTGCTCTATTTCCTTGTCAACACTTGATATTGTCAGTCCATTTAACTTTAGGCATTCTGGTAGGGCACAGTGGCTTCTTATAGACTTCGGCTTTCTTGACTTCAGACACTTGACATTGGAGTCCTGTTTCCCCAAATTAGCTGCTGCCTTCTTCTTGTCCCACAGTGCGTAAAAGAGATGGACAAGTCATCCCAGCTGCCCCAATATGCTCTGGAGCTGCTTACAGTTTATGCCTGGGAACAGGGGTGTGGACAAGACCAATTTGATATAGCTGAAGGCATCAGAACTGTTCTGGGGCTGATCAAGCAGTACGAGCATCTGTGTGTCTACTGGACAGTCTACTACAACTTTGAGGATGTGACTGTCAGGAAAATTCTGCATTCTCAGCTCTGGGCACAGAGGTACCAAGCTCCCCACAGCCCTCTCCCTCTACATGTTTATCTGTGGACAAGGCTGTACCCCTTTAGAATGAGGTCTCGGCCCTGTCCTGTCCAGCCAATGATATGTCAAATAATGTCAGCAGCACTGGGTGGGGAGGCAGAGAGGTCTGTCTGAAAGCAGAGATGCCCGACCAATGCTTTTCACAATTCCCAGTTGTGGTCACATTTTGTCTCAAAAGCAAACCCTAGGAGTCCCTGGGTGGCACAAACTGTTAAGCACTGGCCTACTAGCCTAGAGGTTGGTAATTTGAACTCACCCAGAGATGCCTCAGAAGAAAGGCCTGACAATCTGCTTCTGAAAGGTCACAGCCATGATAACCTTATGGAATGCAGTTCTACCCTGCAAAAAAAAAAAAAAAAAAGCCTGGAGAGAAAGGGATAAGAGAGAGAGAAGAGTTGGCAGGAAGAGGAGACCATTTTACTACTTTAGTAATGGAACATCTCTGTAAAGCAGAGACCCCAGAGCCAGAGAGGCTGAATGTCTTAGCCAAAGCCCCTCACCAATTGAGAGGAACCTCAGGAGTTAAAATCCAGGTTACCAGATTCCTAACTAGGGCTGTTTCCCCAAAATGGATTTCTTCTCCTGCAGCAACTCAACTAATTATTTTTTTTAATCTAATGGAATTCATAGGCCAGTAATCTTGGATCCAACTAACCCAAAGAATAATGTAAGCCAAGATAAAAATGAATGCTGGGCACAGCTAAACCTAAAAGCTCACGAATGGTTATCTTCTCTCTGCCTGGATGATAAGTCACCTGGACCATCCTGGAATATTCTGGTGAGAGGGCTTGTGTCGTGCTACAGGGAGGGCCCTTCTGACATCCAGACTCCGGTCTTATCCAAGAGCCTCCCCCACTTCCACTGAAGTGATGAGTGGAGTGCAAAAGGGAACACGAGAAAGTGGGGCACCCACAGAGGGGAGACTTAAATTAATTTCTCCAAGAGAAAAAGCACGAGAGAAGGTGGTGATAGATGAAACGGAGCAGAGCCCAAGGACGCCTGGACAGGCTCTCGGTGCCCTTCAAGCAGGTGTGAAGGGCGTGAGGAATGGGGCTGGAACAGGACTAATGAAAGGGGCTTGCGATAGACACACTGGTTTTCCCTCTCCCATCCCCACTCATCCCCTAATGGAGCCCTGGTGGCGCAGTGGTTCAGAGCTCGGCTGCTAACCAAAAGGTCAGCAGTTCAAATCCACCAGCCAGTCCTTGGAAACCCTATGGGGCAGCTCTACTCTGTTCTATAGGGTCACTATGAGTCAGAATCGATTCGCCAGCAACGAGTTTGGTTTGTTTGGTTTTCTTCATCCCCCAATGGAGAAAGAAGCAAATCTATCACACAGAATTCTCCTGTACCCTCTGAGCCTATTGTTGTCGTTAGGGGCCATAGAGTCAATTCTGACTCACAGCGACCCCATTTGACAGAGTAGAACTGCCCAATAGGGTTTTCCAGGCAGTAATCTTTATAAAAGCAGATCACCAGGTCTTTCTCCTACGGAATTGCTGGTGGGTTCAAACCACCAACTTTTCAATTCACAGCCGAGTGCTTTACCATTGTGCCACCAGGGCTCCTCAGAACAATCCAATGAGTACTTTGTCAGGTTAGACCACTCAGTCCATTCCTTGTTCCTGAGGATCACCAGAACCAACCAATTGCCATAGAGTGGACTCCAACTCACGGCAACCCCATGTGTGTCTGTCTGAGTAGAACTGTGCTCCATAGGGTTTTCAATGGCTGATTTTTCGGAAGCAGATCACCAGGCCTTTCTTCCAAGGCCCCTCTGGGTGGGCTCAAACCTCCAACCTTTTGGTTGGCAGTGGAGTGCTTAACCATTTGTGCCACCCGGGGACACCTAGTGGGGACCACAGGGAGTCAGTCAGATGTATCATTTGAGGCCAGATGGGTATATCAAATTCCACATTTCACAGACACTGCACGAATTTGTTTCCAAATAATGGGAGGTGGGGATCTACATTCCATTTGCACAGAAATTTGGGGGCCAACTGAGCAAAAATCTGGGTTGTAATGAAGATGTAAATGAGCTTACCAAATTCATGGGTCCCTGGAGGCGAAGGAGGCTGAGAACGGAGCAAATTCCCTCATTGCATCAAGAAGGAGCCTGATGCTCTGTAGTATCCCCTAGCCTGCACTGGACTCCTGGTCTTCGCTCCAATTTTCCCGGCTTCCTAAGACAGCTTTTCAAAAAACTGTTTCTCCCCTCACCCCAACATTCTTACATTTAACTTTGAAAAGTATAGAAAAGTTGCAAAAATAGTTCAGTGAACTCCTCTGTTCCCTTCACCAAGATGCACAAATGCTTAACATTTTGCCATGTTTGCTATGTCATGTCCCCTCAGTCTGTGTGTGTGCTGTGTATAAGTGTGCAACGTACATATACGTGCTTGCTTATATACACACACAGATTGTTGTTGTTGTCGTTATATTATTTGCACTGAATCATTTGAAAGCAGGCTGCTAGGCATCACTTCTCTTTATCCCTAAGTGCTTTCCTAGATATTTCCTAAGAACAAGGATATTCTCTTACATAACTACTATGCAATAATCCAATTCAGTCGATTCAGATTAATACAATACTATTGTCGAAATGCAGCTCTGGTGGTGTAGTTGTTAAGAGCTCGGCTGCTAACCAAAAGATTGGCAGTTCGAATCCACCAGGTGCTCCTTGGAAACCCTACGAGGCAGTTCTACTCTGTCCTCTAGAGTCACTATGAGTTGGAACCAACTCAATGGCACCTAACAACAACAACAACATTGTCTAAATACAGTCCATTTTCAGATTTTGGCAATTATCACAAGAATGCCCTTGATAGCACTTTTTTCCAACCTAAGACCACACATTGCATTTAGCTCTCATGCCACTTCTAAACCATTTTTTGATACCTGCTTTTGGCTTTTTTTTTTTTTTTTTTTTTGGTTTGCTACCCATCAACCTCTATTTCTGGAACTATGAGACCATCCTTCTCAGCTACAGCTGTTAGAGACCAGCCTGGTCAGGACCCACTGCATAAGGAGGTCCAAGCACTGGAGGGTGCATAGGTGCACACCCACTCACACACATGCCCACACACATACAATACACGTGCACACGTACATGCACACACATAGACATTCATGCACAAGTGTGTGCACACATACATACACGCACACATGCCTTCACCCATGAATATACATACATACACAATACACATATCCACATACGTACATGCACACGTGTGCACACGCACACACACACACACACAACACCACAATATTATGCCCTGTGGGAGGGGAAGTACTGGCAGTGAATTTGCCTTACAGCAGGAGGTCTTCAAGAGGCCAGCAGCACAGGGAGTCACCACCAGAAGGGGAAGAGGGCATGAAAACCCGAGGAAAGAGGAAAAGTGAGGGGGTTCTTACATGCCGCCAGATGGTGTCCTCCTGCAGCAAGGTGGGGAGTCTCTGAATCAGACAGCTCTGAAGGATAGCAGCATTCTAGGGTCTTTACAACTCTAGACCCTTTACAAATATGTCTTATCTAGAGCTAGCAGACGTTGGGCACAGCTTTGCCAGGTGTGTCAAGCAGGCAGGTTCAAAGTACAAATATCTATGTGTAGAAATTTGAGTCTGGCACCAGCAGGTGTTCTGGAGGCTCTTGCGCCTCAGCTTGCTATGAAAGAGTAAACAAGCCAAGGTCTATACACAGAGACTACCTTTGACTCATTTAGGTAACAGCATTGCTAAGTTGTTGGGAGAAGGGTCCAGATCTCTTCTAGGGGTTAAGGAGGGGCAATTAGGGGAATTTTTGTTTCTGAGGGCTCTTGGGTACCACCACAAACTCTCAGATACATTCTTGGGATATGTCCAGCAAGAGGGTTGGGTAGCAGGAGTGGGAGACCCTGCTAGCCATGAACAGAGCAGGTAGGAAACCTTGGGGTCAGCTTGAAGGAAGATGTTCACAGCCCAGTTCTTGTGTTTTCCTCCAGCCAACAACACTCTATGCGACTCCAGGCCATCGTCTAGATAAGTTCATCCATAAGTTTCTCCAGCCCAGCCAAAATTTCCTTGATCAGACCAGCAAAGCTATTGACATCATCTGTAAATTCCTTAGAGAAAAGTGCTTTCAACGGTCCGAAGACCAGAAGATCAAGATTCAGGATATCATCAGGGTGAGCACTGACCTTTCTCTTAAGGGCTATCACTAGAAGGGAGCGAAGCAGTTACTGTATCTCTACAATGCTGTCTACCATCAGAAACTTGAGGGCAAAGGGATAAGGAAGGGAAGTTGAGGAGTTCAGGCAACTAGGACACTAATCCTCAGTGAAGGTGTTGATAGACCGTCTATGTCACCAACAACATACTTTGGATCCTGGTAATCCTTGGTCCTCCTTGGCTTGTAGACACGTGCCTGTCATCTCTGCCTCTGTCTTCACATGGCCTTCTCTTCCACTTGCCCTCCCCACCACGTGCCTTCTCCGCGTGCCTTCTTCTCCTCTTTTCTCCTGTAAGGACACTCGTCGTTGGATTTAAGGCCCACCCTAATCCAGGATGATCTCATCTTGAGATCCTTAATTTAATGTTGTCTACAAAGACCCTTTTTCCATATAAGATCACACTCACAGATTCGCAGTAGACATATCTTTTGGGAGGTGTTATGGATTGAATTGTGTCCCTCAAAAATATGTGTTGTAAATCCTAATCCCTATTCTAACCCTTGGTTATAATCCCATTTGGGAATGGGTTTTCCTTGTTATGTTAATGAGGCACTATTAGCGTAGGGTGTGTCTGAAGTCGATCTTTTTCGAGATATGAAAGACTAGTTCAAGCGAGTAGTAAGCAAGCAGAGATGGGGGAAGACAGATGCCACGCCACAGGAGAGCTCCAAAAAACCAAGAAAAGAGACAAGGACCTTCCCCCAGAGTGGACAGAGAGAAAGCCTTCCCCTAGAGCTAGTGCCCTGAATTCGGACTTCTAGCCTCCTAAACTGTGAGAAAATAAATTTCTGTTTGTTAAATCCATCCACCTGTGGTATTTCCTTTACGGCAGCGCTAGATAACTAAGACAGGAGGCCACCATTCAAACCACTATAGATTTCAAGCTCAGTGGGTATTAAACCAGAAAGTGACCTCTTCTTGTTTTAATGGCTGGAGCCCAATTCACACTATCTACTGAACTAAAGATTCAGAGCTTTGGGCCACCCTTGTCTGTTGCTCAAGGCCACTGGCCAGCACGGTCTGTCTGCTCGTCACAGACCTGACAAACCTGTGCCCATGGTCACAAGAAGGGAGGGGGAAATACCGATACCTGTGGAAAAACATCCTCAGGGACGCTAAAACAAGCTGGGAGCGTGCTGCACTGAAAGGGATCTGGAAACTCCAGCAATACCCAACCGGAGATGAGTGAACACCCCCCGAGGGTCACTGGGGTGAAAGCGAGGCTGAGCTAGTGACTAATGTTAGAATTGTGGTGCAGATGTTCTCGTCTCCTTCCTGAGGCCCCATTAAACGTGATAGTAAATAAGTCAAGAAAGGTATAATGGCACATCAAAAAAGAGAACAGGAAGAGGGCCATCGGCAGATGCTATCTTCTGAAGTGGCTTGCAAGCTGGAAAGGGTGTCTTCTGAGGTGAAGAGGAAGGTATCACTGGAGAAAGTGAGGATAAGAAGTGGGGAGGAAGAGGTGAAGGGGGAGGAGGAGGAGAAGGGGAGGAGGTGAGGAAGAAAAGGCTGCAACAAAGATATACATGGCCTGCAAAGTCTAGCATATTTACCATCTACCCTTTACAGAGAAAATTTGCTGACTCCCAGACTTTAGAAGGAAAACTGATCAATCAGGGGACAGATAAAACTTTCAGTGTCATGATTACATTCAGTTTAATTTCTTTTAGGTCACAGTAACTCAAACAAGGCTAAATGTTCCTTAACCAGCCAAGCCAAACCCAATGCCGTCGAGTCGATTCTGATTCATAGCGACTCTATAGGACGGAGTACAGCTGCCCCATAGGGTTTCCAAGGTTGTGGTCTTTACAGAAGCAGACTGCCACATCTTTCTCCCATGGAGCAGCTGGTGGGTTGGAACCGACAACCTTTCGGTTAGCAGCCGAGCACTTTAACCACTGTCCTACCAGGTCTCTTTAAGCATTCCTTAGAAGAAAAAAATTTAAACAAAACCCAAACCTATTGCCATCAAGTATATTCTGGCTCATGGCGGCCCTACATGTGTCAGAGTAGCTCTGTGCGCCATAGGGTTTACAATGGCTAATTTTTTGGAAGTAGATGGCCAGGGCTTTCTTCCAAGGTGTCTCTGGATGGTCTCGAACCTCCAACCTTTCAGTTAGCAGACAAGTACGTAACTGTTTGTGCTACCCATGAAAGTAAGAAGTTTATAATGAGCCTACCAGTTGTTTGTGTGTAAATAAGTACATCAAGGGGCATGAGAATAACTACTTTGTGTAACTATATTATTCTGTTAGTTTGGAACATGAAATACTCTGCTTCAGACTTGGTCCTAAAGTGAAACCTGCCCTCAGCAGCCTCATTGGTCACCCCAACTAGTCCCAGCCCATGGAGGTGAGGGGCTCACAGTTTAAGAGCTGCTCAGCTTTCCTTTCTTTCTTAGGGGGGGTCAACCGCCAAAGGCACAGCTCTGAAGAGTGGCTCTGATGCCGACCTCATCGTGTTACCTGAATCGCTTAAAAGCTTTCCCTCCCAAAAACACAACCGATTCAGAATTATCAAGGAAATCCATAAGGAGCTGGAAGCCTGTCAGCAGGAGAAGAAATTTAAAGTGAAGTTTGAGATTTCCAAACAGAAGGCTCCCGGGGTGCTCAGCTTCTCTCTGAAATCCATAGAGTTCGACGCAGAGCTGGAGGAAAGGGTCAAGTTTGATGTGCTGTTCGCCTTCAATGTACTAGGTAAGACCCCGCCAGACCTTAGCTTCTCGAGCAGGGAGACAGACTCTGGACAAGCCAGTAGAAAGGGGTGGAGAGAAAGCCACTTAGTAATGGGCTGCAAAGACATACGCTAGAAGACGAGAAGAACTAGATGGTGCCTGGCTACCACTACTGAATGTTCCCATCAGCAACATAATAGAGAAATCCTGATAAACAGGGAGAAAAATGTGGAACAGAACTACAAATTTCTTAAAGAACCCGGACTTGCTGGCCCTACTGAGGTTGGAGGAGTCCCTGAAACTATGATCTTGAGTTGCTCTTCAAACCTTGAATGGAAACTATCCCTGAAGTCAGCTTTAAGCTAAGTAACAGTTTAGCTCAAAGAGTAAAGATTGTCAGTCTTGAGTATTGTGCTGCTTAAAAAAAAAGTTATCTATGTAAGACCAAAGGGTCAACAGCTATTTTAAAGCTTAGATGAGAAGGTTGGGGGTGGGGGAGGGGCAGGGAGATTAAGTAAATGGAAGTGAAACAACTAGAACAGAAATAATGAGAATGTTGACAGAATGTAAAGAATTTAACCAATGTCACTGATCATTATGTCTAGAAACGGTGGAATGGGAGTGGGTTTTGCTGTATATATTTTCACCAAAAAAAAACACTAGTTGTAGGTCCAGGACCCTCAGCAGGTAGCATGAATAATGACAGCAATAATTTAAATCTGTTGAAGATTTTATACCCATTTCTCATTTAGGTAGCCCAAGAACCATGAAGGCCCACATCTTGTGCTCTCATACCATCTACAATATCTATCAGAGAATGGGGTACACTGGAGTTCCACACATGTTTGTTGCTAAAATGCCTCAAGTATTAGAGAGGTAATTAAAGAATAGACTGTGGAGGAATTCCTTTTTTTTCTTCTTTTTTTCAGGTAAACCATTTTTACTACATAAGCTAATGTATTGTTTGGTTTAAAGAAGACTTCAGGAAATATTTTTGGTTTACCATTTAAAGATTATCTCAGAGCAACAGTTTCAGAGGGCTTATCCAGCCTCAATGGCTCCAGAAAGTCTGGATGCCATGAGTGTTTGGAATTCTGTTCCATATCCCCTCCACTTTTTATCAGGATTCCTCTATAGAATCTTTGATCAAAATGTTGAGTAATGGTAGCTGGGTACCATCCAGTTCGTCTGTTCTCATGGCAAAGGAGGCGGTTGTTCATGGAGACAATAAGGCACGCATTCCATTTCCTCCTATTCCTGACTCTCCTTCTACTTCTGTTGCTCCAGGCAAATAGAGATCAGTTGTTTTACCTGGGATGGCTGCTTGCAAGCTTTTAGGACCCAGCCATTAGACAATGAACTAGGAGGTAGAACCACAAACCAAACCAATTGCCACTGAGTCAATTCTGACCCTTAGAGACCCTTTAGGACACAGTAGAACTGCCCCTTAGGGTTTCCAAGAAGCACCTGGTGCATTCGAACCGCCAACCTTTTGGTTAGCAGCCGTAGCACTTAATCACTACGCCACCAGGATTTCCAGGGGTAGAACAGAGGCACTAAAAATAATATTAGGCTAATTACCTGGGATGTCCCATGAAACCACGACCCTCAACCTTGTGGAGGATTTCTGATACAAAGACACAGGAAATCTAGGCATTTTCCTTCACTCTTAGGCAAAATCCCCTTTAGAAATTCAATGCAGGGGTGACGGATACATAATGATATATTAAAAATGGTGTATTAGGTGCTATTTCAGGCATTTTCCAAATTGTATAAAATTCAAAATCATGAAGACCCTGGTACCTTCCCTCTGAATGGTTCTTAGCGTCTCTCAGTAACAACAGTATAAATCAGGGGTCTGCAAACTTCTTCTCTAAATGGTCAGACAGCAACAATTTTTGGCTGTGAGGGTCATACCAGCCTCTGTTACAACTACTGGACTTTGCTGTAGCATGAAAGCAGCTGTAGACAATAGGTAAACAAATGGGTACGACTATGTTCCAATAAAACTTTATTTACAAAAACAAGCAGTGGGCCAGATTTGACCAGGAGGCCAGAGTTTGTGAACCCCACCTCAGCACTATCCAAGAGGCCTTTCTCCGATGATGGAAATGTCCTATGTGCTTGTTTGTTTGAATATCTCATTATTCTAGAGATGCTCCCTGTATCTTTTTTAAAAATATAATTTACTTTTTTTTTGTTATCGTTGTTGAGAATATACATAGCAGAAGACAGATGCTCCCTAATCTTAAAAATCGGTTGCCATCAAGTCAGTTCTGACTCATGGAGACCCCATGTGTGTCACAGTAGAATTGTGTGTTGCATAGGGTTTTTGATGACTGATTGCCAGGCCTTTCTTCTGAGGTACCTCTGAGTGGACTTGAACCACCAACCTTTCGGTTAGCAGCAAGCGCATTAATCATTTGCACCACCCAGTAATTCAAACAGGCTAATACAGTTCAAAATCATGCCCTAGAATTAAATTTGTCAAGAACGTTTTCAAATCTGCTCATTACTATGCATGTGAAGGCATCATGTAAATATCTCCTCCACACTAGGTCAATGGGACTCTGTCTCCCCGCCTAGCCCCAGCGTCTATGCTGAGCTCATCCAACTGTATGAATCCTCAGACTACGTGGAGGGAGAATTTTCATCCTGTTTCACAGGGCTGCAGCGGGATTTCATTATCTCCCGTCCCACCAAGCTGAAGAGCTTAATTTGCCTGGTGAAGCACTGGTACAAACAGGTACGACAGTCCTTGTTCTAGATGCCAGTTATTATATACATTTACCCGTGTGCTGTAACCACTGAACCAACTCTCACCCAGTGCTCTGTGAGCCCACACTCTCCCATGCTGGGGGATCAGTTGCTTTAGGGAATCTGCCCACTCCTTAAACATGGTGACCTTTATGGCATGCCCATCACTAACCCTGTTCAGCTGAGCCAGGCATAGAGCACCTTCTCCTATCAGGGCGGCTGCTGCTGCTGCTGCTGTGGTTAGCTGCATCAAGTTGGCCCCAACTCATGGCAGCTCCACTCCATACACAACAGAGCAAAACGCTGCCTGGGGCTGTGCCATCCCCGAGATTAATTGCAGATCGGACAGTGTACTATTGTGATCCATAGGGTTCTCATTGGCTGATTTTTGGAAGTAGATTGCCAGGCCTTTCTTCCTAGTCCATCTTAGTCTGGAAGCTCTGCTGAAACCTGTTCAGCATCACAGCAACTCACAAGCCTCCAATGACAGATGGGTGATGGCTGTGCATGAGGTACACTGGCCAGGAATCAAACTCAGGGTCTCCCACGTGGAAGGTGAGAATTCTACCCCTGACCCACCACTGCCTCATATAAAGACTGCAACAGTGGTTTCTTTTGCCCTTGCATGTACCAAACAATTCTGCAGGAATCCAAGTGTCCAGCCTGCATGTATCGAAGGGTGGCTGGCAGCTGGGATTCGCAAGCCTGCAGGTCACTGGTGTGGTTTACCTGCGCCTCAGTGCCTGTAGGTAGTAGACATGGATGCTATCTATGGGAAGGCAGGTGGAGCTACAGGCTGGGACCAGGGCTGCTGTTTCCAATGCTGGTTAATGTCCTTCCACCTGCACCAACTGGCCTGCACACAGAGGGGTTCCGAGTATTTTCACGAGAGAGGACATCAAGCACAGTATCAGCTCATTCCTGAGCTCTCTCCTCTCTGCCTCCAGCTCCAGGAGGCCTGAGATGGACCCTGAGCTCTGTGGTTTCTGTCCCCAAAAAGCATGGAAGTGGCAGGGTGTGACTGCTCAGAGGGCTCAGCGCCACCGCGTGCTCTTGTGCCATTCATGTTACTTCCCCAAGCCTTTATCTTCAGCTGGAATGGAGATCCCAATGTCCGCTCTGCAAGGTTGCATTAGGAATCGTGGCAGTTAAATGCCTGGCACCGTAAGTCGCACACGGTGGGCTGTTCTTTAAATATAATTTATTTTTCTTTTGTTGTTGTTGTTGAGAATATACACAGCAGAACATACACAAATTCAGCACTTTCTGCACACACAATTCAGTGACACTGATTACATTCTTTGAGTTGTGCAACCATTCTCACCCTCTTTTTCCAAGCTGTTCCTCCCCCATTAACATAAACACACTGCCCCCTAAGGTTCTTATCTAATCTTTGGAGTTGCTGTTGTCAATTTGATCCCATATAGATAGATCTTAAAAGAGCACAATGCTCAAGACAGAATTTCTTTACTAGTTAAGCTGAACTATTGTTTGGTTTTAAGAAGACTTCAGAGGATAGTTTTGGTTTAAGGTTTAAAGATTATCTCAGGGCAATAGTTTCTTGGCGGTTTATCCAGCCTCCATGGGTACAGAAACTTGGATTCCATGAGAATTTGAAATTCTGTTCTGCATTTCGCCCCTTACATAGTGGGTTTTTAGTAAACTGGTGCCATATTATTCCCTAGGAAGACATCTATGGCCAAGAGCACAACAAAGAAACCTGCGTGTGCGGCCTTTCTTCTTTTTTACAGTTGCTGTAAAGTTGATTATGATTCATGGTGACCCCATGTGTGTCAGAGTAGGACTGTCTTCCACAAGGTTTTCAATGGCTGATTTTCATAAGCGGATCACCAGGCCTTTCTTCCAAAGTGTCTCTGGGTGGACTTGAACCACCAACCTTTGGATTAGCAGCCCAGCACATTAACCATTTGTACCACCCAGGGACTCCTTTCGCTGCCTGTTGTTGTGTGCTTTCGATTCGATTCTGACTCCTAATGACCCCATAGGACAGAGCAGAACTCCCCCGTATAGTTTCCTAGGCTGTAATCTTTATGGGAGTAGATTGCCAGGTCTTTTCTCCTGTGGAGCCGCTGAAGGGTTCAAACCACAAACCTTTTGGTTAGCGGCCAAGCACTTAACCATTGCGCCACCAGAGACTCTAAGTACTGCCTACCAGCTGCTAAACGAACACCTGCACATCTACACTGCATCTTGGAGTACCAGCTCTCCATCCTGTGACTCAGTTTCCCTGCTGTGTCCCCTACTATCTTAACATGCAGTCTGTGTGGCTCCTACTGAGCTCATTGTGTTGTCTGATGTCCCCCACTCTTCCCACAGTGTGAAAGAAAACTGAAGGGAAAAGGATCTCTGCCCCCAAAGTATGCCTTGGAGCTGCTGACCGTTTACGCCTGGGAGAAAGGGAGTGAGGCCCCGGATTTTCACACCGCTGAGGGGTTCCAGGCAGTCCTGGAGCTGGTCACAAAATATCGGCAGCTCTGTGTCTTCTGGCTGGTCAACTACAACTTTGAAGATGTGACTGTGGGGAAGTTCCTACTGGCCCAGATCCAGAAAACCAGGTGCCCTAAGCCCCAACCCCCTTCTTTTCTTAACTTGACTCCCTTCAACTTGATTTCAGTGACTTGGGCCCTCCTCTACTGGGTCATGATTCCTCATGTGAGAGCAAGGCAGGGGGGGATGCTAACCAACAGAACCTCCCAAAGTCTCCAGGGAGAAAATCCTGGGGGAGGCAGGAGAAAATGTTTTCCAGAGAAGGATGGAAGAAGGCTCAAGATCCCTGCATTGTTTTCATGTTTCTAGGTTGGAAGGAAAAGTGTAGATTTGTTAAAAGACCTAAGAGATGTGGAAATTGGTAACGTGCCTCAGAGAAACCAAATTATCATCTGTGGGCCGATTTGTCCTGCAAAATTTGTATTAGATCAGGTTTTACCTACCCTTTCAGATCTTAGAACCACAAAACCTTTACCTTCAAGAATAGTAAGCCATCTCAGCGTGTCTGCTCAGTGCCACCAAAAACAGACAAACAAACTGGTTGCCATAGGGTGGATTCCAACTCATGGCGACTCCAAGTGTGTCAGAATAGAACTTCCTCATTGAGTTTTCATGGCTGTGACCTTTCAGAAGCAGATCGCCAGGCTTTTCTTCCAAGGCACCTCTGGGTGGGTTCAAAGCACTAACCTTTTGGTTGCTGGCCCAGCACTTAATGGTTTGTGCCACCCAGGGACCTTCGGCTCCACCAGCAGGAGACAAAAGCATGGAAGCAAAAGGAAAGGGAGCAAAGGAAGGAACACAGGGAAAGCAAGAGGAGGAAGATGAGTGAGAGCAAGATTCCATAGGTTGTCTACTGCAGGTTGTGACCTACTTGGCTATATTATATTTGATTACATTATACATCATCTTAGTTTAGAAGGCATATGGGCCTCAAATTCGAAAGCTACCGGGTGTCTACAGCATTCCTCTGATGCCTTCTTCTCACCTCACATTTAGGCCTGTAATCTTGGACCCAGCTGAACCTACTGGTGACGTGGGTGGAGGAGATCGCTGGTGTTGGCATCTTCTAGCCCAAGAAGCTAAAGCATGGTTGTTGTCATCTCTTTGCTTCAAAGATGGACGTAGATGTCCGGTAAACTCGTGGGATGTTCCGGTAAGAATCAAGCAAGTGTAATCTGGAGACAGCCCTGTGACAGGCTTCCCTTCTCCTACTATATCAAACCAAACCAAACCCACTGCCATCGAGTCGATTCTGCCTCATAGCAACCCAATAGGATAGAGTAGAACTGCCCCGTAGGGTTTCCAAGGAGCGGCTGGTGGAGTCAAACTGCCAACCTTTTGATAGCAGCTGTAGCTCCTAACCACTGCACCACCAGGGCTCCAAGTATAGCAACTTGGAATTATTTCTGCTGCAATTAACAGAAAACCCGACCCACAGGAGCTTAAGTGGTTGTTGTTGTTTTTTCTCACATTACAAGAAATGCTGAGACAGGCAGTCCAGGATTCACCCAACAGCTCCACGTTGCTTTCTCTACGAGCAGAGTTTCTCCACCGTAGCGCTATTAACATTTGGGACTGGATCGTTCTTTATCGTGGGGGACTGCCCTCTGCATTGTAGGATGTTGAGCAGCATCCCTGGTCTCCACTCACGAGATGCCAGTAGCATTCTCCCCAGCTGTGACAACCAAAAATATGCTTCCAGACATTGACAAATGTCCCTGGGGGGTGCAATGGTGCCAGCTCTTTCTGGCTGTTGGCCCCACCCTTTTTAGTCGTTCACTTTGTCTCATGGGATCACCAATGGGCTGTGGGACCTGCCAACCATAGGTTCATAGGCCAGGCAACAAGAACGAAAAGGGGGAAGATGCCCAAGGATTTTATGAAAAGCCTTATGCAGCAAATGCCCTTGCATTTCGTTGCCCCAAACTGTCAGGGGCTAGCCCTAACTTAAAGGTAGCTACAAAGAAGAGGAGGGTGGAGACAATGGTGGATGTGAGTCGGTTCAACCAACCAACAGTGCCTGTCACACCTGGCCGGAGCTCCCCCCTCCTACCTAGAGACCTGACATCCAGGTATATTTGGTTCTCCCCACCAGGCTCCTTTGTTTAAAGCAGGGTCTCTCTGCTTCAGTCTTCTTGACATTTTGGGCCCCATAACTCTTTGCTGTGGGGTGGGGGGGCTGTTTTGCACATTATAGAATCTTTAGCAGCATGCCTGGTCTCTACCCATAGATGCTACCCAGTTGTGACAATTAAAAATGTCTTCAGACATTGCTATACGTCACCTGGGGTGCAAAATCATCCCCTCATTGAGAATCACTGCTTCGAAGGAATCGCCAGCCCTCTCTAGAGTTACGGCTGCTTGTTGAGATCTATATTATCTATAAACTATTGAGTCAATTCCGACTCATAGAGACCCTACAGGACAGAGTAGAACTGCCCCATAGGGTTTCCAAGGCTGTAGTCCTTATGGAAGCAGATTGCCAGCTCTTTCTCCTGTGTAGTGAGTGGTAAGTTCGAGCCACTGACCTGTCGGTTAGCAGCCGAGCCTTTAACCACTGCTCCACCAGGGCTCCTTGCAATATGTATAAGTACCAAAAAATTGTCTTTGGCAATAGTTACCCTCCCAGACACAGTTCCCTTTTTCCTTTCTCATTCTTTTAACCAATTGTTGTAACTGCTTAGAAAATATTATTCTCTCACAAGTATTTCTTCTCAGACATCGCAGACGTTGGAAAGTTATGGAGCCAAGCTACATCATGATCTCGCTGAGATGCTCTCATCTGGTAGTTAGAGAATCCTGGAATAACAATGCTAGAAGGAACTTCTAGAAGCCATCTGGCAATTGCTTGTAAAGAATCTGTTCGCCGTGCAAAAGTGTAACCCTGATCCATTACCCCTTTCCAGTCCATATTACTCCTCCATCGCTTCTTTGACTCCTCTTGAAATCAAAACTTTAATGCCCTTCATTAAGTCTTACCCTTGCTGCACCCTCACTCTGCTATTGATCTACTTCATTCAAAACACCTGCTCTTATCCAGCTTTATGGGCTCTGTATTTCTGTCAACCTTTCAGCGTTTTTCTGATAAGTTTCTCCCTTTTCCTTCAACTCTTAGAAGAGGAATCTCTCCGTATCTCCAAAGTGAAGTCCTTTGCTTGCACCTTCAGTCCTATAACTCCATGGTCTTGCTCTCAGAATCCCCTGCCTTGTCCAGCTCAGTCTCTTTCCCTCCAAACACACAATCCTTGGCAATGTGTAGGTCTCCTTCTAAGTAACTAGCCAGCCAACCCCTTCCTTAGATTAGACCCTCGAACTCTCCAAAGGCCTGAATTATAATGGTTGCCTTATTGCCTGTTCATCCTTTTCCTTCTGAGCCTCGCTTTGTCCCAAATAAAGTATCTTCTTGCCAAATCTAAAGGCTTTTTCTTCTGATTTTAGCTTCGAAGATACTCACAGGTCTAAAAGTTTAACGTCATGTAAATAACCAGTTACCACTGAGTCAACTCCGACTTATGGCGACGCCATGTGTGTCAGAGTAGAACTGTGCTCCCTACAGTTTTTGAGGACTGATTTTTCAGAAGTAGGTCACCAGGCCTTTCTTTTGCGGCACCTCTGGCTGGACTCGACCTTCCAACCTTTTGGTTAGCAGCCCAGCGCGTTCACCGTTTGAACCACCCAGGGACTCAAAATCTCATATGATCCCACTTAACGTTTTATTATTGCCAAATTGCAAATACCAATACTCTTGATAACCAGGACGAGGGCCAAAGACATATGTCTCGAGGTTGAAGCATGAAAGAATGACCATCCTAGGTACACATCTACTCAGTGTACAGTTAGCTACAAACGCCTCTCACCTGCTGCTTCTCCAGCTGAGTTTGGTCAAATCTGAGCAGGGATGACATCATCACGTGTTGGTTCTCTACACTGGCTTGGGGTAAACCCCCGACAGAAAAAGACAGAGGCTCTTTCTCCTAGTGCTGCCCTGTGTGAGTTGGTCTGAGTCCACTGGGAGTGGGGTATAGACCAGGAGGGAAGAACCCGGCATGGGAGCAGGGCATGGGAGCTTAATGTAAGGATCCTAGTAACTCCACTCAACTGAGCGCACATTCCTTACCTATCTCAGAGTATTCAGAACTACAAAGACAAAGCAAAGACAACTATAAAGACAAAGTGCCCTTAACAGAAGCTCAGAATGTCCTTTCTCCCTCCTTCATGTCCACCTGGTAACCACTAATTTACTTTGGTCTCTGTACACTTGAGTATTCTAAATAACCCAACAGAGCACAGTCCTACTCTGACACACATGGGGTCACCATGAGTCAGAATCAACTCGACGGCAACTGGTTTGAGTTCTGTTTTCTTATTTTTATGCTTTTGGGTTCTTTGACAGGGTACCACAACTGTCATTGAGAATGCTATTGTGTAAAATACTTTTCCATGGATATACGCACACACGCACGTATGTATGTATCCATGTTTTTATTGTCAGCTGCTGTCGAGTCGACTCTGACTCATGTCGGCCTTACACACAACAGAACGAAACATTGCCTGGTCCTGCATCATCCTCACGATGGCCAGCACGTTCAAGTCTGTTGTTGTAGCTACTGTGCCAATCCATCTCACTGAGGGTCTCCCTTGCCCTCGATCTCCCTCTGCTTCACCAAACACAATGTCCTCCTCTAGTGATTGATCCCCTGATGACATATCCAAAGCAAGTGAGTCACACAGTGTTCTGTTGTGAGCAATAAGGTTTTCATTGACTAATTTTTGGAAGTAGATAGCCAGGTCTTTCTTCCTAGTCTTAGTCTAGAAGCTCTGTTGACACCTGTCCACCATGGGTGTCCCTGCTAGTATTTGAAATACTGGTGGCATAGCTTCCAGCATCACAGCAACATGCAAGCCACACAGTATGACAAACTGACAGGTGTGTATGTATAGGCAGAGAGAGTTCTTTGCTGTCCCCAATTTCCAATCTCCCCCTGCTTCCTCAATTCCCACTAACAGGGAAAAAAAAAAAAAAAAACCAAACCCATGGCCATCAAGTTGATTCCTACTCATAGTGACCCTATAGGACAGAGTAGAGCTGCCCCATAGGGTTTCTAAGGAGCGCCTGGTGGATTTGAACTGCTGACCTTTTGGTTAGCAGTCGTAGCTCTCAACCACTGCGCCACCAGGGTTTCCCCTTTCCCACTGTTAAAGGAAAAATATTGATTTCTAAACAACGTGGTATATAAGTTTGAGCATGTCCACCCACTTGCACTGGGTAGTTTAGGACCTTGGTCAATGCCCCAGAGCCACCTAGTGTGCAGCCCCGGGCCACCATCCACACGGAGCTGTGTCCCACTCACACCTTCCATCTTTCCTTCTCATTCCTTCCTCCCCTCCCCCATCTCCTTCTTTTTCTTTCTTTGTGCCTGATCTTTTCTTTTACTCCTTTTGCTCTCTGCAGCCCTACTCTTGCTGCCATCTTGTGGTGTTAAAGAAAAGTAAATTAGCTTGAGCAGGAAGCAGGAAAGTCCTAGAAAATGGTTAAACCGAAACAAAACCATTGCCATGGAGTGGATTCTGAGTCATGGCAACCCAATATGTTACAGAGTAGAAACTCCATAGAGTTTTCAAGGCTGTGACCTTTTGGGAGCCCATCACCAGCATTTTCTTCCCAGGCGCCTCTGGCTGGGTTCGAACTGCCAACCTGTCAGTTAGTAGTCAGGCGTTTAACCATTTGCTCCACCCAGGGACTCCAGAAAAATGGTCAGGTTTGTTAGGTCAGTCTCTCCAGTTTTCTTGCTGTTTGAGAAAATATCCCCCTAACTGAGCTGAGTACCAACATCCCTCCTAACCTCTAGAACGTCCTCCCAGGGACCTCCTCCAGGAATTAAGGCTGGTCTCCTCACAGTACTACAGCCACCACCACCCTACTGCCACCATTATCCCCCAGAGTACACACTCCCCACCTCTTCCCAGCCTTAGCTCCCACCCAACCAAATGTACCAGGCTTGGGTCAGGCTCAACACCCCCTCATAACTCTTCTCAAGGGCTCTTGAGAAATCCTGCTGGACTAGATACATGGTACCACACTCTTACCCCATTCTACATCCAACCAAGGCCAGGCTGGGCTCTACCCCAGGTACCCCATCCAAGAAGGACAGGACAGATCAGATGACCATTACTGTATTCTGTGTGCCTGGCATGGAACTTTTCATTCCTCATCTCATTTAATTCTTACCTGTTGTTTTGTTGTTAGTTACCACTGAGTTGGCTCCAACTCATGGCGACCTTATATACAACAGAATGAAACTTGCCTGGTCCTGAGCCATCTTCATGATTATTGGTATGTTTGAGTTCATTGTTGCGCCTATTGTGTCAATCCGTCTCACTGGGGCTTTCCCTCATTTTCATTGACACTCTGCTTTACCAAACATGATGTCCTTCGCTAGCAATTGGTCTTTCCTGATGACGTGTCCAAAGTAAGCAAGCCGAAGTCGCCAGCCTTGCTTCTAAGGAGCATTCTGGTTGCACCTCTTCTAAGACTGATTTGTTCGTGCTTCTGGCAGTCCATGGTACATTCAGCATTCTTCACCAACACCACAATTCGAATGCATCAATTCTTCTTCTGCCTTCTTTTTTTATTGTCCAGTTTTCGCATACATATGAGGCAGTTGGAAAGACCATGGTTTTGATTTTTACCTACAAGTTTAAATATTCTTGTCTCCATCTTACAGAGGGAGAAACTGAGGCTCAGAGCAGCTCCTTGGCCCAAGGTTACTGCTCAGGTCTTGGCCAGGCGGCATTCCCATGCTCACCCCCCAGGGCCCCACGGTAGGAGACTCTGAGGCCACCCCCAGATTGGATGCCAGTGACCTCGCCTTTCTAGAGTTCCTCCAAGTATCTGAGGCCCAAAGACTTTCTTTTCCCTCTACCCCACTCTGCATCCTCCAAATCTCCTGCAGTAAATCGCCCAGACTCAGGCCCATGCCAAGACAGAAACTTCACTAGCATACTTCATTGCAGGGGCACTGCCTGGCCCTGTTACTTCAGAGCTGCTCTGAGTCAAAATATTCCTGCTAACGGGCAGTACATGCCTCAATGCTCTGCTTGATTTAGAAGACTTTCCAGGCTTCCCCCAGGAATCCGTCACTGCTGCAGGACAAAGGCCGAGCAAAGAGGGACGCGCTGGGGAGAGAAGGCTCCGGTCTGCCGAGGCAGAAGGATGTAGTAAGAGCAGCCAGCCTTCCCCAAGCATTCCGTTTGCTTGTGCCCAGAAAATCCTCAAAACTTTCTTTAAAAAATTCAGGCTTACTGGACCTGTTGAGACTGGAGGACTCCCCGAGACTATAGCCCTGAGATACTCTTTAAACCTTGAACCAAAACTAGCTCCTGAGGTCCCTTTTTAGCTAAATAACAGATTGGTTCACAAAATAAGGAATATCATCCGTGAGTACTGTGCTCCTTTAAAAAAATCATCTATATGAGACCAAACGGTCAACAATTACTTGAAAACAAAGATGAGGAAGTAAGAGTAATGGAAATAGAACAACCAGAATGGAAATAATGAAAATGTTCACACATTGTGAAGAATGTAAGCTACGTCACTGAACAATTTGTGTAGAAATTGTTGAATGGGAACCTAAACTGCTCTGTAAACCTTCACCAAAACCAATAAAATATTATTAAAAAATTTAAAAATAAATAAATCCTCAAAACTGTCTTCCGGGTTAAATACTGTCTTAGTCACCTAGTGCTGCAGTAACAAAAATACCACAGGTGTATGGCTTTAAAGAACAGAAATGTATTGTCTCACAGTTTTGGAGACCAAAAGTCCAAATCAGGGCATCAGCTGTAGGGGACAGGCCTTGCTTGTTGGTAGCCCTGGGCATTGCTTGGTGTTCCTTGGCTTGTACATGGTTCCTCAATAGTCTCTTCCCCATGTGTGTGTGTCTCTCCGTGTCTGCTTTCCTTTTTTATAAGACATCACTGAGAAAGGATTAGGTTTAGGACCCACCCTACTCCAGGATGACCTCATTAATGTAACAAAAGAAAACCCCATATTTCCAAACAGGGTCATATTCACAGGTACAGGGGTTAGGATTTCAACATATGGTTTAGGGGGACACAACTCAATCTATAACAGATACCATCATTTCCATTTTACAAATAAGGAAACTGAGGCCCAACAGTCAATTCCCTTGCCCAAGGGCCCTCAGCGAATAAGTGGCCTGGTCAGGCCTCTACCCTGGACCTCTCTGCCTCCAAAATCCAAGCTTTTAACCCCTTAATGATATGGACTCCCATAGATCTGGCTTCTGGTAGGTCTCCACCTAGCCTGGGCTGGTTAGCCACTGTGGACCTCAGCTCGCACAGAGAAAGATTCCATTTTCATC